TAGCAATTTTAGTTCATTTCAGTACAGTGACTGTAACAATATGAATAATATAGTTTAATTAAGTCTAAAAAATTGCTAACTTATTTATTATAATGTAGTCGTATACAATATGGCACCGACACAAGCATAGACGCCGGAAACAGTAAACGGAAGGTGGACATTGTTTCTGCCCAACTGACAGTATTACGTACGGACTTAATTATAATTTTTACCTATCAATTCAATTAACTATTCATAGAAATCTATAATTGTATATATTAATAGCAAAACCTGTCAAACAATGACGGGTATGTGTGTAAAAATATTTAAAATGCCTATAAATATTCTCAATACTTAAATACCCATGTATGCCAATGCTTATAGCGGTTATTACAAACGTATAGTTTTACCACTATCTACTGGCGTTTTATAAAATGTCGGTGCCATAAAAATCTTCTCCAGTAAAACAAAAATTCTTAATATGCCAATTTACATTCTGATTCCTCATACTGTATTGAGGTCTTATTATTTATTTTAGATATACCAATATCTGTTTTTATATATATAGAATAAATAGCATCATGATATGTAACACAAACAAATCGTAGAATTTGTACGTTTATAAAGGGAATCGGCATAACAAACTCACATTGTTATGTAAGTTTGTTATGCCGATTTCCTTTATAACACTCCAAGCATTTTATAATAACGCCTCGTACTTCAGCAAAATGATGTTCATTGGTAATAAGAAAGTGAAAACGAGCGTATGTAACGGTAAAATAAATTAAATACACTTTTCCGGTCCCCAACTTTTCGTGTACGTTACGAACAAGCCACTGAAACGCATCGTGACTCTTTGTCACGTAAACAAGTGAAATTCTAAAACGCCGTGCCTAACGTACCTTTTGTAGGACGACATACCTGTTTTTAACCGACTTCAAAAAAGTATCTGGTCCTCAATTCGGTTGTATTTTTTTATTTATTACCTCATAATTTATAAACCGATTTGGAATATTCTTTTTTTATTGGTTCTGTAGAAATTTTATCAAAAACGGTTTAGTAGTTTGGGTTTAAAATCAAAATAACTGGTTTCACTATTAAGGTCGGTTTTTTGTCGAATACAATCTTAAAGTATGAACTATAGATTCTATACTGACCGTGCGAGAATAGTAGGCTGGGTGCAGAAGGAACTATATAAACGCGTGCACGTCAATTTGTTAAATAGGCCGTTCATTTTAAAATCTTAGACAATATTAGTGTAGTACACACACACTAAAATACCAGCCATACTTAAATTTGTACAATAGTTAAAGTTACACAAACAAATATTACAACCGTGCGAACCCGGAGCGAGTAGCTAGTCTACACTAATATTATAAGGAGGAAAGATTTGTATTTTGGTGTATATGTATGTTTGTAATGAATAAACTCAAAAACTACTTTACCGATTTCAAAAATTCTTTCGCCATTAGAAAGCTACATTCACAATCACATCAAGGTGTAAAAAAATGCTATAAAATATCTTTCGACGCGTGCGCTGCGGAAACCATTGGTAATAGAACAAAAGTATGTTCTACAATATTGAAGAAAATATTAATAACTACAAAAAAATTTGCTATACTATATGTCCAACTATTATCGTTATCTAATAGTAATCACTTTTTAAAATGTAAAAATGTCCATGCGTGTGAAGCCGGGACGGACCGCTAGTTATTTATAAATTTCTTATAAGTCACCATGCAAAGACTCATAAACACCGCTAATACTATATAAGGGAGCTAAATTAAAGCTTTTAAAAAGTAAAGTAATTGAAAGTAAAGCTTAGTAAAAGCTTTACTTTTAATTACTTTGGTGAATATTTGTATCAATATGAAAATAGCGTGGTATAATTTGACAAAATTCACTCATCAAATTCAATACGTACCTATTATAAAACGAAGTATCTAGGTGATCCTGAGCTTGATATATCGAAATATTCTATTTGAATTAGAAAGGGAATAAATTTATTTCTCCATTATTTCGAAACTGTGGTATTGCTTTGAAGTATAATACCAAATCCTAAGTGGATATACGGCCGAAACCCGTTGGCTTATCGACGCTTAACCGTCAATAACTTCTAACTAACATTGACAAAAAGACTCACTTTCTTCAAAATATAATGAAACAAAGACCATTGAATGCTATTAATATGAATTCTCAATATATTGATTAAAAAAATATTTCTCTATTTACCATAGAAACGGAGACATGTAAGTTAGAAAAAATGTCTACAACTACTTATTTAATGTCAGTTAAGAGAATTTTATTTTTTAACTGTCGTTATGTTGTCGATGAATGACAAAATTTCCCAGTGTGTAAGTATTATTACTTGTATACGATAATTAATGCATTTAGCATTGCGTTGCAACTTTAAGCATTATATGTTCAGAATCAAGAACGACGGACAGTTGTTAAAAGCTTAGACAATCGAGACAATTTAATGCAAATTTTATCCGCAGACACATTATCCCACGTCTTCACAGGACATTGTTTAGTAAAATTTTATTTTACGTATGATGTCTGTACACAGGAAATATACAAGAAAAAAATATATGAGGAATAGAAGCCAAATAAGGGCAATAGAAGCCAAAACAATAATTTTCAGAATTTTTGTCTCTCTATATATTTATTTCGGCTTCAAACAAAAACTGCTGCACCAAATTTGATGCTGTTTTCATTGTTGTATTCTTGAAAGTTTAACTTAAAATCAGGTGTATGTTTTATTTTGATAAACCATATAGAAATGAAGAATATAAATAATGTTCCTACTTGCAAAATTTATGTATAACAAGATTACCGGCAAAAGTCCATGTTCTTCAGCTCATAAAATCTTGCCTATTGTACATGTAGCCAGGCAACATGCTCATACACGTGCTTCACGTATATTTAAATTTCGAATACAAAATGTTCGAAGCAAATTACGTTTATCTATGGTACAATGTGATAGAAATTAGCAAGGCCTTTAGTTGTAGTTGTATACTTATGTATTTGTGTGCGAAACTCTGCGGAACGCAGCGGGGGTTCTATTAAAGTATTAATTAAGGGTATTAATAACGTGCTGCTTTAAACATATTTAGACTTCGATTGTATTGCAATTCATCTATTCTCAACTATTTACTTGTATTATATTCCACAACTTTATTTGTTTACCTATAGTAATTTTTAAGCCCTTTTCAATTTCTTTTGTTTTTTATAAAATATTTTCATTTATAACGATTATAGAAAATTGCCCCATCTTTATCACATAAAAAGTAAATGTATGCGATATATCTGTGACGCACAGATCAATTTTCCATGTAATTAACAAACCTTTAAAATAAAACAAATAAAAAATTGTACAGAAATACGTCGTTAAGTAGGAAAATTTTGTAATATAATCCGTACTGATAATTTCCAAAGTTAGCAGCAGAATAAAACAGAGTTCAATAAACTTATAATTTGAAATTAATTTGTTATACACGTGTCTGTTATTTAGTTAAATTTAATAGGAATTAGATATAACTATCTTTTACCGGCGACTTCCTTCGCGTGACCAGGATATGTTTACTCACCGGGATAAAAATATTGTTCTTTTCCATCCCATATAGTAGGGGTACATCCAATTTTTTTGTATTAGCAACAATTTTTTCTTGAAATAATCACTTAATTTATGACTAAATTAGTGAGATTATCAACACGGGAGGAAGCCTGTCGATTACAAAAAGAATCATCATAATCGGTTCAGAAGAATATATTGCGAGTATAATACAGACAAAAGAATACCGTCGAGTTGCTGACCTCCTTTTTGTAGTCGAAAACGATATTATGCGAACGGCATGCTGTGATGGCATTTTTGTGATCTTCAATACAATAATATCAGACAATGACGCCTGATAATAAAGTACGGTAATTGTTCCTTCTGCAGATGTCAATATTTACGGGTCTTTGTTGGGCAAATGTCCAAATACACCGCACCGCTAGTTTAATACTTGTAGGAAAATATTATTTTGATATGTCAAAATAATATTAGAAGATCCGGTTGGGCATCACTATAGTAGGGCGTTTAGGTAATCCCTGTCTCAAGACAAATATCATAAAATGTTTGGACGTCCGATGCGCACTAAGCCGGCGCGCGGTCCCGTACAGTATGTCCTATTATTCGATTTATTTATAAATTAATTTATACGCAAGTAGTGGTTGTCCCGTCTTTGCATGGGTCCAAATTGTAGAAGTTGTGAAGTTAATATCAAACTGTCTTATGTAGTTTAGAAGAAGTAAGATTAATAACGGTAACACACAACTACGGCAAATAATTTTGTTTTATACTATTTAGCGACGATACTCGTATAAAAAGGAATTTGCCTCAACTTGCTACGCACTGCAGTATTGAAGCAATCGCTAACACGCGTGTATTAGATACAGCGGTCGGTAAAACGTATGACTTCGATCTATCAACAGCGTCCCTAAAACGCTATGCAGTGTTGACGCACCTGTAAAATCATCGATCAACAATGCCGACGGCATCGTATCTGGTTAGAGTCTAATATCCGACAATGTCGAAATAAAGTTGAAGACGATATATCCCGTGAAGTTGACTTCCACACTTGAACATCATCGTGGTTAATTCCTGGTGAATTTATTACGATTAGCCAATGGGAGTGTTCATTAATTCCATTCTACTAGTAAATTACAATAGCGTAAGCCTAATTATCCTTTCATTTTCAACCGACTTCAAAAGAAGGTATTTCTCAACTCGATTGTTGTTTTTTGTTTGTTACCTCATATTACGATCAGTTATAAACCAATTTTTAACTGAAAATATATACAATACTTATAGATCGGTCACATAGAATTTTTATCAAAATCAGTTTTGTAATTTCATTTCTAAATCGAAATAACTGGTTTTACCACAATTGAAGTAGTTTTTTTTTTTTTAAATCACTCTTACATTTTCATCTCTTAAAAAATCCAATAATATATGAAGATTTTTTCTTTGTTTGTAGCCCAATGCATTGCACCGCTTGGCATGGAGAGCGGTTTGATCCCAGACAAGGACCTCAGTGCCAGCTCTTCCTTCAACGACGGAAACGTGGGACCACAGAATGGACGGTAAGAATTGATATGCCTGACTTAGGTTTACACACATCATAGTTAGCAGCAGAGATATTTGTGCTATATAAATGAAATGTAGTGAAAAATTTTGCCATGCAACTTAGAATGGCAAACAAGCTGACGGTCGTTTGCTTACTCCCAAAAAATCTTAGGCCTTATTTTAAAAAATGTAGTTTATTTAGTTTAATATATTTGACAATAACATACTACTGTGGGTCATACTACTGAAATGAAGATATATCCGTACATTGGTATGTACATATTTAAAATTTTGTAAATATTCGTAACTGTAATGGTTCACATGTGGCGTTGTTTTTGTAAGGCATCAGTACGTAATGAATAGTTTCGTAGTAACAAAAGAATGGAACACACCCGTCTTTTACGACTATCGGAAATGAACTAAAAGAGATGATAGGAGGTGTGGAAATTGCGAATGTAAATCTTGACGAGACGAGGGATTTTTGAGAATACCTATACTGCTTTGCACTGAATTCACAGTGTATTTATTTTCGTATCGTGAAGTATGTTTGCTTTATTCCTCATCAAGGATATTTTTGACTATTTTGAAGATGTACCCGTTTCACCAAGTTGTGATAGCGTCCTTTGGTGTTATATGCAACATACGTGATCAAGTTAATGGAATAATAATTATTAACATATTATCTGTCCAGTCATTTGACACTTCAAAACATAAAGGGTGATCTCGATATTATATATCAACATTCTTTTAAAGGAAGAACTACAATTTTACGGAAAGTATTTTTTCAAAAGACACATGAATCAAAAAATAATAAGATATTTTGAGCATGATCTGTACACCTGTACAGTCATGCTCAGAAGTATTTCTTTAAAAAATTTACACTTCCGCTGAGAGAACATTATATTATGGATGGTATAAGAAGGATGCTAAAGATTTCAGTTTCACCCTGTATTTTCATGACTATTTTTCTTTTTTTTTTACACTAACAGTTTTTCTGATGCTAAGAACTACAAGAACGGTCCAAATAAATGTATATCCTATGCACTCCAGTCTCATATGTTATATGTCAAACAATACAATATTGTATCAATTACGACGATCGTGTGACGCGTCATTGATATAGCTGCTTCAGTGGCGTCAATAAGCCTAACAACAGAACATCTTGTTTGATTGGCCAGACCGATTACTGCACATCGTGACACATGATAAGTGAATGCTTTAATAACAGAGCACTATTATTAACTCTGATTGGTATGAATGGAGAAAGTATAAGGTTTGTGAAGTGTTTTAAATGGTCGTACAGTTATAGCTTATTTGTGTATTTATTACGTGCCACATTTTAGATAATAAAGTATAAGAGATTCAGATTGTTCTCCCTCAAAGAACTCGTATGCTTTTAATTTTCCTTCTGATGTTTATGAAACAGACTGGATAAATGTGAGGGGTGTAGTACTACGTTCTTTCTAATATTCGTCAATGCTTTGATTTTAACTAGTTCATCTAATAATATAGTCATGAGCACAATCAGTTCTTTGAAAATAACTAATTACAAAATTAATTATATCAGAGATTGCTAATATATATAAACTGAATCAATAGTTTGTATGAATTTCAGCGAACTGTTGAACATTTAGCAAAATGTTCCATTTCCATTCATACTATATTCATAGACTGCGGCCCCTATAATATTTTATGCATAGGTTGTGACCCACGCAATAAATCCTTTGGTGCACCTAATGTAAGTCGTCTAGTTAATCCCATAGCGTCCCAATATTTGCCTTCCATTCTAAATATTATTTTGATACGTTAAGCCCATATAGTAAGATGAATTCTATTCTTATATGTTTGTGTTTTCGTTGCGTTCCTACTTTCATTTTGGGCCACTCATGCAGATAGTTTTCAATTACATTGGATACAAAAATATTTTTCATACTACTGAGAAAATATCAAATCAGGTACCAGTTTTTTAATGGATAAAAATAATAATGGATAAAGACGCTAATGGGAGATAGATACTTGGAATGGCTTATAAACAGACAGCCCACCTGATGATAAGTGATATCCGTCGCCCACAAACAGACAGTAACATACATGTACTATGACACCCCTCATATGAGTACATTGCCGTTTCATAGTAGTCATATATTATACAAAATTCTATTCATCTTTTACCAGGTCCTTCAAGCTAGGTAGAAAGTATCAAGTGCGTTCTTGTGTATTAAAGGCTTGTGTTCTTACATCATATTACATATTTTACATCATTTGTACACAGATTAAATCAAGAACTAAAAGGGGGTGCTTGGTGTCCCAAGTCTCAAATCACCACCGAGTCGACAGAGTGGCTCGAGATAGACCTCCACTCTGTGCACGTCATCACCGGCACTGGCACCCAGGGGCGCTTCGGTAACGGTCAGGGGCAAGAGTATGCGGAGGCATACGTCCTCGAATACTGGCGGCCGAAGCTTGGCAAGTGGGTGCGGTATAGAGCCGCCGATGGACAAGAAGTAAGTGCATTTTTTTTAAATGAATGCTACTGGTGTGGTATCCCGCCTGCGCTATCGGTTTACACTGGCGGAATACCAGCGAAAAATGATAGGTGAGGATAAAGTCAGGTCAGTTGGCCCATTGTGACATATTCACCTAGAATTTACCACTATTGTAACATTGTGGATATTATACCCCATCCCTTCACTAACCCCCTTTCTCTGGCAAGTGTAAGTTGATCCTGTTATATCCATATGATTTAGATCTTGCGCTATAAGTATAAAAAAAAACTTAGCTTTCAACAATAAAACATGAATGTGTGATGTTAGCTAAAATTCTATACAATTCAATAACACTTAAATATTTGCTACCGCAATTTATGATTAAATCGCTTATTCCATGACGTACGATTTATAAGTATTCCTATTTTCTAGAGTTTAAGTACATGCCTAATCCCCTTTTCCCTTTTTTAATCCTTCTGATAGCTATTTACTAAGCTGAAACGCGAATATAAGGAGCTATAAGAGTTCACTATAAGACTTCTAATCTTCCTCGACATCTAAGCCTGATACTAGATAGTTCAATGAGTCCTAAAAGGTTTTTTTTTTCCAGATTCTCACTGGCAACACTAACACATATTTGGAGAAAAAGAACCACCTGGAGCCTCCAATATGGGCTTCCAAGATACGATTCATTCCATACAGTTCACATCGGCGCACTGTCTGCATGAGGGTCGAATTATACGGCTGCTATTGGAGCGGTAAGATATTTGTTATTTAATTCCACCAAAATAGTTGAAGTTCATATTTAATTCATTCACTGTTTATTATTTTCATGTTATTCAGTATTTTTGTCCATGTAAAACCACTTTCTTTCATGGCAATGATGAAATGGAACATCGGAGTTTTTGGTGTCTAATTGCTTTCTTTGAGTTAATTTACGTTCTAAAAGGAGTCACTGTGCAAAATTTCATATTTTTAGACCAAAAGGTTTCGGCTGTCTGTTGATCGTACAATGATCCCTTTCTTGTACAAAGTTGAGCACAAGGTCAAGCAATAAAAAGTAGAAAAATTAGCAATGGGGACTAAAAATAAACAACGGAGCCCAAATCAGTCTTTTTAAAGTTGATTTGTTAGTTAAAAACAATTCGACGAAATGGAGCAGGAATTCTTATACAGTTTTTATGTAGGGCTAATTCCTCCTCGTCGTAGTCTATTTAGCCATTTTTTTAGTGATGATGTAATAAACAAACATATCATGTCTATAAATATTTTATTTGGGTACCATTACTTAATTATATTCTCACTTGAATTTGTGTATAAAAATTACAAGACTTTCATTTGTTTATTTATTAGGTTAACTAACAACATATTAATACAGCATTACCCATAAATATTGTATTGATTTTTTTTACCCTTACGATTTTATTATATGAGTAGTATAGTTTTTGTGATTATACCTAGAATAATATACAGTTTTTTTCTCTGTTATTTTATGGTGAATTTAGTTTCAATTTGATACTCAAAGTGCCATGACCTAAGAATACAGTTCATTCTTGAGAAATTGTACTGATTTTATTTGTAAAACATATTAAAGTCCATTTACAAAATTACAAACTATTGCCGCGCCCACAACGTTTTAGTTTCATTTTAAGTTCTGCTTCAGTAACCCGTCTAATGTCAATAGGTACCTATTGTATACATAAATTGTCGCATATTCTCATTTCAGTTTGACAAGCATACATTGACAGGACCAATTACTTAGTTAAATTAATCATAACTGTTATACAACAAATGTTTACTGGCTTTTATTTAACTTCGCTTGTTAGTGTTTGGATCGAATATTACAAGTAACTTTTCAAGCGATTCCTCTAATCGGAATTGATTGAAATTTGTTCTGTACACACCCTTATTTCTTTACTTATATATTTGTTCATTTAATCTTAATATATATAAATTCAGTCTCACGATTTTCTTTTACGTTAATCTCCGAAATCGTTCAATCTATTTTAATGAAATTGTGTAAATATGTATTGTTTGTTCCAACTTGAGAGATGGATAGTCTTTATCCCAATAAATTGCCCACTCGGTAGGTGACGCTTCAACAACGTTTGCCGGATTACCGAGTATTATAATATGAAAGTGGACTTGTTTGTTTGTGTGTTATCTCTTTAACGGCTCAATATATTGTTATGAAATTTGGCATAAAAAATTTTTAAACAACTACGTTATCGATTGACGTATTTAACAATTTCAGTTACAAGCCAGACGATTTATAACTAAAATCGTCAATAAATGTAGTATCTCGCAGATCATATGGTCGAAATCATTATGTAATAATTTTATATAAATCCGATATAATGTAATATGGTGGCTAATATTAGCAAAGCTTATGGTTAAGTTCTTTCTTCCAATTTCAACTAATTAGATCTCAATCAATCCCTTGTTATCATCTGTCAGGCGGCGCTCGTAAATGGTAACCATAATCTAATTATTTCCCTTGAATTCAAAAAGATCTCGATATGTAACTTTTTAAAAGTTGTTTAATTTTTTATTTTGTTTTCATCTTTAATTGTATTTATTTATACAGGTGGATGTTTAAAAGCATGAACTAAACAATTCAAATTCAGTTTGAAGAAGGTATTAAATAATCTTTATTCAGATGGCATTTTCTCTTCGACTTTCCTGTGATACCAATATACCAATTATCGATTTCTAGTATTGATGAATCTCTCGTTTTATTTCGAAAAAGCTCTAGTATTCTAAAATATATTTACCTTATTTGACTCTTCAACAGTACTGTTGTAATGTTATTTGTATTAATCATTTTGCAAATAAATATGCTTGCGGACAAATCTATTGCCCACCACTAAGTTATCACACGTATAGTCTATATTACTACACCAGTTGGGGTTACAGTCATAAGCTTTTTTTTTTTATCTTGCCTGAGTAAAATTCAACCTCTATTTTTTATTAGTTTCAAATTTTCGAATTGATACTTTAAACATCGGTAGTAAATTACTAATCAAAATGGTTACTGCCCAATTTAATATGTATGAACTTTTCACAATACTTTGCTTCAAGTTTCCTGTTTACCTGAGAATTATAAAGTGAGCCTTTAATAATTTAAAGTTGGAAATGGGGATTTAATCCCTGTTTCGCAGATGATTTTAGGCCACTGTTTGCAGCTTTCAATACACCTATGTTACAATCTCGTCATGTCTAAAACGGCCCAGAAAGGATTATTTTAGGTCAGACGAGATTAAGCGTAGGTATATTGAAAGCCGCTTATATAATAGACCAGACACGAATTTGAGCGTTATAAATGCATGGGGTTTATGCACAGATTACTTAATGGTTACTACGTTAGGAATATCCTTTGTACCACTCGTATTTCTGCCGTGCTAGCGTCCTTTTATGCTGGTAATTTTAGTAATGACAACTCTTGTGCTGTACCTTGGACATAGTAGTCAGTAACGTATTCTGAGATATTAACTTTTAGACGTTCGCGTTGCATGGTTTATGGTTGATAAGAGACGGTAATGAAAGCTATCATTTAGGTAAATAAATTTACCATAGTTTACCTAAATTATTGTGTTAATTCACGTCTTTTATAAACCGTATTTATGGTTTATTTATAATAATAAAGAAATCAAAGTATTTTGAGATTCCATAGTATTGTTTATATTTATAGAGGAGGGTTACCACTTTCCGTTAGGGTAGACGTCAGCTTGTTTGCCATTCCATATATTAAAAAAATCTTTGACGCCCGCATTTGACTACAGGAAAAATACGATATATAAAATTTTCATACCATTTTCACTTGAATACAATATTTCCCGAAATATCTCAGTGATATTGGTTACATTACAAAATACGACAAGCGATATTAATTTATGGATATAATATATATCTCAGTGTGAAAAAGCTGGCTGGCGAAGCTACGATATTAATATAAAAATAAGAAATATATTGAAAATATACAGGCGTAAATTCATGTGTGGATGGAGTCGTTAGAGTAAGTTACAGATAGTGGTGAATATTATTAAGAATTTCAGACATATATTTTTATTATAAAAGAAAATTTTTTTTTAATATCTAGCTACCCACGAAGCTTCGTACGGGTGTATTGAGAAAGAAAATAAGACTAAACTTTTCGTTTACAGTACATTTCTCACCTTTTGTATAGAGATTTTTTAACCAAAATTTTTCACTTTTGCGTACGATTTAATCAACATTTTTTTTTAAAAAAAAATGTATTCTGAATTTTGGTTAATTAAATAGGTGTAGCCATTCTGAAGTAATACGTTTACATACATTCGGAAATTGAATTTTATTTATGTAAAATATATACTTCTGAGTGTATTCAGATAAGATGGTAATGAAAAAAGTTATACTACAAGCGATGATGTTAAACTAAAATAATTAAATTAAACAAAAAATAAAATAACTAAAATATACAATTAATTAAATAATTTAGTTAGTGTTTGCCCCCCTCCCCCTCCCTATATAAAAGTCCCATGTTCAATATTTTGAAACATAAAACCTATTTTTTAATACACAGCGGTATTGCATAAATATATATAACTCTTATTGATTACTTATAAATGTAAATTCAATTTCGTTCGACTTGTAAGCGGCATTTGGAAAATGTTAATAGATATTTTATGTTTAGTTCGTATATTTTTAGTTATAATTTTCATAAGATTCCGAAAATATTGGAACTTCATTTCAATGTATTTAATTAAAACTTTGTTTAGAAATATTTACTTATTAAAGATTATATATATATATATATATATATATATATATATATATATATATATATATATATATAAAATTATATTTTTTATTTATTTAATTGAGATACTAGAAATTTTTACAATGATTACAAGACGATAATTACAAACACGGCAAAATAATTTATCTCCGATATTTCATCTGTTAGACATTGTTATAATTTTATGCCAATTAAATAGATAAGATAATTTGTTGTATTAATTTTGTTTTCACAATTATTTTATAACCTTAATAATTATTTATACAAAATGAATGTTTATATAATTATTTTCATAATTATTAACTCTAATGTTGGTCCCCAGATTTATTATATACAATTGAAACAGGAATAATTAAAATTTAAAAAAGTAAAGTATAAATATTAATATAATTATATAATATTTTAAATATAAAATTTAAACGCATGACGTAAACAAAAAATATTGTAGTATTAACAACATTTTTGAAGAAATAAAACAGTTACTGAAAATATTGCTAATATAATAAAGTTGTAACTAGACGAAGTCTATACATGGGACGTATTTAGGAAAAAACAATACACCGTGTGGTCCCAGCATAGAATAGGCCACTCCTTTGTTTTCTGTGCGTGTCGTAAGAGGTTACTAAAGGAACTTAATATTAGAGTGATGGGCAGCAGCGTCCCTCTTAAAACGTTTCTTAAAGCTTAACTACGGTTGCCAACCCGCCTGCCAAGCGTGGCAACTACTAGCAAAACTCTTATGGGGAAGGCAAACGTGCATGCGGGTCCGATCAGCAGTGGACAGTTAACGGCTAAAATGATGAATAAGAGTCCGACGTCACGTAAAAACTACTACGTCAAATAAAACGCAGTTGTTACAGTTGTGTTCTTCAATGTCTAACTTAAAATCTGGTGTACGGGTATGTTTCATGTCTGTACTGATGTACATCTATTTCTAGATGGTATCTAGAAGAGGTCAATTTCATTGATTTTCCTACTTTTGAAACTCACGCGTACGAAGCTACGGGCAAAAATGTAGTCGTTATTAAACATGTTCTAATGACATCTCCCATTAGCCCATTACCCAGTCATTGTACTTGAGCTTTTGCGCAACACTAAATCAAAATAGAAATTCGACACGGAACATGTGTCGAACACTTGTTACTAATTGATATTTCAAACGTTTATAATAAATATCTCCACCATACGATTAAACAAATAAGCCAATTTTTAAACATGTTTAGAATGTTCCATTCTATTTTTGCATCTAGCTCGTCCTGTTGGGTTTCTGGCTAAAATATTATTATTATTATATTAGCTGTGCCCGCGACTCCGTCTGCGAGGCTGGGACGTTATCGACTCTGGGAATATTAAAAAAAAAATACTTCAGTTCATATAAATACTGTACAATTATATTATACTTTATATTTTATAATTTTTTATCGCTATGCGTTTTGTTCAGTACTTCGTACACGTTGATTTCGGACGTAAGAAAATAAAAGTAGCATAACATACCACTTCTAAATGGCTTATTAAGATATAACATACACCAGATTTTTAGTTAGAAATCAAAAACACAATTGAGAAAACCGCTTCCAATTTGATGTAGTTGTTTTTGTTTGATGCTTGAAGAAAAGTACAAACTGAAATTCAAAGTTTCTAATAATTAAATATTGTGCCCCACAAAAAGAAACTGGCTTCAATTGTGACTAAACTTGTTATTTTGATCTTAAACCTAAACTGCTTTTTTATAAAATACAATTTTGATAAAATTTCTATGGAAACACACTGCAAGTATATCCTTTCAAATAAAAAAAAATCCAAATCGGTTTAAAACTGACTGAAAGTTCCTTCTTTTTCAAATCGATTGAAAATTGTTTTGGCTTGTATTGTTCTTATAAAGACGCCTCCCATATTTTTTTTTTCTTAAATATCTTATTATGCATATATGAATTTTGTTTTTAGTCTTGTTTTTATATTAATATAAAAAGTTTTATATATTTTTTTTTATATTAATGTTTTGTTTATATTTAAAAAAATAATAAGAACAAATAAATGGCGCTTTAACCAAGTCGTAAAGATGCGATATCATTATATTGATATTTATTGATAAAAGTTGTTCAATTTTGTAAATACTATCACTAGATTTCGGTTTATTCTTTTCCTCTTTATAGGTATATTAATTGAGGATTTCTCAACCAACTTCATGACGCAAAGCAAGTAAAAGTTTGTTAGCGATATGATTTCATACTGCTTCTCGTATTGTGAAAAGCTTGAGAAAACTTTAGCAATGCATTGTTTAAAAATCTTTAGTAATTACTTTCAAACAAAGAAGCCATATGGTCCCGCGGTTGTATTGGCTCGGAACTTTATATAAGCAACGTTTGTTTCTAGACTAGAAGTAAAACATGTCGCACTGTGTATGAACATAGTCCAGGTGCGCTGCGGAATAATGTGAACTGAATATAAATATAATTCGATGATTTGACTTACGTTTTATATAAGTTTTATTTATAATGGGTTTTATTATTCTCATGGTAGTTATACAGTACCAATACGCTCGCTGCATTGCCAAGCGACCGCGTTTTCTGATATTTTGCCGACATGTTTTTTAATGATTTATTCTTATAATTTCTTAGTAATGACGAGTTCAGATTAATACGGTCTTGAGAGAGTGTATATAGAAATAATAAAATGGTAATGGAAGCTATTAAATTTATTGTGTGATTATTTGAAATCGCATTCTAAACAAGCCGTTCCGACAACAAATTATTACCTTTTCTAGATATATTTATGAAGTACCGATGTTGAGAAATGCTGTCTACTTTCAATTATAATACTCATTCAATTCTATATTTTCCTGTCGTGGAACCAGTCTCTCCTCATTCCTTTGGGATTTCTCAAAGATCCTTTCTTATTCTCAGTGATTACGTCACGCGAAGAGCTTTGGATAAAATTACAAGTTTCGGTTTTATAATTCGGAGATTACGTAACAAGCTATTGGATGGTGTTTCGTTTTTATATATATTAATGTATATATAATGTACTATATCAAAATCATAAACATTGAAAAATCTGTTCATTGAATCGATCAGTCGTGAAAATTAGCTGGGGTAGCTATAGAAATACAAAGGAAATTTTAAAAATTTTGGGACTTTTAAAAATTTCATTAAAAACTTTTATAATTGTCTATTTTTTACATCGTCACGCAAAAATGGATCAACAAAATTCAAGTAAAATTTAAAATTAAAAAAAAAAAAACTTTTATTATTAACAAATTAATTGTTGATGAAAATTTTTAGCGGAATCAGTCGAGCGATTACTCAGATACCTATTATATTGTATGTGACTTCTTAAAATGGGGAGATCATTATATGAGATAACTTAGGATTTAGAAATAAATTTTAAAAGAAAATTGATTGATAATATTTATGAAAAAATTAACTCGAAATTTTTTATACACAATCAACTTTAGATGCATAATCATTAACGAAAAATATTCATCTGAAAACAGAGCGCATTTAATCAAGCTTTGCACTAATTTGTAATCCATTCAGTAATATTTGTTTTCAACAAAAATATTCTCACAAATTTTGTAAAAATATAACGTCACGATATCACGCACAATGACCCAAATGCAATGCTAGTTGAGGAAATGGCCAGATAAACTGATGTCTTGGCGTGTAATTTTTAATTTACTGTATTTTACTCCATTTATGTATAATCCTACGACAATATTTTTAACGATAATATTTTAAATGTTAGGTGATTTTAAATTAAATGAAAGTATAACTACCTACTGACTTCTGTACGGGAATGTGAATCGTAGGTTTTTTATACATCAATGTATTTATTTATAGAAATCCTATATCATCAAAATATTTTGTTCACAGTGGGCATCGTTTCCTATTCAATGCCTAAAGGCAACAAAAGAAGCAATGGAGTAGAACTCACAGATATGATATACGATGGCCAATGGGGGGAGGAACTAAGAGGAGGATTGGGACAACTCGTAGACGGCCAGTTTGGCGGCGATGAGATCCGGGAAGCAGCTAAGAATTCTGCCTGGGTCGGATGGCGGAATGACTCGAGACCTACGCCGCCAATCATCACCTTCGAGTTCGATAAAGTACGGGAGTTCAGCGCTGTCCACCTTTATTGTAATAACAAGTTTATGAGGGATGTGCAGGTGAGTCAATTGCTATATATTTTTATTATTTCCACGTACATTACGAAAACGAAGTCTCTAAGACGGTGCATAACTTATTGTAGGATGATATTTTTTCTATAGTATTAAAGTACCTGATTCGATTAATTTTAGACTAAGAGTAATCCTTAATAATATTTTAAATATAATTGAATTAGCTTCTTATTTCTTGACGCATTGACAGCTCAAGTAATAGCCGTGTTTCACATACACGTACTATTTGGGATAGAGAACGACATAGAGGGCATTATTTATGCTGATTAATCAACATATTCCGATCAGACGGACCAAGTTGCGGACAAAAGCTAGTGTTAAATAAAAGTAGCTACTTTTCATTATATTTGACCTCTTCGAGAATTACCAGGTTGCTGAGTATACAACCCTGGGCTAGGGTGATCGTTATCAAACAAATTATGTTAATATTGGTGATTGTTGGCACTAGCTGGAACTTGGAATTCGTACTGATTGCACCGAGGCAAACCGAAATGCACATTACTATTGATAGATCTTTGATAACGACTTAAAGGCGAGACCGGACCTGGCAGTAAATATGAATAAGCTGTCTGAGCATATGTCGTTGTGTCCATATTAATTTTTTTCTTTCTCTAAAATGTTTAATTGGACTATTACGAACATTAAATAAATATATATTTTACAAATAACAACTCGACACATATTAATCTAACATTTAGTTTAATATGTGTCAAGTTGATCATACGACTTAATTTGTTGAAGAACAAATTAATTTTTTTAATGAAAGAAAAAAATTATAAATTGGATTAAATGAGCACATTATCAGTTTTCCGTATCCATTAGCATTTGTCTACTGGAAAAACATTTCATTAACAAAATATCAAGTCTTTTAACCAATGATACTAAAAACATTCTCGTATCAATGAATCTCATACTATGACCCACGTTACTATACTATAGTGAGCCAGATTACTGATTGATGACGATTTATTGTTTGTATTGATATAATTTTTTTAAATTATCTGACATTTAAACAATAAATACGTAATTTTACTCTTTGTTTCAACTCTCACGATAGCTTAAATACGTGCCACTAAGCCAGTAAGTAGGTCAACAAAGGCTTTCAACGAAAACATATGTCGTGACACAAAAGTCACATTGAAGTTTTTAGCCGTCGAAATGGTACCTACTTTTTAACAGAAACAAACAACTTGCCTGTGTTCCTCGTATCGTATTTATATAAGAATGAATTTGGTAAAGAACCAACTCTGTGAAATAATAGTCTCTTTGAAACCATTAGGTTTCGATAATGCATTATAACAATCTATAATGCACCGATAGGACTGTTTTATGTCATGTATTAGTACTTTTATTCCAGCGGATATATAGATTTGTCTGTACTAATATTATAAACAGGGAAGATTTGATTGTTTATTTATAATGGATAAATTTAAAAACGATTCAGCTCATTTACAAAGCTTTTTCACCTATAGAAAACTACAGTACAAACGAGTAATAGGCTATACAGTAGTATCTCGATTATCTGAATAAAACAAAACCAGGGGTATTCCGTATAATCGAAAATCCGGATATCGATTTCAAAGTTAAACCAAACACTAATTAAATTTTAATATTTTTTTATTGTGTGAAGATACAATACGATATAAAAAAAAATTACGAGTTATAAAGATAATGGATTACATAATACTTATTTACCCATACATTTCTAAATCGGTAATTAGAGCCGTGAAGAATAAGTCCGGATAATCGAATATGTGTTAATAATCGATGTTCAGATAATCGAGATTATACTGTATATTATTTTCGAATAAACCGGCCCGGATCGTTGGTTATAGATATAATAACCAATTAACGCCACCGATGTTAACTATTGCTAGTTACAGGTCACTCCCAATAAAGATATATTAACCTACTATTACCATATTGGTTTTATATTTATTTCGAAGTTTCTTCTGTGCCAGTGTAATGTATTTTGTTCCCCTAATTCCTATTACGGTATCTCGGAATGAGAAGCAATGGTGACACAATAATTTTACACTGCCACAATATGGACAAAGCCACTAAATGCCACTAACCATAGACAAGTTTGAAATTTGATATTTGAAAAAACCTCGTATAAATATACAGGTTTACGTAAAATAACTAGAAATAACCTCGTTTAACTCAGTCTTAATAGATAAAAATACCGTGTTAAAATAGAGCCATCTCTTTGGAGACTGTGATGTTTTATATAAATACAGACAGAAGCTTCAAAATAACATATCTCTTATTTCCTTAAAGGCTTAAAGGCTTTTTATCTTTCTACATCCTCGTATATTATAAATATGACAGTTTCTCAAGATTTCTAGATGTTTAGGATAAATCTATCATGTTTAATAGGTTTGAATGAAATTTGGAACACAGATAGGGCACGCCCTAAATTAATATATAGGATATTTATTAATCAAATTCACGCGGATATAGCCACAGTATACAGATAGTTCATAATAAGTGTCACAGCTATTAATATATCTATTTAAATGCAATAAATAATTCAAAGTGTATTTACGTCAGACGCAAGTGTAATCTCAGCTTAAATAAGCTACGTTTAGATTAATGATATAACGCTTCATTAATTAAACAAGTGAAACGTTGACATACTGTTGTAAATTTACTAGCAAGATTAAGGAATATTCATTTCATCGATGAGTAGGATTAATCATAGGCATGAATTTAAATAGATGCCGTGACTGCATGTACTTTGCATGCCCTAATGTTTTACCTATGCAAGCTCCAAGAGCCTTGAAACTGAAATTCAGCCGTAGAGGCTGAATGTCGGTTCAAAGTTCTGTATAAATTTTCTCGAGAAAATATATTTTTTTGTTGAAGATAACCCCGCCGAAATCAACTTGACAGAGTATATTGCCAGCAATGGGGCCGCTAGTCCTCATTAGTTTCTGTTTTATCTCATCTTTTGAAATATGGAATTACATGGCGTTATACTGGTAGCATATTCAATAAAATTAAAATAGGAGGTCAATAAATAGCTTTAACATTGTATACGAAATAAAAGTATAGCATGTTTAGTTTTTATATAGATCGAGGCACTTGCACTATCTATTTCTGTGAGTTCAATTCTAATTAAAATTACATTCATTTTAAAGCCATGCGCCGCGTCGAATTCCCTGATTTTTTATTAAACTTGAAAATTGCTAATGGCTACCCTAAAAAGCCAAAAGAAGAAAAAATCCATGGTTATATTAAGTTTCTATTATATAGAGCAAAATGTAGCTAAATATAGTCATTTTCAATTTCACCGCATTTTATCACGGTATTGTGAGATGTATTTTAAAATTTTAATTAACATGGCCATAAGGCTTCCAATATCATTTTCAATACTGTATTCAATTTCAATTTTGGTGATTTTCAAAACACGTTGCTTAATTGAATATTTATTGCGTAGAATAACTACTTATAACTATTTTAAACCAAAAAAAGTATATTGATATGATCAAATATAATATCACTCGAACTAAATTCTAGAAAAATAACTTTTAATTTAGTTTTATCATTCTCAAGCACAATACAGTATTGTAAGAGAAGGAAAACTAGAAATAAAATTATGTTTCAAACCGTCTGTCCAGCGTGGTAATAATAAGCTATTATCATCTTTTGAATAGAGATTATTGCCCAGTAGTGGGGAAAAAATGGATGATTACGGTATAAAGGATTTTACCACCAAATATTTTATAGTGGTAAAAGAGCAGAGCGTTACGTATTTTTAGTTGAATGCTTTTTTTATTACGATTTATAATGTATCATTTTATTTTTAGGTATTCTCGGAAGCGATAATATCGTTCTCAATCGGCGGTCGTCACTTCCAAAATGAGCCAATCCGATATACTTACGTGCAAGACAACATATTTGAAAACTCGCGGAATGTGAGCATAAAACTACATCACAGGATAGGCAAGTGGGTTCGAATAGAGTTGCACTTCTCAGCCAGATGGATACTTATCAGCGAGATCGTCTTCGACTCCGGTGAGTCCATTCGAAAGAAAAATCTTTATAGTAAAAGTTAAAATTCCACTCGTAATGGAATATTTTAGAACCAAAATTACATCGCAAAGTCGTCCTCGCGGCTGCAAGGTCGAGCTGTTTTCAGTTAGACCTTCAGTTTATTGAACGTAGTTGTAAATTTTTTAGTGATTTTTTATACTATTTTGTCTTTAAGTATACAGCTTTATATATATATATATATATATATATAAAATACAAACTATTATGTTAAGATTTCTATCGCGTCTATCGCTTTGAAGTTTATCAAATCTTATGATCGATTAATACGTTTCTTCTATTCCAGATGTCGCACAAGGAAACTACACACCGGAAAGCTTAAAACCACTCGGTGGGAAAGACAAAACCAAGCTCACGGCCAGCAAGGAAGTGCCCATATCCACTGCGCATCAAGAGGACCCATTGTATATGGCTATAGTCGTTGGGGTGCTGACCGCCTTAGTCATACTACTGGCTGTAGCTGTGTTCCTTATAGTTCATAGGCACAGGCATAGAAAATGCTTCGCATCCCCACTGGCGAAGACCACAGTATCGCAGAAGCGTACAGTTGAAAACTACAGTGGGTGCGGCACATCTATGCTGCCGGAGAACAAAATGATCATAGACTGTGGTTTAGATGTTAAGTCAGACGAGTACCAAGAGCCGTACCAGGCTCTTAAGTGTGCTCCATATTTTAGTTATAGTACTGTACTGCTCGAAATGAAAGACTTTGTAAAGGATTCTAATACAGCGCTTTCAGGTGAGGAAATTAAGTTTACATACATATTTATTTAACGTAGTGGTTTAATTAACGTAATAGGGACTGGAGTTCTCAGTACGAAATACCTGTGAGTGGTCACCAGGATTGTACCTGTGAGTGATTCCCAGAGAGGGCTGCTTGGAGGCCCTTTAAAGGTATATTGCTAGTTTTGGAAAGCGACCTCCTCATTACTAATAATCTCTACCTCTTCCCTTGATTAAGTTAGTATCTGGATAAGGACCAACATACATATGAGTGGACGTTTTAAGGGTAAAGTAGCTTTTCGCTAGCATTAAAGACAATTCATAAGGGATACAATCTATTGAATGCATCAATTGATTTATTATCAGCACTGTGACAATATTCTGTCAAGGCAAACTTGCTTTACTTAAGCATTATAAAAAGTGATTTTTATGTTTATCCATATATATATATATTTACATGCCCTATTCCACGCCGTGTGTCCCGGCATACAATAGGCCAGCCCTCTCTTTCCCGTGGCTGTCGTTAGAAGGTGATTAAGGAAACTTATGGTCGAGGGATGAGCAGCAGAGTCGTTCTTAAAACATCTCTAAAAACTTAACTACGGATGCCAAGCGTGGCAACTACTGCCAAAACTCCCCTTATGGGGAAGACTTATGTTCAGCAGTGGACAGTTAATGACTGAAATAATAAAAATAATAATGTCTTGTCCCAGCAGATAGTTCAAACTACGATTACGCGGTGCCTGAGTTGAGTTCAGCGCCATTGCTCACTAAGCGACGTCTGACAGACAGCTTGTCGGATAGAGCCACGGAACTCATGAGCGAGCATATGGACAAGATGGCGGAGCTAGAGGCGCGGCGTTCTGCAGCAGGATCAATAAGATCTAAACATAGCACTAAGGTATGGTACTATTAAAGATAATCTATCATAACGACAGGTTCTTTATGAGGTGAGCTTGGTGACCTTACCAATATTATAAAGGTGAAAGTGTGTCTTTGTAACCTCATGGCAACTTGATGACTCAACCTGTATGCCTACCAAGCGTGACAACTACTGCCAAAATACCCCTAACGTATGAAGCCTATATTCCACAGTGGACAGTTAACGGTTGATATGGTATTCAACTATCACAAACTCAAAGAACCTTACTCACTTTTACATGGAACCCTTAGATTATGTAGAACGTAACTAGGTCAGAGTGCTGTCGAACAACTGACAAGCTGATTTCTAGTCGGATCCACTTATGGCAAGATCAGATCAGATAAGAGCCAATCAAAATTAAATGTTTTTATTAATTAAACATAAGCACCATATTTGTACATTATCAAATTAATTAAAACAAATTTCCAACTTTACTGAAATGTCTCTCGATTGCTGTCAGACATGTTTTTATGAACAAGTCTATACTTGTTATATCATTTGTCCTGACTGTCAACACACATCCAAAATTACTAAGTCTAGAAAACTGAAATTGGGAACATAGGAACATAGCTTTATTTTGTAACGTACACATCCACTGAGGAAGGATTTTTGAATTTTTTATTTTAATGACGAAACACGACACGTGGTAGGTTAATATTTATTATATTTGTTTGTATTAATATTTATAATATTTCGTCCCTACAATATTTTTTTATATTGTAATACAGTACGAGTTTTTATAGTAATATCGTATATAGATAGACATAGACGAGCCCCTCGGGTATTAAGGTTTACTAGCCACGGTATTCCGAACATAAAAAAAAAAAAAAACATTGTCAATAATGTTTTTTTGTTTTTAAATAACCAAACATGAATAGCTTGAAACTTTGATCGGTATAACTAAGCGTATTATTAATTAAACTGACATATCTAATTATTATCTAGTTATTATTATTATTTAACTTTGATAATATTTTATAAATTTCGCGACCGTTTTCAAAATATTATACTTTTATTTTCAATCGACATCAAAAAGAAGGAGGTTCTCAGTTTGGTTGTATATTTTTCTGTTTGTTGCCTCATAACTCCGTCACTTATAAACCGATTTGGAAAATTCTTTTTCTTTTATCTAAAAGGATATACTTACAGATTGGTTCCATATGAATTTTATCGAAATCGGTTCAGTAATTTAGTTTTTTAAATCAAAACAACTGCTTTCAGCATAAAAGTCGATTTTTTTTTTAAAAAAATTGTAATCTTAAATTATCAACTCACAAAATTCAATTTAAATTATTTTTTAATTAAGCATATTTCATTTTTATAATTGATTCAAAATTAATTTGTAATTAAACATGCCAAAGAAAATAAAACAGGCAATTCTATAGTATTACTCATGTGTTGTGATTCTTGTGGACTAGTGTTACGTTTGTGTACCTTATAATTGACTGCCATCTCCCACCGTAAAAGCAAAATTAAAAATTATTGTGGTATAAAGACTCAGTACAGCTGGTTCGTGACAAAAATATAAGTTCGGCAGTGATGCTTCGTATGAAAACTAAGACAGACAATGTGTCCAACATTTATGCATTCATTTGATTACATTGTGCATCAATTTAAATCGTAGTCTGTGGTGTACGAGTAAATTCAATTAGAACAAATTAAATCAGTTGCAGTGCTCAGAGCAGACCAGTCCCTACAGTTTGCACCCGTTCACGAGTGTTCAATAGTATTTATATTTGCAGTCGCCGAGTCAGCAAGAGGTGTTAATAGATCTACAACGGCGCCTGGAAACGACCAACGTGATCGAGTTTCCTCGTCACAGGCTGCGGATGATCTCCAAACTGGCCGAGGGTGCATTTGGCACTGTGAGTACTTAATGATAAAAAATATATATGGTCGTAACGTTTGATTATAAAGTATATAGCTGGCAAAGCAAAAGAAAAAAAAAACAATAACAACATATATGCCAGACATAGATAGAGACATTTACCTACACAATATAAACTCGAAAATAATCTGGCGGAAGGATGAACAAAACGAGTTCTTATTATTATTACTTTTTGAAGTTTTTTTAGTAAGTTATAATTAAGTATGATATATCTGGATATGACTTGGAAAAATTAACATTTTAAATAATAATAAACATTTTAAAATGCAAAACAATAATTAGATAAAGAAATCAAATTTAATCTAAATAAGTTTCTGAGCATCCATGAATTGAAACTAAAATTACAACAAATACGTGAATATTTGCTATTTTTGTAATTTCAATTCCATATAAATTTAGAAATATCACGTACACATATTTATAAAACACGCATACTGCGTGTAACCATTTTCTTGTCTCGTTTTTGCGATTGTGTTGCCAGTCTGTTAGTTCTTCATACTACATCTGTGGTCACAACAGTAGTAAGGCTATGTAGTCTTAGTCTTAGTTGTAGTCCTGCTGTTGTGATGAACGTGACAAATGGCGAATCTACTGCCGTTTATCGGATTAGTTTTGTTGATGATATTACTATTGCTTTTAAGCTCAATCAATGAATATATATATATATATATATGGTATATTAAACGATGTTTTTTTTGTTTTCTCTTTATATTTTCACTCCGAAATTGAAGAGAGATAAGATGTTTTTTTAATATTTAAATTTGTACCATTACTTTGTTGTCATGTCTTCGACTAAGAGGTCTACTCTTGAATCTAGTATTAATATAATCTATTGCCAATGACAATTTTATACTGCACTCATGAAACAACAGTTAGGAATTAAATTATAATTAGGATCCGAATAAAATAGTTTGCATTGACAAGTTGCACTAATATGCATCTATCAGAACAATATGTAACCATAATGTCGCTAGTGTTGCTATTCGAGAGTGCGAAACGTCTCAATTTCAATATCGAACTATTAGAATATATTTCGAGAGTAATCCCACAGATTGTTTGTCATTACAATTTTTATCCATTCCAAATGTTCATCCGGTATCCAAAGGTTGACTGGAAGAGATAGCAATAAAGTCGCCTAATGTTTTCTCTGTGATTTATCTATATATCTATCCTCACGCCGTGTCCCTTGCAGGGTAGGCAAAGAGTGTCTAGTGTTTCTCTGTGATCTATAATTTGTTATTTTTGTTATTGCTACTAAGATGTACTGTTTTGGAAAATATAATATCTATTTATTTCCCTACTGTATTATAAATAGATTCTTTGGTACTTCAATGAGCTCGAGAAGAAAGCAGTAAATGGTAACAGCATTATGTTAGTATAGGCGAGGTTTCAGTGAGGAATGATAGATAAGGATAAATACAGATCAGTCAGCCTATCGTGATGAGTTCACCTGGAATTGAGCACGATTGTTTCTGGGGCGACCGCGATAGGTAGCATATTGCTAGTAATAAACTACAAGTCCCAATCACTAATAATCCCTTTTTAGTGAAGAATCTCTTCCACCACCTGTTATTAACTTTCTCCTTCCTCATAAGTAACGCAGTATAACTCTGAATCTGTACTAAAGAAAGTTAACTCAATAGGTTTACGTGGCGGAAGCAGACGGAGTGCCGGAGTATAACGGGACCATCACATCTGAGAAGAGACTTGTGGCGGTAAAGTTCTTGTGCCACGACGCCACCCTTAAGGAGAGGTATTTCATGTATGACATATTATTTTAGATGTCTACTACTACTCACACTGTTTATTATTTCTAACTTCCATTTAACTCTTAATAGTGCTGCTGTTGTTCTTATAAATAAATAAACCCTTTATAGCGCATACTGTTAATTTGTATACTTTTAACCAATTACCAGCAGAATAAGTGCATTTATCCCAAGAGAAAAAAAGAAAAAAATATAACTAAGTACTGTTTATATTTGAAATATAAAGTACAGCTTGCAAAATAATGTAACATTGGATTATGAATACATAATTTCTCTTTTTGAGTGCACCTTATTTACAACATTGAAATATTATTTTCAACAAAAAAAAAAAAGTGTTTGAAATATCGCTAAAAAATAAAAAATAAAAGTTTGTGCATCATCATTAACATCTTAACATTTTAGGCGGTAAAAAATTACAGATGTCTCTATTTAGTTGATTGTTTAATTAAATTATTAAAATAGTTTGGCATTAGCCTACGACAGGACATTTCAAGTCATCTTGTTGTTGCTTAATAATTTTATTCAAATTAGTTGCAGTTTTGCAATGTGGCGCCATAAAGGGTTAACTTTCTACCCAAGTCTAACATAATAAACAAATAACAAACATGGTGAATTAATAGTTCACCAAATGAAAAGTAATAACAGTCATACTGCTATGGATACATAGCTTTGTTTTGGTTTAATGATTGAGGTATGACATTGAAGGAAGAGAACGAAAGTCGTGATAGTTTAGTCCTCAAGAACGACAACGCATAAGAGGCTCTATGGGCATCATAAACACGGCGTACTCTGTGGTGTTCATGGTGCTGTTCATATCTATAGTCAACGGTTATTACTTCCATTAAGTGGGCCGTCATCTTATTTATCATTCCAAATTCAAAAAATCTATCATATATAAATAAAAATTAATCGCTAAATATGTTGCTAAGCGCAACCTCTAGAACGCCTAATTCGGCTAATTTTATCCAAATATTCATTGAAATTGGAAAAAGGTTCTTGTGTAGAGTAAAATTGGAAAACTCCCATTATTTTTTCTTTTTAGCCATACGAACTGTTTTGTACGTAGACAGATTGCTACAATTTAACAGAATGATATCTATCGCTTTGTCTAGTGTCTTAATGAAACGAAATTTTTAGGGAGGAATTCGAACGGGATGTTCGCATATTGGCGGCGTTGTCTTCCCCCCACCTAGCCCGAGTGTTGGGCGCCTGCAGGTCTCCTCCCCTCGCCGTGGTGCTCGAGTACCTAGAGTTGGGTGATCTCTGCGCTTTCCTACGCACTGCTGCCCCTCAGTCAACGCCCACGTTGTTGCATATAGCCACGCAAATTGCTGGCGGAATGCAGTACCTGGAGTCACTGAACTTTGTACACAGAGATTTAGCTGCTAGGTGAGTTTATAAAGCTATTCATTATGAAGCTATTAGTTTAATCTCTTCTGCACTAAAATTAAACTCTTTAAATATTAATTTGTGAACAAAGTACGAATTAACTAAACCCTAATTTTATTAATTGGCTTTTTATTTATTTTATTATTTAAATAGTTTTATTGGCCAAAAGAAAATATTATACAATAAGCGGACTTAATGCTAGTAGCATTTTGTATCAGTCAAATTTATTATTATTGTTAAATTACATTTTTTTTATTCTTAAAATTAATAATACCTTAAGTATATTTATGCAATTGAAGTATAATATAATTTGTTTTTCCATACTTTGCATATTTAGACAGCAATTTTTATAAAAATAATAGTGATTACCTGTGCCAATATATATATATATTTTTTATTTCTAAAAGACTAATTTAATGAAACATGCCTAGATTATTTACTAACACAAATACTAAAAACATATTCTTTTTTATTGTTTTAACTTCCCAATTTAAAAAAATAAAACTTCAATAGTAGTAATAGTTGAGAATTATATGAAGACAATTTAATCTAATATCAAATTCTAATAGTTATTAATAAAAGGATCTATCTATGATATTACAATATAAACATTGACCGATTGATTGTCTTCCAGAAACTGCCTCGTCGGCAAGAACTACCAAGTGAAGATCAGCGACTTCGGTACGGACAACGAGTCGTACGCGTGCGACTATTATAAGGTCGATGGGAGGATTCCGTTGCCGCTGCGGTGGGCTGCGTGGGAGTCAGTGCTGCGGGGGAAGTATACCACCAAGAGTGACGTGTGGGCTTTCGCCGTCACACTCCACGAGATATTCACGCTGTGCCGACGGCGGCCGTACGAGCACATGACTGAGACTGAGGTGAGTGGAGATATACTGATACTAGTTCTTACCCCTAACTTTGTACACTGGGTATATAAAAGGATCTTTCTTCGTCTTCTACACTATGTGTTTACAAAATTTCATAACGATTTATTCAGCCGCTTAGGTGTAAAGGTGAAGAGATCACAAACAAAAATTCTTAATTTTAAATTTATAATGTTAGTAAGGATATGTCGTATAATTCAATCTCAGCTGTTAATCGCAGTTTATTGTTTTTTCTCTTTGTAATTTATCATAACTAATTGTTAATATATTTTTACTCTCGATTTTTATAATTCTAAAAAAGAAATAATAATAATAATGCATAAGAAATTAAAAAAGATAGAGTAAGAAACAGTGTGATTAGAGAGAAGTGTGGACTGAAAGACGATGTAGTGACAAAAATTGAAAAAGGTATGTTGCGTTGGTTTGGTCATTTGGAGAGGATGGATGAAAGAAGAATTACGAAAGAGATTTATCGAGCAAGAATGAATGGAGATGTTCAGTAGGGGCCGCCCTAGACGGACGTATGTCGACCAAATAGGCGACGTGCTGAAGAAGGGCCAAATTAAAAGTACCCGTAACCGACGAGCGTGTATGACAAGATTGATGAATGTGGAAGAAGCGAAAGAGGTTTGTTTGAATCGAAGCATTTGGCGTTCCATTGTTTCTGCCTACCCTAATGGGAGACAGGCGTGACAGATATGTATGTATGTATGCATAAGAAATTATTTATGGAAAAATCTCAGGTGTAGCGTTTTCAACCAAAAGGTGAATTTTATAAGCTATAAATTTGTGTGTATACAAACTATCAGAATAACACAATATAATAAAAATTCAATCATATTGACTGGAGCAATTCCATCTTAACAGGTGTATTTATACAACACCTGTATTAATTATGAAACTGTCAATCACCTACTAAATCTATTTTAGATATTAAATCTCCAGATGATTCATTATCATACAATTTAAGTTCATTTTATGAGAAATGAAGGTTATTTTATTTTTATTGTTCAGGTGCTAGAGAACCTGTCACACCTACAAGCTGACGACGGCATATTCGAGTGCATAGAACGCGCGGCGGGCTGTCCGCGCGATCTCTACGAGCTGATGTGTGAGTGTTGGCGCCGCGATGAGCTCGAGAGGCCCACGTTCGCCGAAATACACCTTTTCCTACAACGGAAAAGTCTCAATTACGCGACCACGTGATCCTGGCATGCGCGATGCTCGAATCTGTACTCGGGCAATTAACTAACGGCTCGGAGCAAAAGTTGAAATCGCATCTGTTCGTGTTATACCGGTCAGTGTGAACAGGTCACTAGGTTTTAGAGAATATGCGAGTCTTATGATTAATAAGAAATTAGACGTAACACCATGTCCAAGGGATTGGCATGGTACCGCGGATATTACAGTGTATTCTGTGATATCTAAGGTGCTGTATATGTCTAGATGATTACCGCTATTTTCTGTAACGGGCGATAATCAAATGGTAATCCTGCCTACGCTATCGGTATACGCTGGCGGGGTACCAGTGAGGTTTGATAGGTGACGGTGAAAGCAGATCCATTGGCTCATCGTGATAAATTCCACTAGAATTAACCACCATAGTTTCCAGGGGTAACCATGTGGAGATCGATCTTATAGGGTGTATTGCTAGTAATGGGGGAATTAATCTCCATTACAAAAATCCCTTTCCCTCTAATTTTCGCTTTATATCAAATAGATCAGCGGATTTGCTATTCTAAGTTGCATACAAAATCTCAGAAAACAGGATATAATGGACTCAGTAAGGAAATAGCGGTAATCATTGTTAATATTGTAAACTATATTTTATTATAAGGTTTACATTAGTAACACTCGCATATTGTCGTTTCAAATTGTACCATTAATCATCGATTTACTTTTGATTTACTGTAACAAATTACTGTCATTCGAACAGTATTTAGTACTTAATTATTATACATTATGTATATTTTATTATTTAGCTGGAAATTTTCTTTTATAAAGCTATTATTCTGTAATTTTAATTAATAGATTAAATTAAAAAAGTAAATCGATGGTTAATTAAGAAAACCTGTGTCAGAAATTAAATTACGTGTAATGATTAAGAATCGTATTAATTTGACTTAACCAATACTTATGGAGTGCTACTATTAGGCTATGTCCTTCTTTCTATGTGTATAAATATGGTCATTTAAGAGTCACCTATCAAACGAGGTCAATTAAGCTTTGATTTGTGACAGTTAATACTTTTATATTGCACGAAAGAGTTGTTTTATGAGCGATTGTTTATATACACAGTTACCTATCCAAGGGATTCCTGCACACAACGTTGTCCCAATTGATCGATGCAATATAAATGCAAACTCTATATCAATATCTTAAAGTTTAGCTTTCTGTTTCGTATCTTAATCGTTACTCGTAGCATAATTGAAATGAAATTATGAAGTAGATTCAACGTTTGCTCCGTCGTTCCTGTGCCATAGACAATCGCAGTTTCGTACGCTCTGGGTTCTATACTTATTATTTTATTTAAACTATGGTTTAGACTCGTGAGGCATAGACAAATAACAAATTAATCTAATTCTAAATACATTTATTGTTTAGTTAATTTTAACAGAATGAGAAATAATGTTATTAGAGGATACTATTTATTGCATGATAATGTAGTTTTCTGACAGATTGCAAAATATTTTTTTTACACATTTAGTAAATAGTCTTGGCATGTCTCTTTAGAAATTGGGAATAATTTATTTATGAACGCCTAATTAGCCTTTCATAAAAATTATAAAGAAAAGAATATGTAATAATAAATATCTAAATTAGATATTTGTTAAATTTTATTTTATATCCATGAAAAGAGGCCAACATTATACTAAATGAGTATATCAAGTTAGAAAAAAGATATAGATGAAATGTAATGTAAATGATGTAATGTTTAGCCCATTGTAAAGACATGACAGAAGAATTATGAAAGATTGAAGACTGATAATGGGAAAACTGAATGAAGATATCACTAGTTCTTACCTTAGTTCTATATGGATACCTGTTGTCTTAGGGATGTGAAAAGTGTGGCTATTTTATGCATAAGTATCTTGTATGAATAAACGGAAAGTATGAGAGAAACGAAAGAGATTTGTTGAATGGGATTGAATTGAATGGGACAGCATGCATAGAACATCATTGTCTATGATCCCCGATACTAGATCAATTGTCTAAACAAATAACGTTTCTTTTAAATAATTTCATTTGCTACTTATCTACTGGTAATGAAATAAAAAATTACAATGAACACATTTTTCGATAAACAATATGAAAGCTATTTCTTTATATCATAATTTTTACGATGATTAAAAAAAAAGGTGATGTCAATGTGATTTTTATTTTTGTCATTAGAAAACACTAGTGGGCACGCACTCATATACAACCGAGTCGGTGCGTACGAAGCTGTGGGTTGTGGCACATTAAGTCTCTCTGTCGTAGCGTGATATTCTATCTTAACTATTTTTATTTTTATGTAAGCCTACTGTCGCTGTTTATTTTAAGTATTACGGTACTCGAACGTATAAAACACGACTGATTTGTATTGGAACGGCTATGTACTCTGAATCAAGAATAAGACTGATACCATCTTTCATGACATTTTATAATCACTATTTCATAATTTCACATGTCATTTACATGTCTCTTGTTATTAAAATGTTGAAATTAGTACGTGTAATGTACTACGAAATATATTCAAAATTAACATTACAATATTTATTTTTAAACTTTTTTTTATAAGATCTGTTCTATCTAATAAGAGGTTTTGTATTTACATTGTTTAGGGAAGTTCAAACTAACAGGACATCATGCTACGATGTTTAGATTTATAAATTTTTAGTTATAATAATCGACTTTCACGAGTGAGCTACGATGAATAGACATATACAACCCGTTCTTCCTTCACCTCTTGAGGCTTAGAAAAGTATTTCTAGTACACCTCACGCGTCTTCACCACGTAGAAAATTCTTAGGTCCTTATCTATGACCAAAAATGTGTTATATGCGGCTTTGAAAGTTTATTTACAAAGATATAAAAAAAGAAATCTATTTATTCATGTATAAAGTCTAAATTATAATTGAATTCTATATTTTTATGATTATTCTATCATCTTGCACTGTCGTCATATATACAGATTTAAATACAAACGAATAAGTGAAACGCATGTAGAAACATTTTTGGTTTTTGAGTCTTACTTATTTTTATTTTTTGTTATTTTGTTTTATTTAAATAAACTTATATCTAATTTAGACATTGTATTGTCTTTACACAATCTTTATCTTTACTATTTCGATAACTATGACCATCAACATTCTTTATATGATAAAGTAATATATAGATCTCATTTAACGTTATTAACTTAGCCTTTTGTAACATACATAATACATTACCAGAGGGAGACTTTCTATAAAAGTCGTTTGCTTGGGCACCTCTGTTTGAATTTACAGGATACAAAAGAATAACAGCTGACCTCAGGAATGGCAACAGATGGGGGGTACTATGGGCTAAACAGTATACTCTGTTATGTACATGGTACTGCTTATGTCTATAGGCGACGGTTACCACTTTCCATCAGGTGGGCCGTCAACTTATTTGCCATTCTAAGTTGCATAAAATTATATATATAAAAGGCTAAATTGTATGTTAATATAGGCTAAATTAATAATGTTAACTGTCTGTTATATAGCAGTTTATAGTATAAGAGTAGTTAGTGGTTATGAAGATAGCGCATTTTTCACACAAGCCCTAGATTTTATTTACAGTCGTTAATGCTTGACAATACTAAATTGAATCTTATTCTTATGGGAATAGAAAACAATATGCCTACCCACGTCTATACAAAGACGTGGTAGACATATATCAGGTGTAAAGTTCAGTATTCTATACCGGGTGAAATCAAAGGCGTTACCTTTTTTTTTAATGGAGTGTTGTACGTTTTTAAGGTTCAGTACAAAAATAGGTACAAAGGAAATCTTATGATGCGACTGACCGTTCATTCATACGTCTGTCTTATAAACTAAGTACTGATGTTGTTGTTTTGAAATTTGGAACAGTTTGGCATATTCTTTCCCAAAACATATTGCAATAAGTAGTATACAGAATCCTCGGCGTGTGAATTCAAGTCACACTTGACCTAACCTGGTTTTATTAAAAGAAACATGGGTTGAAAATAGAAATAAAAATTTGAATCTTGAAAAACAAAAATTGTGGATTACTTCCTATGGGAGTCTTACAATTTTTTGTTTACCTTATGTAATTGTTTCTTCAAGAATATCTTCTTTTTCATTATTATAACTCTTCTATGAAAATATTGTAATGGTATTGATTTCACCGTGTATATAATACCTCTATGACATAGGTATTATTTTAAAACATCAAATCGTAACGCCTAGTTAGAATAGTTCGCGATTTGTCTACCGAACTCCAACGGTGAAGACTTCGTCCGGTGTACAATTAGATCAAGTTACCACACTTTATAGTTATTTATTTTCATATAAATCAATTCATAATATGAGATCAGTAAATTAGTTACTATATAGTAAGTTGTTAGTGATAGTAGCATCTGGATCGAATGAATTTTATTAGGAATATTAAATGTAATAAAGTGATAGATACAAGTTGTCTATTTTCCGTAGTTTGCTATGTTGAAGTTGGGACTTATAGCACTATCGGATATATAGAATTATATCATCGATATGTGATCCTACTTATGCACTTTTAATATCTATAAATATTTTATATTTTGTATAGCTAGTAAGATTACATTGTGTTACTTCCTCTATGATTCTATATATAAAATAGTGTAATAAGACCCATAGAGGAGGCAGTTATTCTGACAATATATGATGGCGCGCGTTTAGATAGTGTACCTCTCGCGTAGTGTTGCGTATAGGTGCGTACTTTGGTCGACGCGGCGCCGGCGGCCGATGTATTTTATGTACGTAAATTGAGCGTTGGTTTTATATGAAATAATACTGATAAATGACAACCTCAACGCTCGAATTACGCCACACATTCTATATCAATTGCGTTTGTCATTTTCAGTTTTAAAATTGTTCTATATGGTTTATTGACTTGGTACGCATTTGCAATTTTGGAAGTCTGTCTCTAAAACGAAAAGCAAAAAGTATGTTACAGTCCGAACAGTCGAGTGGCAAACGAATGTATGTGTTCATTAGTGTTTGAATGAGAAAAAAATAGACGCCGGACGATGCTGTTTCGTGCTATTACATTCACGCAGTAGCGAAACGTTTCTATCGATAAATTCGTTTGCTTCTCGTTTTAAGGAGACTACATTTGTAGTCATTACTCTGCATTTATAAAATAAATATTGATCATTAGTGTTTTAATTTCAATGGAATTCCCAACCACGGGAATTGTAATAGGCTGTCTTTTTACCATTGTACAGTACTACCACGTTATTAAGTTATCTATATAAAAAATCACAAAACGTTTCACAAAGAATTCGTTTTATCTACTTGCAAAAAATGCACTTAGTTTACAAATAAAATCTTAAATACCGTTTACGAAATCAACTAATAGACCATATTATCATATCCGCCTTTAATTGTCCACTGCTGGACATAAGCCTCCCGTTAGGGGGGTTTGTCAGTAGTTGCCACGCTTGGTAGGCAGATTGCCAACCACAGTTAGGCTTTGGAGATGTTTTAAGAGGGACGCTGCTTCTCGTCCCTCGCCCTCCTTTAATCGCCTATTATAACACCTAGGGGAAAGGAAGGGATGGCCCATTTTATGCCAGGATCTAATAGATAACCGGTTAATATCGAACCATCCTCTGAGTGGTAAACGAGACTATCATTTCACTACTGCATCCGTGAGATAAAAGCAGATAGCAACGTTTGGTTTCAGTTCTTTCTTTCCCACGTGAGCACAGATAAACATGTATTTCATAGATTCGTTTTCTGGGGGGTGGGGGGGGGGACACATCTCTCCAAGACGTAAAATACGGTAGTACTGTAACAACGATGTTGTGTAAGCGATATTGTGATGTGTTTACATGTAATCAGAATTTATTTTGGAAATATACATGGCATGCGTGTATTCTTAATCTTATAAACTTTGACAATATTATATCATGACGAGTAACTGTGTTATATGTATGTACATAATTTAACGGTATATGTACTTGTTGTTTTAAATATTTCAAGTTACTTTATGCTTTACGAATAATATATTTATATAAACATTTGAACACAACGAGTTGATAATCTCCTATCTATAGAGATATATTTTAATTTTAAAACGAAACTCCTATAATTTTACCGAAGAAATTATTTATTTTGTAATATAAAATATTTCGGGCGGCTTTTCACTGCCACGTTAATCGTTTATTTATATAATAATAATAATTATGACCAATGTGCATATCTGTACGTCTGTCTTAGTGCGACGGGGGATCGCATTGTTAAATTCGGCGGGTGGTTGCTTATTTTGGTCTAAGCTCTTTACACGGCCGAATAGCGAATCTTTCGCCAACGTAGTTATATTTCGTATAAAGTAGGCGGCTATTAGTCGTAGGTAGAATTAAATTTCTTGCCATGTCTAAGAGCCATGATATCTTAAACCGATATGGGGGAAATGCGGGGGTTTTAAGATATATTCTTTTAGGGCATATTTATATTTGTAAAAAAATTAAACAGGCTATTCTAATGCGATCCCCCGATGTTCTAATAGTAAGCTTGTAGTTTATCACTAGCTCTTATGTTCCCTAACGTGGACCGAAACGTACGGCTTAATCTCAAGAGTCTAAATAAGTAAGCACTTAGATTTAAGAGCGTTTAGTTTGCAATGTAGTAAAGTTAAACTTATAATGTTATATTACTATAGGCGTGAAGATCGCGCTTTGAACAAAAGATATTGAAACATCTTTGGCATATTATCTAATTTATCATACAGTTAAAAAGTTATCAAGTTAAAAGTAATTTAGAAATTAATTTCTTCTGAAATGCAAAGAAAAACTTCGAAGCGTTTGGCTTTTTTTTTTTAAATAAAATTCAGGTCATTGCTCTGTATTACAATATTTAAATTAGGAAATCAATTTCATTCTGTAGATATAAAACCAAGCTTAGAGTCTTTGATACAAATTAGTAAAATTATTTAATTAATTTGTATTAAAAATTAAATTAATTGTCAAAAAAATGTATAATACATACGGATATATTCCTTGATTTAAGGTAAATATTAGGTGTTACTAAATCGAAATCTTTTTTAGATTATCTCTAATAAAAAAATCATAAAACAAAAGTTTTAATTGAATTAACATGTTACTATAACTATAAATTCATTCACAGAGAACATCTTATTGTTTAAATTACATTATGCATAAGTAATTAGACACGTACACGGTTAGTACGAAACTTATAAATAAAATTGTTCCATTAACCCGTGTCTGCAGCAATTATTGATATTATTCACTAGTCCCTACCCATTTTACATAATAATAACCCATAATTAAAGCCCTGGAGGCATGAAATACACGCGCGCGATAGCTACCTATAATTGTCGCATTTAAGTATATTTAATGCTTATTTAATTTGTAGTAGCTAGATAATTGATACGACACGGCCTATGATATCGATGCGATGTTATTCTTAGTATACGTAATTGATATAGATGAAATAGTAAAAATACATTTATGTAACACAATTATATTGATATTTAAAAGGCGGACTCAAAGACATTGCTTTTTAGTTTTCACTGGATATAAACGAATATGTTTAGGTATTATCAAGACAAAAATGTGTATTTGGAGGCATATTGTTAATTATGTTCTATATGAGGTGAGATGGAAAATGAACTCACTGGTCAAAACTCTTAATCGATTGATTGATTTAAATAATAATACATAAAACTTGCCTTGTTATTTATCAATCATTTCACAAAAAAGTGCGCTATTGTTTTTTTTTTTTTATGTTTACAACAAATAAAAAAAAAACTCGCATCTCAATCATTTATTAACCTTTTCGTAAAATTCCTTTTATCTGAAAGGTTATATTTTCACTCATCCACATAGAACTTACATCACAATTGCTTTTTAATTGAAATTAACTGGTTTTGCTACGATTAAAGTCGATGTTTTTCTTTTGTGTAACAAAATCGACTTGTTTTCCAGTCAAATTACTAAGAGCTTTGTTTAATAAAATCCGCCTATTAGTGATCTAGGGCCTAATACGTATTATAAATATATTTCTGAATGTCTGGATATTTGTAAAATAGATAATAATGTAATGCATGAATGGCTTAACATTTCATATGTTTGACGCATAGCCCATGAAATGTTGATCATGTAGGACGGATTTTATGGGTATTTTCTACGGTAGTGCAATACATTTCTATTGTAGTATTACTATTTCTTTTTTCCAAAACAGTAAGACTAATGTTATTTGTCCAAGATTGAGTACAGTGAGAGACCTATGCGCAGTATTGATCGCCCACTAAATAAAAGTAAAGCAAAGCGCCGTATCTTCACGCTATAGTACTATTGCATGCAGACAGAACCAATGTTTACTAGGCTAATCGAATACATAGAGGTCTAAAATTATTTTCTAAGTAAGTAGCGACCATTATAATATAAGTATGCATTTACTTTCGTAAATCTGGCCTTATTTCCTTCGTTAATTATTATTGTCTAGCTGATAGTGTATAGATGAGGTGGCTCAGGGTGCGTCTAGTGACGATGCGACGATCCCGACGGCTCACGCTACTGTATCGTTAGTGATAATGTTAGACACTAATAATAATGTACAATAACACCCTCTCTGCCTTAGTGATGCTATTCTTACCCCCTAATGCTATGATGAAATATCACGTTAGAACGAAATTTATATGTATCTTGTAAATACGAATTCTTATTGCTGATGTATTATAACGAGCACTATGGAAAACATAAATTCCTAACAATGGTCCAAACTTCACTCGCTTTTTAATTTGTACTATATGATTATACAATTTCTATATAGATAAAGAAATAATAATTAATCTAGAAATAAAAACTTTATGCTTTAATTTTTATTTTTAATAGATGTAAAACTTGTATTTGTCGAAATGCTTAATTTTCATAATTCAAAGTTTTATGGAAAAGGTTGATACCAAATGCAGTATTTTTATTTTGTACTCTACATCTTTGTACCCGAATAAAAGCAATAATCCAAATGGCTTTAATTTTTTGCCGTTCCTTTTCCTTTTATAACTAGTTATCTCGAAAAAAAAAAAGGTCTTTAGTTAAAGAAATTTTAAAACGTCTAATCCAACGGACGAAATACAGTGTAGCCACCTACACAACTTTTTTTTTCGGTTTTTCTAAATGTTTACAAATTCTCAGCTTATCAGTTCTCTGTTAACCACAACTTCCTAAATAGTAACAACGCATTGAACTGCGACTTCTCAATAAGCACTTAATAATGAGACCCTTCTGGCAATTCGTGTTCGCTGTCTCTATACTCCAAATGAGTGTAGCAGTTAAAGTCAAAGTAGTTATGCACTCCGAACAAGAGGATTCCAGGATCGAAGACGAGGAAGTACCACGCACCGAGTCGTGGAGCCATAAAAAACGTTCAGAACGTCAACACATAACAATGTTACCGTTTCTGAAAACATCAAAGAAACGCGTCGTGGAAAAAATTGAATTTGAAGAGGAAAAACCGACAACGGAAAAGCCCCAACATCTGCATCCCAACGAGTTGATATTTCCACTAATATATCGTCAAAATCACATAAACAGTATGTTTAAATTTGGAGAGAATTGGTACACTTGGTCGACTGAAAAGCGAACTGATGGATCGAAGGCGATAAATTATTATATTTGCTATGACGAGCCCAAAAGATGCGATGACATTGGATGGGTAACGAATAGATTTTTTAATTATTCTTACAACCTCATGAAAAGTGGTGATCGTCGCGTACAGAGATGAACAGCGCCAAGGACATTACAGATTATTATACCTTATTGGTTGCCGTTCCTGAAGACTACGATCTTATGTTTCCTATAATTTCACTGCCGTATCCCACCTCTTAAACATAAACACAGCCACACAAGCATCGCTGCCTCGCGGAAAAAACAGAAATTTTCATGCAGAATATTTTATACAAAGTCTTCCTCTGATAGTAGACCTATATCAGTATTATCGTATCAGCTTTTACCTGTCCGATGTTGATCGTAAGTCTCTCTAGGGGGGTTTTGCCAGTAGTTGCCACGCTTGGCAGACGAATAGCAACCGCAGTTAGGCTTAGGAGATGTTTTTAAGGGACGCAGCTGCTCATTCCTCGCCCTCCCTTAGTCGCCTCTTACGACACTCATGAGAAAGGAAAGGGTAGCTTGTTCTATGCCGGGACTGCACGGGAATTTATTATCTTTATTATATATATACTTATAAATAGGTCTATGGTATACAACAGCAGCAGATAACAAATAAAATTCAAAAAATAAACGATACTAATTCGGGTCATTGTTTTTTTTTATAATGTTTTGTCATCGAAAAATCAATACTGATACACTTGTTTACTACCTTATCATTCAATACTTGCGGATTCAATCCGCGCGCACTAAAATGAATATTATGCCTTTTCCATAGGAACGAACCGAAAATCTCCCTAGATGCGCATTCCAAATAGATTCTTTAATGCCGGACGATCGAGCTTGTATCAATAATTTTGGAGTTGAACCCCATACTCATGGTGTATGTGATGGAGGCGAGCAAATGAAGGTAACTAGAATATTTTTTTATAAATCTTTAACGGTCTTAACCGTGTTCACTTTCCAATAGTTTTGAATTCGAGTTCTATAGTTAATACGTATCTTACCTATGTTATGTTTACTGGTCTTAGCGTTTTCTATGTATTACTTAAAGTTCCATTTATTTGGAGACTAGATGTGTATTTATATTTAATAAATAAAATACAAAAAAGGCTAAGTAAAAAAAATATATAATTTTTAATTATTTTGATCTATACTGAAGATTATTTTTACATTTATAACTATGTATGAACTATTTATATAATATAATAATGTAGGTGAACGAAATCACACGTACATGCGGTCCACGCATTCGCTCTCTATGGCGATTCCTGCGAGTGAGTCAACGCCCTGCCAATGCACCTAAACCTGCGGATGTAAATTCCTTAATATGTGAAGATGAAGAGGAATGCTATATCACCATTGAATACAGGGTAAACTATATTTTTGCTGTTTATGTCATCACATTGTAAGAGCTAATGAAATCATACAGAAACTTAATTATTTAGGGACTTTGTCTTTCATGGACAAAACTCACCTGCACAAGCCTTGAAATGTATAGTTATTATATAATAACTATATATTTCAAATATATATTTGAATGGGAAATAAAAATATTAAGGTTTTCGTGAAATACTCAAAATCACGGAAAATATTGGATAGTCTAATATCTTACATCTTTATATTAAAAGAAATAGTGATATGTCAAAATACGAGTAGGAATATAATGCATTTTTCCTGCTAAGCATTTTCCTGGTAAGAATTACATACAGCATTTACGGCAAAATTGTATTATTATTAATATATATGGAAGGGATGGACCGGTGAATGTATTATACAATATATATATTGTATAATATAATCTATTACATTTATGTTGTAACTTTGTAGTAATAAATTAGTAAAAATATTTTTTGCCTCAGATTCATCACGACAGAATAACGTTTTCGCTACATGAGCCAACACGAGGCCAAACCTTTAAGAGTGCGCTGAAACGTGAAATTCAGAATGAGGAGGAACATAAGATAGTGGTAGTAAAAAAAAGTCGCCCTCGCATAATAATTCATAGAGGTAAAAAGAAGGAAGAAGAATCGAGAAAGAAAATCCATCTCCGATCAAGAACTAAAGTGACAGAGGGAAAAGGAGTCGTGAAAGAACGAAACGATTCTGGCTACACAAACTATAGACTCGCGAAGAACAAAATCAAAATCAGAGAGGACGTATCAGAAGACATTTCAGAATAAACGTTCGAGAACATATCATCTGAATCCGAGCTTTATTTCGTGATCGTATTTTACAAAAATAATCTAAATTCTATTGACTCAATGGCAGCAACAATGCTAAATCTCTTATTGTAAAACTAGCTTTCGCCCGCGTGGATCTTGATTATCGCAATATGCAATTTTTGGAAATAACTCGATAGATTTATTTGGATAAGGATTAATACTGGAATATGAAAATACCACTCAGACGGCGACCAGCGTGGTTATTCGTAATTTTAGAAAGAAAAGTGATTATTGTGACCTAACCGTAATAGTTAGACATATGCTATCGCGGACTTATTTGTAGATCTCAATGAGTACATTAAAAACGTAAAACATTGTTTTTCATTATAAGCAACTATTTAGTCAGTGAGCGCAAGATAAGCGAATTTTATATAATTTTTCTACCGACTTTCTCACAGTAAACGCTACGATGTGTATCTGGGTACAAAATAAGTGCAGAAAGTTGTAAGACATGGTGACGTTATATCCCACAAACTCTTCACAGCTGCATTGGAAGATATTTTCAAACTCTTAAACTGGAAAAGATATGGTATAAACATCAATGGCGAATAGATCACTCTCCTTTGATTTGCCGATGACATAGTAATCAAGGCAGAACCCCTGGAGAATTTCGATAATATGCTCAATGACCTCAATGGTGCTTTTTTTTTTATTCAACGTAGAATGGCTAACAAGCTGACGGCCCACCTGATGGAAAGTGGTAACCGTCGCCTATAGACATGAGCAGTACCATGGACATAACAGAGTATACTGTTTCGCCCATGATACCCCCCATGCGTTGCCACTCCTGAGGACTCAGGTGTTATTCCTCTGTACCCAGTAAATTCACGCCATATCCCACCCTTCAAACCGAAACACAACCATGCAAACACAACTGCTTCACGGTTGAAACACGAGTGGGACAGAGGTACCCAAGCAATCGACTTTTGTACAAAGTCTCCCTCTCCTCCCTCTTATTTCTCAACAGGTAGGTCTTAAGATGAACATGGACAAGACTAAAATGTATGTCAAACGTACATGTTACACCTATACCGGTTCAGGTCACTGCGTGTTGCCAATGATGACTTATGGAACCTGTTTGTAAAATATGCTGGTTCTTGTTGTATATAGGTATTATTTATTATTTATATTAATTATAAAATAAAATTACCGTCTGTTGACTTGAAACACGTTCGTCGACACGACGCACGAAACGGCGTCTGAAAACATGATCCTACACAATTGTCCGTATGTTAAAGCTTCAAATTACTCAGCACCTATAGAGAGAATTTCTGAGATGAATTTCTTTGCGTAATGGAATCCAAAACGGGGATATTCGCTTAAGAACCAACGTAACCCGACATAGCACAAAAGATAAAGAAAGCTGAAGTGGCAATGGGTAGGACTCCGTACGGGCAAAGGCAGTGTAGGACGACACAACCCCCCCCCCCCCCCACCACTTCTAAATGGAGTGACGACTTCAAATATATTGCAGTTAGTGGATGCAGATGTTTCAGGGCCGTTTTTTCGGCAGTCTCCATAGAATTCCCCCATGGGAAGCCTATGTCCAACAGTGGACGGATCATGGTTGAAATAAAGATGATGATGGCATATATTACAATTAAATTTTAGTTTTTAAAAACTGAATCCTGACTCTTGTCTTAACAGTGATGTCAGTAGAGAGATACCAGTGTATTCATGGTATTCATACAACTTGGGTTCCATTAACGAGTCGCGTCAAATAGATTGAATAGACTGACTCTTAAGTGTTGGCGCCAATTCGTCTTTGTGACCACAACCGACCCATAAAGAAACTAATCTTCGTAACCTGTTGGCATAGTCGACGCCTTCTGATGATTTTTTTTTATTATGCAAATAAAACAAAATTGATTAAATTAGACATTTTTTATAAATATTTTTTTACAACTTACAGTTTTGGATTTTAACAAAAAATATTTTTACATCTTCTCTTTCAACTCTTCTGATTCTGAAATCCTACCCCTATATTTTCTGCCACTATATTTGTATTTTGTTCCGCGTCGGTTTTCTTGCTTTTTAATTAAACTTGAAAATGGCCAATGGCTACCCTAAAAAGACGAAGCCAAAAGATTCTTTGTTTGCTTTCCTAAGTAAGATAGATATATATTTTTCCGTGTTAAAATCTTATAATACGTAATTCTTATTCGAAATAAATATTTATTTGTATTGAAAATCCTTGTTACACAAAATAGCATAGAAAATACCTATGTCGCGGTAATCTGTGGTCATAATTTTTTTATTATGGCGAGTGGTGTTATGTAGCAAATCCAGTCTTGCGTAACTTTTATACTAACTTAATATATAGATTTGGTCAGAAAATATCGTACCAACGTTTAATTAAATGATGAAATCACAATAGTGCCAACTTAACTAACAATAATACTGTCAAATGCGATGTAAATGGCTGCCATCTAAACTATTCGTGAAACAGTTTATGCTTAGCATTTCATATTTATTTTTATTTTGTCGTGGAAATGACGACTATATGTATATAATAAAATTGAATTTATTACGAGGTCTACTCTAAAAGTTAACCAGATATTACGGGAAGGGTTGAAAACTTATATTTGCTATCAATAATATTACGAAATTGAGATCTTAAGGTAATATTGTATTAAATAATAAACTTGTTTAAGAATTTTATTCTGTTTTATTTTTGCTAAAAAAACTATTCATCAAAACGTGAAATTTCACATAAAATTTATATATTTCTTTTATCACACGATTTGCATTTCAGTGAAAGATATTTACATTTTATTAATATTGAAAACTAAGTATAGTATCAAAAGTCGTTTTTCCCAAAAGTCGTATGATAATTATGGATGGCTCAAGCCCTGTTGTTGGGCTCTTTTTGAAATATGAAATCACTAGCGTACAGATTCCTCTATAAGAAATAAGAAATTTCTGTTTGTCTTTAGACAGCCTCCCTAATCTGTGCAGTGCAAATTGATTTGAATCCGAGACGAAGGCGTTCCTATTTTCTACTTTTTTTTAATTACAGTGAAGTTCTATATGAGCAACCTCCTTATAAGCAACTTAATTAATAAAAGGAAATAATATTTTCCAGACGGTAAACTATTTTTATACTCCTTTTTCCCTATAAGCAACTTTTCCTAATAAGATTTTTTTTATTGAAATTGGTTCAAATGAGTTGCTTATATAGAGCGTTCACTTTATTTTTCAATCAATATAAGTGTTTATTAAATTTTAGTTATATAAAAGCCCAGCTACCGATAGTACCTTTTGCAATATGTAGGAAAAATAAAACTTCAACATTTAAGAATACAATTCGTATTTAATGTCTATAATGCACTTATACTATTAGGCTAAATAACAATCGTTTCGTTAGTAACATTTTTCGACTTTATATTAATTTTTTTTTTAACAATAATAATAAACAAACAAAAAAAACAAAATTGTTAACTCCCGTTGTGCATATGTATAGACAACTACAACAAAAAAATACTTTGCATTCTCAATTTCATTTCGGGATTGAATTTTCATTTCGAATCGGAACAGAATTTCTTGAAATTATCATTATCGTAAATCATCGGTTCCAGATTGCTCTTATTTTCCGATGTGTCGTTCGGTTTTGTTTCTTTTGTGAGGTCTTCAACTGTACGGCCACTAACATTATTGCTTTCCACTTTGTCAGATGATATTTTTCTTTTGCGTTGCAATTTCGTTTCAAGCAGAACGTGGTCAGTAACAACTACATCGTTGACTTTTGCCCATTCCTTTTTTGTATCGTATTCGATTTGCTCCTCCGCTTGATGTAACTTCCCGGGCATTTCCGCTTCGATGAGCTCGTTGCCTTTCGATATAGCTGCTATTTCTTCTTCACTGCGTTTCTCTTCTTCAATTTTCTCCAACTGTACGAATTTTAGTTTTTATTTAACTGATACTATCTGGAAAAATTCCCCCAATGGTAAACAGCCATGACAAACGGACCCGTTCCTTATGGGAGTCTATGGAAAAGGTGTATGTTCAGAAGTGGACAGATAACTATATAAATATATATAATAAATATAAACAAATAATAAACACAAGTATAAGATCATATAAAATTTTTACAGTTATTAGTAACTTTGTAAGTTTTTCTAGTTAATTTTTTATAATGTAACTTGATCAAAATGAGTTTCAAAATCGTATTTATTCGAAGCTGAATAAACTGGGTTTTCAAACTTGCAAATTTCGCCTTTTATCCAATAGGTTAAGAGTTATATTCGCGTAAGAGTATTTACTCTTTTACAGATAATTATAATATCGATATATACATGATTAAAATAATACTTAGGGTATAATTTCTCCTAAGATAAATTAAAAAAATTCCTCTATAAGATAAATTCCTAAGATAATTTAAATAAAACGAAATTTATTACCATCTATGTGGTGGTAGAACTATTAGACAACCGACAGATGGACTCTTTTTATGCAACTCTAAATAGCAAAAATGCCGACAACCTAAATGAAACAAGTGGTACGCTAGTCATTAGACATGAACAGCACATTACAGAAGAGAGACGTTCACAATACTTCTGATGTATTGCTATTTCTATCTGGTCAATTTTATGGCTGTAATATTATACTTTCCATACACTGTAATTTAACTGCCATGCAAAAATAGAGAATGTTAAAAAATACACGAAGACAAAATACATATAAACGTAACTTACTACGTTATTATTTTCATTGCTGTTGCTTGTATCTTTAAGGGCCAATATATCGGGCTGATATTTCAAATTCCTTGCCAATAATACAGCATTGTCCACGTTCATTTGTTGTTCTTTACTGTAGAAAAAAGTAGATTTTTAAATTATATATATATATATATATATATATATATATATATATATATATATATATATATATATATATATATATATATATATATATATATATACTCCTCGCAAAAATTAAGGGAACATAAAAATTTTTGAAATTTTTGGGTGATTTTCAACAGGCTGTATTTCAGTGAAAAATAATCGTATAGGAAATTTAAAAAAAGGGTTTTGAAGCTTGAAAACTCTAGTTTTCAGATTTTTTGGTGAAAAAATTTTTTGAGCTCCGGTTTCCATGCAATTCTTAAACAAAGCTGAAAATAATTTTTTTCTAAATTTTCTAGGTTTCGTTTTTCACTCTATGGGCATGGAAAAATTTTTTCGAGCTACTCCATTATATAGGTCTCTTAGCGTGTTTATTCAGCTTCAAAAATCGCTTTGGATGGCTCAATTACGACCATTTGTCTCCGAGATATCGAACTTTGAATGCAAAAGCATCCTTTTCCATTCAACTGCTAATATCTCTGGAACTACTGGTCGCACAGCAAGCGGGTGCCGAGTTTCTTTATCTGCATAAAATTTCCAATTAAGCACAGTCAAGAGTTAGTGAAGAAAAAATTTTTTTCCACCTCTAACATTGAATTGAAAAAAGTGGAAAAAAGTGACTTTTTCTCCTTTTTTGGTTACTTGGCTGTATCTTCGCTAATATGGGCGGGAAAGCTAAGGTTTGAGGAAAATTTTACAGTCTATTGTTCCTTAAAGAACCCCTAAATCCCTGGAGCGATCGGTTCAACGGTTTTTCCCGGACCAATTGATTGAAATTTTGGAAAAAATAAGGGAACAAGGTTTTCGTCCCTTAAACTCACCCTAATCCATTCAAAAATCAATAATTTCATTTGTTTTTCACTTTTTACTCAATTTTTTGTTTTTTAAAAATTCATTATCAAAAAAAAAATCGAAAAAAATCAAGAAAATTTTTAAGAAAAATTTTTTTTGAAAAGTCGAAAAAAGTTTACAAAAATTTTTTTTTTTCGTTTTTAAGGAAATCAAAGTTTTTGACAAAAACTTTGATTGATGATCGATTTACCGCCGGCATTAGCGTTACCCAAATGGTCACTTTGATGATGATTTGATTGACGCTTCTTTTGTGCTTACGCACGTAAATCCGACCATGCAACCTCCACGTGGTATGCTTTGGGTAACGCTAATGCCGGCGGTAAATCGATCATCAATCAAAGTTTTTGTCAAAAACTTTGATTTCCTTAAAAACGAAATAAAAATTTTTTGTAAACTTTTTTCGACTTTTCAAAAAAAATTTTTCTTAAAAATTTTCTTGATTTTTTTCGATTTTTTTTTTGATAATGAATTTTTAAAAAACAAAAAATTGAGTAAAAAGTGAAAAACAAATGAAATTATTGATTTTTGAATGGATTAGGGTGAGTTTAAGGGACGAAAACCTTGTTCCCTTATTTTTTCCAAAATTTCAATCAATTGGTCCGGGAAAAACCGTTGAACCGATCGCTCCAGGGATTTAGGGGGTTCTTTAAGGAACAATAGACTGTAAAATTTTCCTCAAACCTTAGCTTTCCCGCCCATATTAGCGAAGATACAGCCAAGTAACCAAAAAAGGAGAAAAAGTCACTTTTTTCCACTTTTTTCAATTCAATGTTAGAGGTGGAAAAAAATTTTTTCTTCACTAACTCTTGACTGTGCTTAATTGGAAATTTTATGCAGATAAAGAAACTCGGCACCCGCTTGCTGTGCGACCAGTAGTTCCAGAGATATTAGCAGTTGAATGGAAAAGGATGCTTTTGCATTCAAAGTTCGATATCTCGGAGACAAATGGTCGTAATTGAGCCATCCAAAGCGATTTTTGAAGCTGAATAAACACGCTAAGAGACCTATACAATGGAGTAGCTCGAAAAAATTTTTCCATGCCCATAGAGTGAAAAACGAAACCTAGAAAATTTAGAAAAAAAATATTTTCAGCTTTGTTTAAGAATTGCATGGAAACCGGAGCTCAAAAAATTTTTTCACCAAAAAATCTGAAAACTAGAGTTTTCAAGCTTCAAAACCCTTTTTTTAAATTTCCTATACGATTATTTTTCACTGAAATACAGTCTGTTGAAAATCACCCAAAAATTTCAAAAATTTTTATGTTCCCTTAATTTTTGCGAGGAGTATATATATATATATATATATATATATATATATATATATATATATATATATATATATATATATATATATATATATATATTCTCTCGATCACTGATTACTTGTCTTTATCATCATATCAGCCATTAACTGTCCATTGCTGAACATATGCCTTCCCCATGGACTGCCATAAGGAACGATCTAAGTCACCTGCATCCAATGGCTCCCTACAATGCATTTGAGGCCGTTACTCCATATTGTGGGGGTCATCCTACACCGCGTTTGCTGGTATAAGATCGACACTCAAAAACCTTTCTTCCCCATCGGTTGTTGGTTTTTCAAGATATGTGACCAGCCTGTTGCCACTTTAGCTTTCTTATCCTACGGGCTATGTGGATCACCTTGGTTCCTTTGCAGATGTCCCCATTTCGTATTCTATCACGCAAAGAAAATCCGAGTATAGTCGTCTCTAGTGCTAGTAATTAATACTGTTATGGATCACAATATTAAATGACTAAGTACTTGTCTTATGGGGAAAGACATAAGAAAGATGTGAGAATATTTGAACGTGTGCTACTCAATCAGTTCATAAAACGACTGAAAATTAATTTAAAATGAAACTCGCTCACTCAGAAAATAATTACTTAGCATCAACTTAAGAATCTCACCTGATGTCTGGGAGATGCGGGAGGCCGTGGACGTTGTACGAAGTGGTGGGGCGGGTAGTGTGTACCACGCCCTTACTGGTTGACGGTTGCGGCTCTACGGGCAACTGGCGAGACTGGTCAGGAATATTATTTAGTTATTATGGTCTGTTTCAATAAAACTTGATGAGAAGGTAACCAGTTACACACAGACACTTGTAGCATACGCACGCACGCACGCACGCACGCACACAGACACACACAAAGACACACTCAGCCAGATACACACACTTAGACAGACACACACACTCAGGCAGACAGACGCACTCAGACAGATAGACGCACTCAGACAGACAGACGCCCTCAGACAGATACACACACTCAGACAGACACACACACTCAGACAGACAGACGCACTCAGAGAGACAGACGCACTCAGACAGACAGACACACACACATGCAGACAGACAGACGTACTCAAACAGACAGACGCACTCAGACAGACAGGCGCACCCAGACAGACAGACGCACTCAGACAGACAGACGCACTCAGACAGACAGACGCACTCAGCAGACAGACGCACTCAGACAGACAGACGCTCTCAGATAGACACACACACTCAGACGGACACACACACTCAGATAGACACACACACACTCAGACAGATACACACACTCAGACAGACACACACACTCAGACAGACAGACAGACAGACACACTCAGACAGACACACACACTCAGACAGACACACACATTTAGACAGACACACACACTCAGACAGACAGACACACTCAGACAGACAGACACACTCAGACAGACAGATGCACTCAGACAGACAGACGCACTCAGACAGACAGACACACTCAGACAGACACGCACACTCAGACAGACACGCACACGCACACGCACACGCACACGCACACACACACACACACACACCAATATATATATATTTAATATGGAATATATTTAAATATAACTTACTATATCTTTATTGTTGTTGGTATCTTTAATAGAAGATATATCGGGCTGATCTCTTGTCGATAATGTAGCGTTATCCACCTTCTTTATTTGCTTGTTACTGTAGAAAAAAAGTAGATTTTTAACTGTTAATTGCTAAACATAGGCCTTCCCCATGGACTGCCATAAGGAATGATCTAAGTCACCTGCATCCAATGGCTCCCTACAATGCATTTGAGGCCGTTACTCCATATTGTGGGGGTCATCCTACACCGCGTTTGCTGGTATAAGATCGATACTCAAAAACCTTTCTTCCCCATCGGTTTTTGGTTCTTCAAGATATGTGACCAGCCTGTTGCCACTTTAGCTTGCTTATCCTACGGGCTATGTGGATCACCTTGGTTCCTTTGCAGATGTCCCCATATCGTATTCTATCACGCAAAGAAAATCCGAGTATAGTCCTCTCTAATGCTAGTAATTAATACTGTTATGGATCACAATATTAAATGACTAAGTACTTGTCTTATGGGGAAAGATATAAGAAAGATGTGAGAATATTTGAACGTGTACTACTTAATCAATTCATAAAACGACTGAAAAATTAATCTAAAATGAAACTCGCTCACTCAGAAAATAATTACTTAGCATCAACTTAAGAATCTCACCTGATGTCTGGGAGATGCGGGAGGCCGTGGACGTTGTACGAAGTGGTGGGGTGGGTAGTGTGTACCACGCCCTTACTGGTTGACGGTTGCGGCTCTACGGGCAACTGGCGAGACTGGTCAGGAATATTATTTAGTTATTATGGTCTGTTTCAATAAAACTTGATGAGAAGGTAACCAGTTACACACAGACACTTGTAGCATACGCACGCACGCACGCACGCACGCACACAGACACACACACACACACACACACACACACACACACACACACACACACACACACACACACACACACACACACACACACACACACACACACACACACACACACACACACACACACACACACACACGCACGCACGCACGCACGCACTCAGCCAGACACACACTCAGACAGACAGACGCACTCAGACAGACAGACGCACTCAGACAGACACACACACTCAAATAGACACACACACACACTCAGACAGATACACACACTCAGACAGACACACACATTTAGACAGACAGACACACTCAGACAGACAGACACACTCAGACAGACAGACGCACTCAGACAGACAGACGCACTCAGACAGACAGACACACTCAGACAGACACGCACACACACACACACACAGACCAATATATATATATTTAATATGGAATATATTTAAATATAACTTACTATATCTTTATTGTTGTTGGTATCTTTAATAGAAGATATATCGGGCTGATCTCTTGTCGATAATGTAGCGTTATCCACCTTCTTTATTTGCTTGTTACTGTAGAAAAAAAGTAGATTTTTAATTATATATATATATATATATATATATATATATATATATATATATATATATATATATATATATTCTCTCGACCGCTGACCACTTGTCTTCATCATCATATCAGCCGTGCTTCCCCATGGACTGCCACAATTACCAGTCCAAGCCACCTGCATCCACTGATTCCCTGCAATGCATTTGAGGTCGTTGCTCTATATTGTGTAAGGTCGTCCTACACCACGTTTGCCTTTACCAGATCGACACTCAAGGACCTGCTTCCACATCGTTTATGGGTTCTGCGAGCTATGCAACCAACCCGTTGCCATTTCAGCTTACTTATCCTTCGGGCTATGTAAATCACCTTGGTTCCGTTGCAGGTCTCCCCATTTCTATCACGCAAAGAAAATCCGAGTATAGTCGTCTCTAGTGCTAGTAATTAATACTGTTATGGATCACAATATTGAATGACTAAGTACTTGTCTTATGGGGAAAGATATAAAAAGATGTGAGAATATTTGAACGTGTGCTACTCAATCAATTCATAAAACGACTGAAAATTAATCTAAAATGAAACTCGCTCACTCAGAAAATAATTATTTAGCATCGACTTGAGAATCTTACCTGATGTTTTGGAGGTGCGAGAAGCCGTAGAGTTTGTACGAGGTCGTGGGGCGGGCAATGTCCACTAAGCTCTTTCTGCTTGGCGATTTCGGCCATAGGGACATCTGGCGGCACTGGTCAGGGATATTATTTAGTTATTATATAGTCTGTTTCAATAGAACTTAATGAAAAGGTAACTAGTTACAGACAGATGCTAGCATGCAGGCACGCACGCACACAAGCACGTACGGATATACAGACTCATACATACACACACACACACACACACACAGAGAGAGAGAGAGAGAGAGAGAGAGAGAGAGAGAGAGAGAGACACACACAAACACAGTATACCATATTCCTAGGAAAACGATTATACAACAGTTAACACTTTGGCAAAATGTAAATAAAATAATAATAATGAAAGAAAGAACACAAAGACATGATGAAAGAGCATAAAAATGATTACAGAAACAAACGATACAAATAAAAAGTAGGTAATAATGGTCATCTAGTAGGTACGTGAAACTATCTTACCGACAGCAACATTTTGGTTATCGTCCTCCAATTGTTTTTGGCGATCGGTGGCGTGGGGTAGCAACATGCTTTTACATCTCGAACATGGCACGGTAAATAATCGGCGAGCGCTAGTAGCATGTGGTTCGGTAATAAGTATCTGTAAGTAATTACTTAGTTAATAATAGTACAGTTTTTTTTTTAAATGCTACCAGACCCGAAACGTCTGTTTAAAATACTAGTGGCCCACTTCGGCTTCGTAATTTTTTTAATATAGTTGTGTAAAAGTGAAATAATTTTTATAATCGGTTAAATCAATTTGTTAATACATTTAAATGTATTAACAAATTGATTTAAAAGCAACGGTTGAATTTCATGTCAATTTTCCTAGGCTGATATTGTTTGAACTTGCCTACATGACTTCTCCCTACACTACACTCTAAGAACGGAGGGATTGTTAGTAATAAGGAGGTTAACCCTTATTGGTAGCAATGTACCCTGTCAGGTCGATCTCCACGCAGTCCCCGTGGAAATTATCGCGCCTAGGTAATTCGTAATCATCCCTCACTGATACTCCTCCAGCGTATACGGATAGAGAAAGTAGGGTTTCCATTCCATTTCCTTTCCATACAATTAAAAAAATTCTGGTCCTGAAGAGACATATTTAGAAAATTTTTAACTTGAAAACCTGTTTACAAATTATCTTATCTATTGAACGGAATCTCAAAGTTTGTTACTATACAATAATATTAAATTTACATAGGACTCTCGTCGAGTAGTCGCGCCTGCGAATCTCGCCACTTGTAAAGCATCTTTAGTGCTGCCATCTGTCGGGCGTCGAAAGTTTTTCCCGACTTTATGTACATTGGCATATGACTATCCTCTCTAATAATCTCCTTGTTGTAAGTCTGTAACAAAGTAATTTACTATTATTATAACTAAGGTGACAATAAACGCATTTCCTTTTTTATATAGTTTTTTATCGTCTAGACTAATATATATATATAGTCTGTTATGCCCATCGTATTGTTCACGTATATAGATGATGGTTACCACTTTCCATTAGGTGAGTAATTAGCTTTTTTAACATTCTAAGTTGTATACAAAAAAGAAAAAAAAAGTAAGTGGACTTACAAGACTGCAAACTTGTTTGCTCTGTTCGAATATGGACAGCAATAATTGCGACTGTTCATCGGCCGCTTCTAATAACTCACGCTTCATTTGTCTCCATATGTATATCAGATAGTGCGTGTCCATCCGGGCGTAATCAATCAACTCCTGTGGCAACGGTCGTATACGCCAATCCGCTAATTGGTATCTGTTGGTATACGAGGCATTTTTAAATAAAAATAAAATAAATATACTCAGGCACTAGAACCCTGATGGAGTAAACCTATTTAAATTTTAATAAAATTATTATAACAACCAACTTTTAATGAGAAGCGTTTTCCATTTATCTAAAGTAAATACGTATGATTTTGATAAATGCTAAGAGCATTTTTTGAAGCAATGTGTAATAAGATTTTTAACCATAAACTACTTTGGAATTTTTAAACGAGTACAATTGAAAATAAAAAAAGGAAGTATATTACATTGCAGTTTGTAGGTTAAAAGCAAACAAGTTAAAATTCATAATTAAAAGATGAAAGAAGATAGTTGCGCATTCCTGAAGGATAATACGTAAGTAAAGCCGATATAAGTAATTCTAATTATTGTATTCTCAATCAAAAAATCTGTACAAAGCTTTGTCACCTAAACTTAAATTATTTATTGCAACTGTGTCAATTGTGGAGAAATCGTTGGACATACAAAAATTAAACAAGATATCGCACAAAAAAAGCAAACAATATGAGGGCCCCTTTTTGAAAACAATTTAATTAATTCAATGGTATTTACTCACTTTTTGTCTATGTACAAATTGCAATAATAAATGAGTAGACTCTTCAAAGCTAGTCCAGGTAATTTTAGTGCTTTCGCGGCTTGGTGGGTGTCGAATAACCCAACAATATAAGTGTTAAAATCCCTTTGCAGCCATAATATATCGCTCTCAGCACCATGAAGTACCTAAGGAAGGAAAAAAAAGAGTCATTGCATAAGAATTAAAATTTGTGTGTAAAATATGATATTTACACAAACAAAATACATGTTTTATATGTGTTGTAGAAAATTTGATAACATGACAGACTTTTTTTTATAATCCGCCCATTTAGAATAATAAGTAGAATTCAGAATCAGATGTTAATATGTTCAATTCTTTCGAAAATGTAGTAATATTACTTGAAAACGTTATAATATTAGTACAAGCACTAGAATGAACCTCAAACATACGTAATTGTAAATTGTAGACAAATGTCAATGAACTTAGTATAATATTCATCACTGAACAGTGAACTATGTCAACATATCACCCTCATCATCATCGTCTCAGTCATTATCTGGCCACTGCTGAACATAGGTCTCCTCCATGGACTGCCATAAAACACACCTATACACCTTTTTACGTTTTATACACCCTTACTTTCTACTGAACTGAGTTTTTAGGTTACTGAGAAGTTCATTTTTCGATAAGGCTTTTTCTCTATATTCCGGCTAGACAAGTTTAACCTATTTTTATCATTAAAATGTAGAGAGTCTAAGAAACAAATTAGCATATGGTATATTAATAAACGCTGCATTTTGTGGTAGAGCTATTCTTGATACAAAAAAATCTTATCGTTTCAGTATCAGAAAATAAGCACAACCAATCTTATCATCTATGGCTACCTCTAGTCTCTGCACAACTAAATTTTATTTTTTTACTAAATTATATACTATAAAAAATACTTACTTTCACCTTTGTCGGATCCGTAAAAATCACATTAAATTTATATATATATTCTCGTAAGGCCAGTGTATCTATTATAAAATCGCCTCCTTCACTCGTAGTTATCTGCATTAGACAAGTTATGCCTGAAAATAATAAAATAAATTTATTTTTATCGGAGAGCACATTTTCTGACTCTCTTGGATATGTAGGGATGGAAGTAGAAATGAGAGCGCAAGGTATTCGATCGAAATGTCGTCCTTGTGGACCGACAGTTTGTTTGCCATTCTGAGTAGGTATCATAGAAAAAGGAAACACTTACCTTGATAAGTTCTGTACGCATGATGCTCAAGATCGATCGCTAATTCCTTAACAGTTTCGAGATGTTTTATCAGTTCGTCGAGTAACGCCACTGTGTCAATATAGGTGAATTTCGTTTCATTCAACGAGGGAGGGAAAGTAGGAGTATTTGGATCAGGAAGAATAAACTCTGAGGGAGGTTTATATAATTTCAATTCCTCTTTGTAAGGATGTTCGTACCTGTTGGCAATCGGAAAAGATTAGGCAATTAATATATTAAGTACAAAGTAAAGCAAAAACATGATTGTACGTACATGTCTGGTGAAATCGTCACAATGGTTTAACTGGCCTGACTTTATCCTCACCTATCACCCCTCACTGGTACCTCGTCAACGTATACCAATAACGCAGACGCGGTTACCATTCTATTTCAATGCATAAAATAAACACTCACCCAATTGCTTTGTCATCGTCGGTGAAAAGTAAATTAAAAGCAAGCGGTTTAACTTTGTTAGGCTTCTCTGTTATTTTTGGCCTCCACACGTTCTCCGAATTATCAATGGTGTCTTTGAAAGTTAACTGCGGTCGAGGCATATTTTTATTCTCAAAAATTAATGACGAACGTTTCTGAAAACCAAAAACCAATACATAAGTACAGATCTGTAAATTTATAGTTAATAAACATAATGACACATACATTTTTAATTTAAATATCTATTAATTTTTGTATTGAGATTATAAGTATTTCTGTTTAATATAACATAAACATCTCTTCCTGTATACGTAAAAAGGCGAAGCTTTATTAACTTAATTTAGCTATTGAAAATGACAAAACACTACGTTGTAATGATGTCATGTGTATCACATTATTATAAACATGATCTATAATAATAATATGAATATTATATTTACCTTGATATGTGCAAGCAAAGCATCGGGATATAACTAGTAATGAAATACAATAAAAAATAATTCAAACCTTTGTTTTTGATGTTCTTCTGTAATTATTTCCATTCTCAGTACTATTCTCTCTATTTGAATTCATATTCAATGTATTGAAAGTCACTCTTATTATAGGAAAAGCTTATGCAATGAACAATTAACGGCTGAAATGATGATAATGATTTGAAGTCAAAGCTGTTACAAAAATATAAATAGATAATTAGCTTATGTGATATATAATAACATACAACGACATTAATTATTTAAGACACAAAAAAAAAATAACATAGATACGAAATTATTATCAATACTAGCCATTACTATTTTACATCAGCGGGTCTACCATGAAATGAAATTCCGAAATTTCGGACTCAATTTCGTGTTTTTGTTTATACCAAAATCGGACCAATAAATATAGTTTAACATTTCGTTCATCATACATCCGATCATAAAAGTCCAAAGGAACAATATTTTAACATTTTTAATATTTCCAAACGGCATGTATTATGTAATTTTATCATAAAATTTCTGTTTCGTTTAGCTCCGAAATTTCGGAAAACATTTCATGGTAGGCCCTCAGATCCTTTACGAAGTAAAAAAACTTAAAAAATAGTAGTTGATGGATACAGATTACTAGTTGGCCTCTGCCACGACATACAGGCTCCATTTTTATCTCTTATCGGGATAATGCTATTTTATCTTTTTAGTTGGAGCAAATAACTTACATTTACAATATTTAATTAAAACCTGTTGGGCAGTTTCGGAGGTTAACGTGAGCGAACATCGAGTCACAGGCCCGGCAAACGTAACTTTGCCCCCTATAGCCACCTACCGGGGCAATATTCAATGGACAATAATAAAGAAGGAGGATTTTTATTCAATTTTATTTTTTTATCTGAAGTATAAATAAATAAATTGTTTATCATCATTATAGCACGTTTTTATTATTATAAACAAAACACATACGTAGGTGGTTTTATGTGCTATGACGATGAAAAGGTAACTAAATCAGCATTAAATTGCGAAGTAAACGCAACGCTGATATTCTGTAGGTACTTTGTAAGAAAAATAAAAATCCTAACAAACTCTTACAAATTTTCCTAGAAACTGAGAAGGTAACTAACTAGGAAATTAAACAAGAGCAAAAAGCTACAGACATAGGTATGCCCTCCTATTTCTGTTGTTTGGACACTAAGAATTTCGGAAAAGGCCATATTTATGAAACTATCCCTAAAATATGCGGTCCGGTGAGCCGTTATTACCATAAGATATAGTAATTTTTTTTTAGAAAACTTTATACCAGATATACTTTCAGGTCAGTCCCATAGATATTTTATCAAAATCGGTTCAGTAGATTAGTTTTTAAGTCAAAATAACTGATTAAAAAATCCAAGTCCAACGTGGCAAATGTTTGATGTCGGGTTTTTTTGGTTATCAAATTATTTAGTATGTATAATAGCCGTGATTATCTGCACTTAATAAAACTTTGTATTTATGTGATGTGATATTATTAGAAAATACTTGTACTTTTCCAAAAAAGAAAATAAATATAAATACCTGAACGATTTCGCGTTATCACAAGCTGGATTCAAGGATGACTGTGCAGAACAAATAATCACTACGTTAGGTTGTTGGAATGGGAATTAATAAAAATAAGTGGGTACATTAATTTAGCAGAAAAATGAAATATATTAAACATAGATTAAGGATAGTTACCCATAGACTAAGAATAGAACCTGCAATTTTAATTTTTGTTTAACGCGATCGAAAAAAAAAAAAGATTTAATATTATTATTATAGAGTTAAAGATCGATATTTTATAAAAAAAAAAAGAAAACATTATATTGATCACTCTATAAATTTGAAGCATGGATTAATAAAAATCTATTTTTATTAGATTATAAATGTAGTAAGTCTATATTTTTTCTATACTTCGCAATATGTTTACATTACCCGTTCAAATTAAATAGCTATTTTAGATTATGAAATATAAGAACGCTATACTTAGTCACACTAGATCGCTATTATTTGTCACAAATATGGAGGTACGTTTTTTATTTGTTCATTCATTCATAACGGTGACTGATCATCAATCGCAATGTTCAGTCGCACCGATACCTTATGATATAGCCTAAGAGTGAACAAATAATTTTAATTAGGTAGTACGGATTAAATGACATTCTCTTTCTATCAAAAGGTAGGTAATTTGAACAGGTAATTTTAAAAATATGTAATGTTGCCAATATAATACTACATAATTGTTAACATAATTATTTGTATTATTTAAAAAAATGTTTTTCATCAGCTTCAAAAACTGGAATTGCCATCGCTAAAATACATATTGCGTTCAATTAGTAAACACATTAATCTTTTTAATATATTTTTTTTAATTTTAAGAGCTTTTCAGGTATATCAATCCTGTCGTATCTTGAACTAGACGGAAAATTTATAAAATTATTAAATTAATTGTTAAAAAATTAATTTAAATTATTTATAATTAAAAAAAATAGACTTTACATATATATTAAATAAATGTTTAATAATGGGTCCCATTCCGAGGTGCCATCTCTTAACTAAAATTCGTTTATTTTAGAGATGTCAAATTCGAATTGGTATCCTGCCTGACGATTCTAAACTTTATTTGACGATTTAAGAGATGACGTCTGTAAACAATTCAATTTAAAGAAACCCATTTTATGTCAGTTATTCACTTATAATAATAATAAAAAAAGTGTAATATAGAAACGTCAAAAATGTAAATTTAATGTATCAAATTCCCTATTAACTAATATATATATATATGTATGTATATGTATATGTATATATATATATATATGTATTTGTATATATATATATATATATATATGTATGTATTTGTATATATATATATATATATATATATATATATATATATATATATATATATTATTAAATTTACTTAATTACCTGACAAATGTTTAATGTTAATGTTAAATGTTTTATTTAGATTTTCGTAAACATGAATTGCGATGATCTTTTTATTTAGAACTGTACTCATACATATAAAAGTACGTAAGTACCTGCTGATTATTTTTGTTCTTTTAGTTATTAAGTAGACACTAGTATCTTTTTAGTTATTATTTACTAGCTGTGTCACTTAGACCGTATGCATCAGTACATCAAGTATGGTGTGCCAAATTAATATGTAACATACACATGCGCTACATTTCATTAAAATCGGTTCAGTAATTTTCTACGTGAAAGAGTAACAAACATCCATCTATCTCCACAAACTTTTGCATTTACTTTTATAATTAACATAAAATGGGAAGTATTGTAAAATGTATTGATATAGCATCCAATCATAAACTTCTTGCAAAGTGACATACTTTTTTTTTATTGGTTGAAAATGGAGTGGTAACCCCGCCTGCACTAATGGGATACGCTGGCGGGGCACCAGTGAAGGGTGATCGATGAGGATGAAAACAGGCCAGTTAGCCCATCATGATGAATTCATCAAGAATTAATCATGATAGTTTCCAGGGGAACCGCGAGGAGGTCGACCTGGTTGAATATATTGCTAGCAATGGGATTCTTAGTATCCATTACTAACAATCCCTTTTCCCGCCCAAAGTGATATACTAGCGCCATATTGGCAATAAAGGTATCCTCCTCTTAGTCTAAAAAGTATCATCCATTAGGTATAATAATACTAACTGACCAGGCAAAGGTAGCGTCAATTAGTATTTGTTCTCCTACTGGTTCCATTTTTGCTATCAGGATATAGGTACTTTTTTGTCTCTCAAGTTAAAACAAACAATACATATTTACAAAATTTAATTATTAACATCATCATGAGATACAATTTTTATATTTAAGATAATATAATAAACATTATTATTTTTCTGATGGCGATTATGATAGTAATTTTATTTTTTATTTTAAAATAGATACACAATTTACAGAAACATGTTTATTTAACCTCTTCATTGCTTTTCTCACGTGTGCGTCCCAGCATAGAATGGGTCATTCCTTTCTTTCCCGTGTGTGTCGTAAGAGGCGACTAAGGGAGGGAGAGAGATAAGCAACGTTCCTCTTAAAACATCTCTAAAAGCCTAACTACAGTTCCCAATCCGTCTGCCAAGCGTGGCAACTACTGACAAAACTCCCCTTATCTTCATAAGACTTATGTTCAGCAATGGAGTTAACAGTTGGAATAGATTTGTAACCATAATAGACTAACAAGTCAAAATATCTGAACATTTCCATTCGTATTTACTGTAATAGTACTATTATTATAACCCACTTTGGTTTTAATATTGTACATTAGATTGAAATACTTAAATAAAGAATGCCAATTATATATCTATTTTAATTTCTATGCAGATTTTACAAACACTGATAATTCATGTAAATCGATAATCAGAAATTCTTATTTTACGGCGTCAACACAAATCCAATTCTAGTTTCTTAAGAAATGTCAAATATGCTTTTAAATGTAGTCCACAGGTAACATTGGAATATCTTAATTGTCGCTAAAATTGAAACTAAATTTAGGTTACGTTTAGAATGCCACTCACTTTACAATCGGATCCAATATTTTAGTTGCTAAATGTAATTTTTAGGTTACAATTGTTGGCCTACATACTCATATTGCAATGGAAATAATTTAAAATATATTTTTATTTTCTTTGCTAGGAGCTCCAAAATGGGTACGTAATATTTAAAAATGGTAATTTAAATGTGGTACCTGCCTAATTAGGATATCATATGAAAAGGCTTCATTTGTATTTTATTTTGATTTGTTTTAATGTTAGAAAAATTGATTTTTATTTATGTTTATGTTGCTTAGGTTTTAGCCCCCCCCCCCCCCCCGCCTTTCATTATCTCCGAAATTTTGTACAAAAGTCGATTGCTTGGTTACCTCTGTCCCATTCGTGTTTCAACCGTGAAGCAGTTGTGTTTGCATGACTGTGTTTCGGTTTGAAGGATGGGATATGGCGTGAATTTACTGGGTACAGAGGAATAACACCTGAGTCCTCAGGAATGGCAGCGCATGGGGGGCAATAATAGAGTGTAATAATAATATATCTGTCAAGCGTCTACTTCGTATGAGAAATGAAATAAAGGTCATTTTAAGGTATATTTAGAAATATATGTACAGAAACCTCGCGTGCCGTTTAAGTTCAATTCTAACCTGACCGGTTTTTTTTACCAGAAGGAGACTTTATACAAAAGTCGTTTGCTTGGTCCTTTCCGTGTTCTCTTGAACCTCTGTCCTATTCGTGTTTGCTGTGCTTGCTTGGGAATATTTTAAACGGTGCGATATGGCAGTGAAATTACAGGTTACGAAAGCATAATACTCCTCAGCAATAGCAACGCGTGAGGGGTGTCATGGACATTGCAAAGTATTTTGCGATGTCCGTGGTACTGCTCATGCCTATAGGCGATGCTTACCACTTTTCATCAGGTGGACTGTCAGTTTATTTTTTTAATTTATTTGTTTACAGGAAAATCAGGGCTTTACCAGAGCAAATAGATACAGTTTAGGATCATCAACCAAGCCACTAATAGGTTTTCATAAATAGCAACAATACAGATAAAACGCGTGCAGCGCCATGCTTGGGCCCTGTATTGTTCCAAAGCAAAAACAGGAATTATTAAAAAAAATATAAAAAAATAAAAGGAATGAAAAAATAATAATGAAGAATGAAGAATGAAATACAAAATAAAAATCAAATGTAAATATTTGATTAAAATGTGGCCCTCTTATTTATAAAGTAGGTATACAAATAGACTATGAGTCAAAAAATTGCTTACTTAATTGGTCTCTCGCTGATATTATAAGTCGATATTAAGTTTTAGAAAGAGTATTAAAGTTGTTGCTTGCTCGCCAAAGGAACGAATTTTGTCTACAATTCGATGACACTAGTGGGACAAATAAAGTAGAATTATGACTTCTAGACTTGATAGGTACGTTTAATTTTAATTTATGTAGTATTTCAGGGCAATCGAAACGAAAGCTATCATCATCAGATACGCAATATCAGCGATATTTCTGCGCTTTTCGAGTGGAAGAATGTGGTGTTCTTCACAGAATTCAAGACAGTTTGAAGAATCATACCTATTATGTAATCCATAAGCTAAAAAAATAATAAAAAATTTCTGGATATTTTCAAGGCGAGATATATATATTATATCTCGGATTCCAAATTTGTGATGCGTATTCCATTTTACTTGTAACTAATGAACAGTATAGAATTTTTAAGGTTTTGGCTTGCTAAAAATAACTTGAACTGCGCATTAGAAATCCATGTGCTTGTGAAACTTTGGTTACAATATCGTCGATATGCATGTTAAAAATTAATTTTGCATTATAGGTAACACTTAAATCTTTGTTTGTTTATTTGTGTGGTATTTTAAGTATAAAAAAATCCACTTTCATACACAGTGGAGGAAACGTAAGTGAGATAAGAACTGGATAAGAAGTGTAGGTCCGTAATTTGTATGTGTGTGTGTGAGCGCGTGCGTGCGTGCGTGTGTGTGTGTGTGTGTGTGTGTGTGTGTGTGTATGTGTGTGTGTGTGTGTGTGTGTGTGCGTGCGTGCGTGCGTGCGTGCGTGCGAGCGTGCGTGCGAACGTGCGTGCGAGCGTGCGCGCGCGCGTGTGTGTGGGTGCGCGTGCGTGTATGAATGTAAATAATAACAGTACCCAGCAGTCGACGGCACTTTTTATAATATGTACTAGCGCTGACAAAAGAAAAATAAAACTTCAGTATTTAAAAATCGAATTGTAATATAGTTTCGCTTATAATAATTATTTCATCAATATTATTTTTAAAACCTACATTCATATTTTAATTATGTCTATTCACATGCACAAATTTTTTATGCTTATTGTTGAGTCGTTTGCATAAAATGTTATTTTCTATTGTGCAAGTATATAGATAACTATTTTGTCTAAAAACATCATTTTTGCTTTCTAAACTTCATTTTAGGATTGGCCTTTCCCGTATCCTTATCACTATAGAATTTCTTATAATTAATATTTTTGTAAATGTTTTCCAATTTGTGGTTCGATTTTGTTTCTTTTGTGGGGTTTTGAATGATACGGTCAGTATCATCTTTGCCTTCCACTTTGTCAGATGATATTTTTCTTTTGCGTTGCGATTTCGTTTCAAGGTGAACGTTGTTACTAACAACAACATCGTCGACTTTTGTCCCTTTCTTTTTTGTATCGTATTCTATTTGCTCTTTCGCTTGTTGTACCTTGGCAAGCACTTCCGTTTCGATGAGCTCGTTGCCTTTCGATATAGCTGCTATTTTTGCTTCTTTACATTTGTATTCTTCCATTTCCTCCACCTGTAAGTGTATATTATTGACTGTTTAGTTTTCGATTAATTGATACTATTTAAATATAGATACATTAAATATATAATAAATACAAGATCATACATAATTTTTACAGTTATTAGCAATATTGTACGTTTTCCTATTTTAATAATGCAAACTGATTAAAATAATTTTAAAATATGTATTTATTGGAAGCCAAATATATTGGTTTTTCAGATTTACACATTTCACCTTTTTAACCGTCTTAACCATGCTGGAAAGCTACAAAGCTTTTATGGTACCACTTTGTCCATATGTTCGTTCCATCTGTCACAGCATTATATCTCTGTAACTACAAATGCTAATGATTTAAAATTTTGTAGTTAAGTTAAAGAGCGAGTTAGAAGTGTGCGAAGTCGTAAATCTGATTTGTTCTAGATATTAATAAATGGCTCCTATAATCGTACCTGAGCTAAGGAACGATATTTCCGGTATCGTTCATAAGGTGGGATGAATAACTTTGCGTCCACGTTCAAACTCGACACCTGTAAAAAAGTCAATAATTATAAAATCGACAGATAAATTGATAGACACTCTTGTTTCCTGCGTAAGATTACAATAGTAAACTTAATAAATACAATCAATTACAAGAAAATATTACACTGTGAAAACAAAGGGTGGTCTTATCGCTAAGAGTTATTTCTTCCAGGCAACCTTTAGATGTAGAAGAGAAATTATTAACAGTGTGATTGAAGGCACGAGACTCTGATACAAATATGATTAAAGCAATACCTAGGATGTACTTTCTTGTAAATTGTAAACGATGGATTATTCCATCCTTTATCCCAAGGCAATTTATATAAAATGAAATTTATTTCCATCCATATGGTGGTGGAACTATTTGAACATTACCAGAGGGAGACTTTGTACAAAAGTCGATTGCTTGGGTACCTTTGTCCCATTCGTGTTTCAACCGTGAAGCAGTTGTGTTTCGGTTTGAAGGATGGGATATAACGTGAATTTACTGGGTACAAAGGAATAACACCTAAGTCCTCAGGAATGGCAATGCATGGGGGGTGTCATGGGCGAAACAGTATACTATTATGTCCATGGTACTGCTCATGTCTATAGGCGACGGTTACCACTTTCCATCAGGTGGGCCGTCAGCTTGTTTGCCATTGTAAGTTGTATAAAAAATAAAAATGGTACTTCTGATGCGTTGCCATTCCTGAGGATTTTATGACTGTAATACTGTACATATCCTGTAATTTGACTGCCATGCAAAAATAGAGTATGTTAAAAAAAACAAGACAAAATATTACGTTCACTACGATGGTAACCATCGTGGACAAATGCCTATATATATATATATATATATATATATATATATATATAAACTAAAATGTTTTAACAGAACATATAATCGAAACTTACTATGTCTTTATTTTTATTGCTGTTACTAGTATCTTTAAAGGCCAATATATCGGGCTGACATTTCAAATCCTTCGTCAATAACGTAGCATTGTCCATGTTCACCTGTTGCTCTTCACTATAAAAAAAAAAAAACACAAAAAAATTTTAGATTTTTTTTATATTTTTTCCTTCTCTGACCACTTGTCTTTATCATCATTACATCAGCCGTGAACTGTCCACTGCTGAATATAGGCCTACCCCATAGACGGCCATAACGAACGGTTCCTAGCCACCTACATCCATTGTCTCCCTGCCGTGTAAGAAATCGAACTAAAGTGTGAGTCGCTAATCAAGAACCTTTCTTCCTCATCGGTTGCCAATTCTTTGAGCTATGTGACCAACCTATTTCCACTTCAGCCTGCATATCCTTCGGGCTACATCGGCCACTTTGGTTCTTCTGCGAATATCTTCGCTTCAAATTCTATCACGTAATGAAATTCCGAGCATAGCCGAGCATGGCGAACCATGTAAGACCATGTTTCGGTTCCTTAAATTATCACTGGCAACAGGCACTGATTAAAGACCTTTGATTAGAGTAAGTATTTTGAATGAGAAAATGTAACGCAGTTTGAAACACTACAATGGCATCCTACACGATTACACGCCGCCAATATGGCTTTCGCCATAATCGCTCAACTAGTGAACTTCTAGTTTATCTTATGCACCGATAGGCATCTGAGAGTCAAGGTGAGGTGCTCGCTATCTGTCTTGATATTGCAAAGACATTTGACCGGGCCTGGCATTGAGGTTTCTTTATCGAAATTACCCTACTATGGACTTGCCAACAGCCTGTGTCGATTGTGTGTGAATGGATTGTCAGCTTTTTGTTCGGCAGACGCATAAAAATCGTTGTAGATGATTGCTGCTCCAAAAGCATTGACATTAACGCTAGCGTCCCGCAGGGTTCTGTGCTATCCCTGACGCTGTTTCTGCTGCATATTAATGATTTGTTGACCTTAGGTGATATCCATTGTTATGCGGTGACAGCACTGGGCATGCCCATTATACGGGTCGCTCCATTGTGAAGGACAATCGTGAACAGTTTGTGTCCGAAATCCTAAGAACGTTAACTGAAGTCTGATTGGGGTCGACAAAACTTAGTCCAATTTAATCCCGCTAAGACACAAGCTTGCACGTTCACCGCTAGAAAAAAAAAGCTATTTGCTGTGGCTCCACAATTCCAGGGCACGTCTCTTAACATCTCTATAAGCGTTGAGAATCTTGGTGTCGACATCTCTAGTGACATACAGTAACCTGGCCACTTCGAGGATAAGGTAAAGCGTCTGGCTTCCAATAAAACTTGGTATGCTTAATAAAGCGAAGCATTACTTCACGCCGTGTCAACGATTAATGCTATACAAATAGCAAATCCGGCCCCACATGGAGTATTGTTGTCACTTATGGGCGGGAGTACCTAGATACTAGCTTGAACTTTTAAACTCAATGCAACGACGAGCTTTGTGAATTGTCAATAATCCCAGGCTTACAAGCGGTATCGAACCCTGAAGTCTTAGGAGAAATTTTGCCTCACTTTGCGTGTTCTACTGCTTCTACAACGAATTGTACTCTGAAAAATTGTTTAATATGATGCCCTATACACTATACACTTTCTACCATTATACGGCTTGCCATTGACAGGGAGTTCACCCTCATACCCTATAGCCTAAATGGTCGGGGGGTACAGCGCAGTTTCATAGATATTTTCTCCCACGAATACTCAGGTTATGGAATGAGCTCTCTGCCGAGGTTTATCCAAGACACTACAGCATGGTGTTCTTCAAAGGGGAGGTAAAGAGGTTTCTTCAGGGTCGGCGCACGTGTAATACCTCTGGTGTGGGGGGAAAGGGATTGTTAGTAATGGAGACTGAGAATCCCATTGCTAGCAATATACCTAACCAGGTCGACCTCGTGGTTCTCCCTGGACACTATCATGGTTAATTACTGTTCAATTCATCATGATGGGCTAACTGGCCTATTTTCAATCTCATCTATCACCCTTCACTGTTGCTCCGCCAGCGTATCCCGTTAGCGCAAGCGGGGTTACCATACCATTTTTACCCAACAAAAAAAAAATACGCCTGGTATTGGAGGTCTTCATAGGCTACGGTATCCGCTTACCATCAGGTGGGCAGTATGCTTGTGTGTCACCTCAGTAACATAAAAAAAACACTACCCAGCTGAGTTGGATTTGTCGATTGACCTCTCAGTCGAAGTTGAACTTACCGAGTTTCACAAGTCCCCCAGACATACATACTCGTCGACAACTTCGAGCGTAAAATTGTCAATCAATACTAGTATAGGTATAACATAGACATTAGACAAGATTTTAGTTTTGTCCATGTTCATCTTAAGAACTATCCTTTGAGAAGCACTATAAAGGTCATTAAGCATAGTATTCAAGTCCTTCAGGAATTCCGTCATGATTACTATACTATCATTAGCAAATCGAAAGTGAATGATGTTTATACCATATCGTTTCCAGTCTAAGAGTTTTAAAACATCTTCCAATGCAGCTGTGAAGAGTTTGTTGGATATGACGTCACCATGTCTTACAACTTTCTGCACTGGGATTTTATTTATTTATTTACACTTTATTGCACCAAGTAAAAAGAGAAATAACAAATTCAGTAAATATTAATGAGAAGTGATACAAAAGGCGGCCTTATCGCTAAGCAATCTCTTCCAGACAACCTTTGGGTAGAGGACATTGAGAAAAAGACAAAGGATAGGTAGCGCACTATTATATAAATATTATCATATATAAACATATATACATACATACATACACATACATATATAATATATATACACAATTAAATATATACATAACATATACATACTTAACAGCACACATACAACAGAAAAAAAATGACGAAAGAAAACGAAGAGAGAACACAGGAAAATAGTACTAAAGTAAGAGGTAGTAAGATTTAACAGAGGATTTGAAGCTAGTAAGAGTTTGAGCGCACCGAATATAGGGAGGTAGTGAGTTCCATAGGCGAACTGCCTGAAAAGTAAAGGATTTAGAATAAAAGGAAGAAGAATGCGTGGGAAATTTGAGTCGGAGGTTATTGACACTGCGTAAAGTATGATCATTAGCCTCACTGAGAAATAAGAATCGGTCTTTTAGATAATCAGGAGCAGCAGGATTAAAAAGGATTGCGTAAAGAGACAGGATATGCAGATTACGACGAAAACGGATAGGGAGCCACTTGAGTACGAAATTGAGAAATGTGATCATATTTGCGAAGACCAAATATGAAGCGGATACATAAATTTTGGAGACGCTCAAGCTTGTTTAATTGCTCTTCGGTGAGGTCTAAATAACATGAGTCGGCATAATCAAGAATGGGTAGGAGTAAGGTGTGTGCGAGCGCATTTTTGGTGTTAACTAGGAGGAAATTAGGTAATCTATTCAAGGCATTAGTTGAAGCAAACATTTTTATACTGACCTCCGAGATTTATGGAGACCATGACAAAGTGTTATCAAAAATAATGCCAAGATTTATTACTTTTTTCTGGTAATCTATCAAAACCCCATCAAAAACCACAGGCGATTGACTGGTCAAGGAAATTTTGGAAATAAGTATGGGACTACCAATAATAATGGCTTGTGTCTTCAAGGGGTTTATAACAAGACCATGAGATTTACTCCAGGCAGATATACGTTCCAGATCGGCGTTAACAGTAGATATCGCTAAAGACATATCAACCAGAGGGGCAAAAGAGTAAATCTGTAAATCATCTGTATAAAGGTGGTAGGAAGATTGAAGTTTCGAAGTGATAGTGCTAATAAATAAGGCAAATAGAAAAGGAGATAAGACGCCACCCTGCGGCACACCAGCTGACGTATGGCACCAAGAAGAAAAAACGTCATCAATGCGAATACGTTGCCAACGTCCAAACAGGTAACTACGAAACCAGTCAATTGCCAATCAACAGTATTAAAGGCATTGCTAAAGTCTAATAATGTTAAGACCGTTAATTGAGAGTTCTCCATGCCAAAACGGATATCGTTAGAAATTTTAATAAGAGCAGTAGTCGTACTTATGAGTTTTATACTTTTATTTTGTACTCGGATACACATTGTAGCGTTTACTGTATATACACTTTAGTACTTTGATATATCTATAATCAATCTGCCACCGCTGGAGGAATTGTAGTACCGCCCATATCTCGACCAAATCAAAGACTTTTTCATAGTCCACAAATGCCATACATAGTAGCAGATTATACTCTTCGGTCTCTTGTCTCTCTCTTACCTCTCAGTCGGTCCTCGGTCTATATAACCTGCTATAGTGTATGTACGTGGTCTATGGTGCTAAAGCCTTTTCGGTAGTCAGGTTGTTCGGGTGGCTGGAAGTCGTCGAGTTTGCGTGTAAAACAATTGGTCAGGACTCAAAAACATGTATACAGAATCCTCGAAACAACTTAGAGTGTAGTGTTCTCAATCGTAACCGGTATAGGTGTGACCTGGACGTTAGACATGATCTTAATCTTGTCCATGTCCATCTTATGCCCTACCTGTTGAGAAACACAATTGAGATCATTGATTCAAATCCTTCAGGGAATTCGCCATAATTACTATGTCATCAGCAAATCGAAGGTGAGTTATGTATTTGTTATTGATGTTTATACCATATTTTTAGTTCAAGAGTTTGAAAACATCTTTCAATGTATGTAACTGTGAAGAGTTTGGATATGACGTATAATAAGATATCGAAGGATATTTTAGGTCTGCCTTTTAATAAGTTTAAAACTGTTATTAAAATACTTATTAATCGAAGCCTATTACACACTAAACGATTACTTGAATGAACATGTGTATGGTGTTAGTCGATCATGTATGGGCTTTTAACGACCATGTAATTTTAAACGTAGTACATTAAAATAAATATACATAATGTTAACAGAGATTTAAAAAAGTAACTTGAATTGCTCGCGAGCTCTTCTCTCTGACAACTTTCCGAACTCTGCGTTCATAAAAAAATGAAAATTTATAAGTGCTTGTAAACAAGTCTATTTGACAAAAGATGTTTTGAATTTAAATAATATAATCTATCATCTAATAATTTATATATAACTAATTGTTTATGTTGTTGGAAATATAAGGGCAGTGGAAAATGTCCAAAATATTTTAAATAAAATTATATAATCGATAATACATTATTAATATAATATGATAGAAAATACTTTTATTAACCTAATTATACCAGGGACAGCAGAAGGTTTAGCGGTAGCAGAAGCGGTAGGTTTAGCATTAGCGGCAGCAATAGGAATTGAAAGCATATCGCATGTTATGTCCACCTCAAGCGCAACAAATGCCTCTAATTACAGCGTTAGGAGTTATAGTTGTAAGCATATTGTTTTCATATCACGCTTCAAAACCCAAATGCGATCACACAGTAATCTAAAACGGAACTCACTCAGAGAACACATATTTATCATCCACTTGAAACCTTTACCTGATGTCTGGGAAGTGCGAGAGGTCGTGGACATTGTACGAGGCCGTATAACGGACGGCATTCACCATGTTTCTAATGCTTGTCGGCATCTGATACAGTTGCGGCTCTACGGGCAACTGGCGGCACTGGTCAGGAATATTATTTATTTAATTTAATGAAAAGGTTCTGATGGAATTATTGCATCAACACTCTCTTATTGAAATTAGTAACAAAACTCTTTTTTTCTTTTCTCAACCTTTTGTTACTAATTTCAAATGAATAGTTGAGTATACTATAAGACAGTCTGCAGATCTGCTGTCTCATGCACGTAAACAATGATCTTTGTGCGCATGTATGAATGTGTGTATGTGACAGTGTACGTATATGTAAGAGCGTGCGTGCGTGTGTGTGTGTACAAGCTACCATAAATATTTGTGTGTGTGTGTGAGTCTGTTAGTGCATGTGCGAGTACGTGTGTATGCGTGTATGTGTATGAGCATGCACGTTTATATGTGTGTGTGTGTGATTGAACGGGAGTTTCATTAATTTTTTTGTTTACTTACACATACATGTAAAAATGGGTTAATTGGTTGAATATATAACGATACATACATATAACGATCTCACTCCGAGTAAATAAATAAATAAAGATAATCTCTACTCAGTGGTTTGGAGCTCAGGGACCTGAAATCTAGCCAACTATTGAGAAAAATGTATGACCTAAGTGGAAAGTAACTCGCGGACGAAACACTCAAAGTTATTTGGCGAAACCAACTACCTACTCAAGTTTGTGCCGCCCTTTTCGTCAACTCAGAATTATCACTTGAAAATCTAGCCGCTATGACTGACAAAATGAATTTTGAACTCTCATCAGTTGCTGCAAGCACCACTACTTCATCTGTACCTCGACCAAGTCACAGCATCGATGCTGCGACTCTTCAAAAGTCACACGCTAGCAAAGCAAATAGAAACAATATTTCTTGAGATCGCCAACCTACGCTGAACGTCGCAGAAACGTAATATATCCTATCTCGTTTTCCTACATGTTTTCACCAACGTAACCGTTTGCGTGCGCACACTTGCACTCAATCGCCACTGTCGCCTCGAAGACAAACCATTAAAATGCCTATCTCCATATGCTCGCAACAAGATCTATCGTTACAAATTCAAACAATTAACCCATTTCTACATATATGTGTAAGTGTAAGGATAAACATAGTAAGATAATAGAATTTACGTCCAATCACATATACACGCACACATACACACACATATATATACAAATGTACACACAAACACGCACGCACACGCGCTCTCACACAATATACGCAGTCACATACACACTCATACACACGCTCCCTCACACACACACACACACACACATACATAAGCGCACTACCACACATACGCATTTAAACGCACGCACACAGATCATTTTTACGTGCATGACATGGCAGATCAGCAGACTGTCATATAATCTGTTCAACAATTATATACGTTTATTAAAATTTTTACTTATTTCTATTAAAACAGACTATAATTTATTATAAATTCCAAAACTCCTAAACTATCATACGCTAATACTATTACTATAATATAATATTATATTTTTATTATATTTGAATTTATTGATTGAATAATTTTGATCATATACAACAAGATGGACTAACTCCAAACGATTTGCCACAAACAGGTTAACTTTTCCATCCTTGTGTTAATTAGGATTATCATAGTGTATAGTTATTCCTCAGTATGCGGGAGAAAATATATTTTAAGGTTAAGTTGTAAATAAAAACGATACAAGGTTTTTATAAATATATTTGTAACAACGAGGAAAATAGAGCATTCATAAAGATTACTCTAATTTATAAGTCTTAGAATATATTGTCGTTGTTTTTTTAAATAATTGAATGTAAACTTAAGGGGTAGGGGGCTGAGTGGGCCACGCCTACCCCGGAATGAGAGCGCAACTTTCAAATATACTCAAAGATATGTCTAATATAATCCTTAATACGTCAATGAATGTAGACAATATAAACCTTATGTATATTATAAAACACAAGTTTTCCAAATCAATTTATGAATACTGATCTGAAATTGGCAACTTTAAACCAATTACTTAAGAAAATATATGTCACAATTCAATCAGACAATTCAAATGAAGCGACATTTGGCTGACTGAACTTTGACTCGCATTTGACATTCAATGGTCCATCATGTAGTACATAATCTACTATAATAATTTACCTAATCACAAAAAAAATGAGATCAACACATAGTTCCCTAAATAAGTAGTAAAGGAATTTATTCATTACTTAAAAATAAAATATACAATAATACATAACAAAAAAAAAAAAACTGAAAATTCTTCCAAAGAAATATGTTTTAGAAAATTACAAAATAGTTTTTAGTCTCTTATAGTAAATAGTTAGCTTGGCCAACCGTGTCAATATGGGAGGTTCAGTTTTATAATCAATATTTCTTTATGGAGAAATCCTCAGATTTTCTGGAAGAACATGCCCTTAAAATGCTAATGATTTCGTCATTATACTGTGTTTATTAGCTGACAAGCACGTCACAATGAAAATAAACAATAATAATGAGCAAAAATGTTGAGATCAATTACAGATGAGTATGCTATATTGCTAAGACTATATCAATAATTATACAATAATTGATGCTAAGAGAAAAGCAAAATAACATAATAAATAAAATAAAGAATAGAGATAAAAGAATATATATATAAATGATAAAAAAAAGGATAGAAAGAGATCATAATATTATAAGGTTGGTAGTAATGAATATCTGGTATTTAGTCGCCTACATAATAGACGTTCACTACTACTAACATTTTATTTTATTACTAGCTTACCGACAGTAGCATTTTGTGTATTGTTATTAAATTTTGTTTCACGAAAGGCGGCACAGGATAACAAATGGCGTTCACGCCCTGCACCTCTCTTGGTAGACTCTCGGCGAGTGCCAGCATCATGTGATTCGGTAATAAGTATCTAGAAATAATTACCTAGTTAATAATCGTACAGAATATTATATTTTCTAGATACACTTAGACCCGAAACAAAAAGTTCATGTTACTCGCTGATAATACAACTTTACATAGGGATTTTTTTTTAAATCAGTAATTTTTGAGTTTATCAATTACAAACTATTTATAATTAGACATGCAACCAGTAGACATGAACAACACACAGTGTATGCTGATAGGGAAGGCAGGGTTACCATTCCATACAATATTTATACAATAAAAAAAAATCCTCTCTCAAAGGGAAACATTAAAAAATGTTTTATTTAGAAATCTGTTTACAAATTACCTTATTTATTGAACGGAATATCAAAGTTTGTTACTATATAATAATATAATATTAAACTTACTTAGGACTCTCGTCGAGTAGTCGCGCCTGCGAATCTCGCCACTTGTAAAGGATTTTTAGCGCTGCCATCTGTCGGGCGTTGAAGAGTTTTCTCGACCTTATGTACATTGGCATATGACTATCCTCTTTAATAATCTCCTTGTTGTAAGTCTGTAAAAAAGTTACGTACCATTATTATAATTAAGTCGACAATAAACATAAAGTTCGCCTTACGAGAAAGTTCACCTACAGCCCGTGAATGCATGTCTTTTTGTATGTAAAATAATTGTTGTAGCAACCAACCATTGGTAATCCTTATTAGCAATATGGGATATATTATATATTTATCAGATCATCCTCTATGCTGTTCCCCCTGGAAACCATCGTGATTATTTTTTTCAGAATTCGCCGCGATCGGCGTCGGTCAAATAATCTGCTTCACTCTTTGCCTATCACCGCTCACTGGTTTAAACTACTGATAGCGCGGACGGGATTATAATTTCATTGTCATTCATTACATAAAAAACATAGACCTCGGCAATGACAAGCCATGAAACGTATTATAAGAGTCACAATAATTTTGTGATAGTTCTGTTTATGTCTATAGGCCATGGTTCCCATTTTCCATCAGATGGGTATTTAGCTTTCTTAACATTCTTAGTTGTATATAAAAAGGAAAAAAAAGTGGACTTACGAGACCGCAAACTTGTCTGCTCTGTTCGAATACGGACAGCAATAATTGCGGCTGTTCAGCGGCCGCTTGTAACAAATCGTGCTTCATTTGTCTCCATATGTACAGTAAATAGTGCGTGTCCATCCGGGCGTAATCAATCAACTCCTGTGGCAACGGTCGTATACGCCAATCCGCTAACTGATACCTATGTAATAAAAGGATATTTTTGAGTTACAAATTAATTGCACCCGATATAAAGATTTACATAAAGGTTACAATTATACACAAAAACAATAATATGATCATTGTACTTCTTGACCCCAGATCATGAATAAGAGATCCTGTCGATCTTGACACTAGTTGGGCAACCCTGAATGTAATACGTAAGTAAAGCAGATGGATATAAACAATTATAATTATTAAACTCATTAAAAAAATTATAAAAATCTACACAAAATTTTATCATTTAAACTTATCAGTACAATAAAATTATTTATTGCAACTGTTTAATTTTTAAGTGTTTTTGTTTTGGAATCCCGACACTTGCAAAAAAAATTATGAATATTAATTACTTGGTAAGTAATTAATATTCATAAATATTTAAACGATGGATTATTCCATCCTTTATCCCAAGGCAATTTATATAAAATGAAATTTATTTCCATTCATATGGTGGTGGAACTATTGGAACATTACCAGAGGGAGACTTTGTACAAAAGTCGATTGCTTGGGTACCTCTATCCCATTCGTGTTTCAACCGTAAAGCAGTTATGTTTACATGGCTGTGTTTCGGTTTGAAGGGTGGGATATGGCGTGAATTTACTGGGTACGGAGAAATAACACCTGAGTCCTCAGGAATGGCAACGCATGGGGGGTATCATGGGCGAAACAGTATACTCTGTTATGTCCAGGTTAGGTACTGCTCATGTCTATAGGCGACGGTTACCACTTTCCAACAGGTGGGCCGTCAGCTTGTTTGCCATTCTAAGTTGTATAAAAAAATTGACCAATATATTAGACACAAAAAAGCAAACAATATGAAACCCTTTATGGAAACAATTTTTGGAATAAATTCAATGGTATTTACTCACTTTTTGTCAATATCCACATTGCAATAATACATAAGTAGGTTCTTCAAACCTAGCCCAGGGAATTTTAGTGCCTTTGCTGCTTGATGGGTATCAAACAACCCAACAACATAGACACCAAAATCCCTCTGAAGCCACAAAACGTCACTCTCAGCACCATGAAAGACCTAAGGAAAGAAAAAAAGAAATATTGTCATAATAAATAAAAATTTGTTTGTAAATATTTTATTATAAAATATTTTAATAAAAAATACTCACCTTGACCTTTGTCGGATTCGTAAAAATAACATTCAGTCTATATATGTGTTCCCGTAAGGCCAATGTATCCAATATAAAATCGCCTCCTTCATTCGTAGTTATCTGCATTAGACAAGTTATGCCTAAAAATAATAAAATAATCTTAGTTAAAATTAACTACTTGGTAAACCAAAGAGCACATTTTCTGAATACAAAGCAGACATTTCTACTTTCATCCCTACAATAGATGTAGGGATGAAAGTAGAAATGTCTGCTTCGTATTTTTAGATGAGAGGGCAATGTATTCGATCGAAATATCATCGTCGTGGACCGACAGCTTTTTTGCCATTCTGAGTATCATAAAAAAATTAAACACAACTTACCTTGATAAGTTCTGTACGCATGATGCTCAAGATCGATCGCCAATTCCTTAACAGTTTCTAGATGCTTTACCAGTTCGTCGAGTAACGCCTCTGTGTCAATATAGGTGAAATTCGTTTCTTCCAAAGGAGGAGGGAATATAGGAGGTTCAGGGCCACGATCAGTAAATTCTAAGGGAGGGTGATATAAGTCCAATTCCTCTTTGTAAGGATGTTCGTATCTGTGAACAATCGAGAAAATTAGGCAATGATAATAGTATATTAAGTACGAAGTAAAACAAAAACATGATTATTTTGAGATTTGTAAGCTTTATTCTTCTTATTTTACCTATTTTCTAGATAACAAATACAGGTACTAAGTTTCTAGGTACACTGTCTATTCTTTTATTTATATGACTATTAATATTTGTATGAACAACGTAAATTTACATTGTTTTTAATATGATTCAATTGGTACCTTAAAGCCTGTAACATGACATGGGAAGTACAGCAAGAGGTCCCTTTATAGAGACAACACTCGTCAGAGTTATGATATCTCTCAGATAGTATGTACGTCGATCGTATGACACGTGTTATTCATACATGCCCCAGTAGGGAGAGAATATTGTTAGTAATTGGATCCAACGAATAGCAATCTATCCCTCAAGTTTACTTCTGCATGGTCCCCATTGATATCTTCGTGACGGATTTCTAGTGAATTCGTCACAACGGTCTAACTGGCCTGGCTTCATCCTCACCCATCATCCCTCACTGGTACCTCATTAACGTATACCAATAACGCAGGCGGGTTTATCATTAAATAAACACATCATTGCATAAAATAAACACTTACCCAATTGCTTCGCCATCGTCGTTATAAAGTAAATTCAAAGCAAGCGGTTTGATATTGTTAGGTTTCTCTGTTATTTTTGGCACCCACAAGTTCTCCGAATTATCAATGGTGTCTTTGAAAGTTAACTGCGGTCGTGGTATATGTTTAGCACCAAAAAATGAGGTCGAACCCATCTGAAAATCAAAAACTAACTATTAACTTAACAAAAATTAATTTAAATGTCTATTATTTTTTCTAATAAGATAAATCTCCTGTATAAATGAAAACACTAAACTTTATAAACTTAATTTCAGGATTGAAGTATTGTCATTTAGGCTGAATTTTCATTTTGAAGGAAAGTGACAAAAGACTAATATTTAAAATAAGTTTCAATATTTAGGAATAAGATAGCTCATCTTTCTGATTATAGTGGAAAAAACTCAAAATATATCTAACGGATTTTAAAATTCTATCACTAATAGAAAGCTAACTAAAACTAATAGAAAACTAATCAGCGAGTATTATTGGTATATGAGTAAGTAATATTATAATATAAGTAATATTATAATAGTAAGTAAATAATGTCTATGCTACTGTTAATGTCTATAGGCGACGGTTACCACTTGCCGCCGTGAAGAGGTGGGCTGTCGCCTGTATGCCATTTTAAGTACCAAAAATTAAATAGTTTGGCACTTATACTATATCCATTAGTATACTATTATCTTAATAAAGCATCAGGAAATGAAATACTATAAAAAAATAATTCAAACCTTTATCTTCGCATGAACTGGCCCATCGTTCCACGCCGACACATTCCTGCTATTGTTTACTAATTGGTCATTTGGTTTACTAGTGCCACTCTCTGCATCTATGTTAATATTGACTCTGTCTAACATAACGTCATTCACATCGATTATTGTTTCCATGTTGTGTTCAAGGTCGTCGCTGTTACAAAAATATAAGGGGGTTCATTAATTTACGTGGCATATTATAACAAAAGTACAACGGAAATGAGCAGCAACATTAATTATTTAAAACACATCAATAAAAACTTAGCATTCTTATTTCTACAAGAAGTCCAATTCGAAAAGCTTATCAGAATAATCACAATTTAAAAACACCATCCAGAAGAAGAATACAATCAAATTTAGAACTTTATTCGCTTTGAAATCGCTTAATAGATACGCATATATTATCAAGCAATACTGGCCATCACTACTTCAAATCAGACCTTTTACAAAGTTAACAGAGAAAACTGATGAGCGGTGCATATATCTATATTCAACTAAGAGGTCAACTAGTAATCTTACTAATTGACACTTGCCACGACCTACTGGGCCCAGTTTTATTTCTTATCGGGATAATACTATTTTGTTTAGTTGGAGCAAATATATATTTGCAAAATTTTAACAAAATTGAAATACATAATTATTAAATTTCATTAAAATCGGTTGAGTGGTTTCGGAAATTAACGTAAGCAAAGATTGCGATACGAAATTTTTATATATACTTTATTATATCGAGATAGAACTATCCTATCTCTCAAGTTGGAGTCGAAAATATACATTTATAAAATTTCATTTCAATTGGAAGTGCGCATTGAGGCATTAGCGTAAGCAAATATAGTAACAACAAATATTAAGATTTACAAGACATAAATATTGCAAATAAATAAATAATTCGCCAGCTTCTATAAACATATATAATATATATAAATATGCTGTATTAGTTTTTGAATTTTCCGAATTCTTTTCTTGTATTGTTCATTTATGCTATATAAAGAAACTATTTGCAAATCACATGTGGTCGCCATTTGATAAATGTAGCATTTTATTATTTTATTTATATTTCGCCAAGCATAAATTTTATATAATAGGTAAGCGAGTCAGATACCTATAATTAATTTAATTTGTTAATAATATTAATGGAGTTTTGGTTGGAGTATTTAACTGAAATATCTATTTATAGCAAACACGTCATTATTCATTGACTTCTTAACTTTTTAAAAGTTACCACTACTGAGCTACAACAGAGTGACAGGTAGTTTTTGTAACACAAAACAATTACTATAACATTAGATCATGAGGAAATATCAATTATGTAAGATTGACTTTAATTACAAAAATGTCACTCAACAAAAGAAATACCACATGTACAATGCTTAAAATATAATACTACTTACTTTTTCAACATCGTGGGTAATTCGTTTATAACTATTTGATTAGATTGTACAATGATGTTTTCAGTTAGCTGACACTTGATAATATTGAAGTTTGTGAAAGTTTTCAATATTTCTTGCGATTCTCCAGATGGCAGATAAGTTGATGCTTTTAAAGTTTTATTTACAGATGTATAGCCGTTCTGCAATGTCAAAATAACATCAAATTAACTATCAGTCAATCTGTCAAATAACCCTACATGAAATAAAATTAAGAATATAAAAAGAAACTATAGATTATAAAAGAGTAGAAGCAAACAGGCATTTACCTCTTATTGCAATTATAATATTAATGGAGGGTAGTAACCACTTCTGTCAAAACTTTAACCTTATTGAATATAATAACCCCTTCCATCCTTAAGAGCTTTACCAAGTACAAAAACCCTATCTCACTTGTTAAAAAAATAGACCATAACCCTCTCTTCGAATTTCATTATGATTCTCTAATTTATCATCCTAATGTAATTCTAGGTTTTTGATTAGTAAAACATTTGCCTTCTGCTAATCAAAAGTTTAACGCTATTGTTGCAGAAACATAGCACGACTGGCTTCTGATGTTTACAGATGCTTCTAAAACTGATAAATTACACTGAATCTTCTCTAACTCTGATATTGGCAGAAAATCACCATTGCTTTTATGGTGGAAGCCATTTCTTTTTATAAAAGGAAGTAGTATAATATAAAAATAGCCTACTATTCTACCTCCAACATAATGGGGGGAAGGGATCGTTAGTAATGGGGTCTAATAGCCCCATTACTAGCAATATACCCTCTCAGGTTGACCTCCACGAGGTACCCCCTGGAAACCATCATGTTTAATTCTTGTCGAATTCATCATGGTGGGCCAACTAACCTGCATTCATTTTCACCTATCATGTTCCACTGGTGCCTCGTTGGTGTATACCAATAGCGCGGGCGGGGTTACCAATCCATTTTCACATATTAAAAAAAAACAACCTCTAACATAATTAACATTTTATGAATCTTTGTACTTATTTAATTTTTAAATTGTACTAGTCGCATTTTCAGCATAGGCCTCCCCCTTTTCCTTCCTTATTTTGGACTGTCCTCATAAATTTGAACCATTTTCCATCACTAGCGTGTCTGACCACTCTGTATATTTCATTGGGCTATCTTCCTTTTCTTTTCTCGGGTATCCATTCCAGGATTTTCTTTGTCCAATTACTATACTCATCCTACAAATCGGGCCTATTTTTATTTCCGAGACCTAATTTTATATGTAATATATGTAACTCCCATCTTTCTAGGTATTTCTGTGTTATTTATTTATTTCTTTATTACATCCACTGGGTGAGCCTTAGTCTTCCAATACGCTCACCCAGGAAAGCATGAGTACAATAACATATAAAAAGGAATATTGCACAAAAATAATATAAAAAGATTTAACTCAAACAAAAAACGTCTGTACACAAATACTCTGTGGTCACTCGATGAAACTCCAAAGTTGGAGACAAATACATCCAATTGCAGAAACCGGTTCAAAATATTATTGAGTAGTTTCAATGCAAGAAATAATTGCTTAGCCAACTCTGTTCTTCATAATGGAACATCGAATAAGTGTTGTCTACATGCTCGCACATAGTTACTGAGCGCTCCTATTGATATTGATTCCAGTATAGTTTGGTTACATTTTTCCCCCCACACTAATTTTAACACATACTCAATTAAATTTAGTTTTCATCTCACTTCAAGTGTATTATAGCCATCCCAAAGCTACTATTCTCTTTACTTTCTGTCATTTTCAAAAGTGATCAATTGTCCTAAATAAACATATTCTGGTACATAATAAATTGTTCCCCGTCTAACGCAATGTCAATAGTTTGTGATCCATTGGTCATAATTTTAGTTTTTGAACTATTAAAAAACAAGCCTACTTTCTTGCTGTCAGCTGCTAGTTTCTAGGGAATAGATACATTCAGCAAAGATAATGATTTTGGCAGCAAAACATAAGTGGCTTTGGTATTCTCCATTTATTTTCATACCTAATACTATTTTAGAAACAGATGTAAAAATTTTCAGAGACAGTGGATTGGCTTATTTACACCTTTTTGCATTGGGAATTCTTAACCTTCTCTTTCTAATTTTATTTCTGCCAAGCTCTTTTTACATATGCTATGCAAAATTTTAAGATATTGTAAGTCCCCTCCCCCTGTAGTGTAAGTGCTTCCCAAATTGAGTCAAGTTGTAATGAGTCAAATGCTTTAGTAAAATCTATAAACCACATACATAATGTTTTTATTGTATTCTCTATACTTCTCAACTAGTTGAGATACAATAAAAATATGGTCACTCATTGAATAGTTTTTTCCAAAATCGGCTTGTTCTTGTGGCTGGTTTTCCTTCAAATTATTATTGCGCATCATAACAATCATACAATGCAAGAAAAAAGTGCTTCTTTACAAAAGAAGTACTTATCGAACAACAAAACATTATAGGAAGCCCATGAAGCCGTAATTATAAAAGAAATCAATGCTTACTTAATTTATAAAAATAAATAATTATCATTCTATAGCACTACATATTTCACATGTAATGTGAAAGTATGTTAATGTCAAATTATTATTAAGAATATGTTTTATTTAGACAGGTTTTAATTATGAAGGTCAACTTAATACATATGAAATTGTGAAAAGTCACATGTTGTATTATTCATCTATTAAATTTAAAAGCAATTTAAGATTTTACCTTCATTAATTTAAGTTTCAAAATTGAAATAAAACTAACCATAGGGACAACCTTTAAAAGGTTATAAAAATGTTAATATTTTTTTAAGTAGGTATTTTCACTATAAAGGTTAATTGCCTAAAAGTTATTTAAATTAAATTTAGTTCGTTATAAGTTGAATGGAACAATATTATGGTATGCAGTACTTACAATACACATACATACATACATTTTACAAATGAAGAAAATGTTTTTCTAGGTATGTAGTTAAATGAATAATGTGTTTGTTGTAATTAACAAAATTCACGTCAAAAAAGTCCTGCGCATCTTGTATGTGATTACCTCTAACACATGGAAGCAGAACAATGATCTAAATTTCTTACCTTAGTTTTGATGGTGAACACGTGTAATACAATACGTACCAAATACAAAAACGGATAGACACATTATTAAAAAGTTACTAATACAACTTTATAAAATAATTAATAAAAAATACCCAAACTAAATAACAAATTCAAAATTATGGTTAAACACATGGTGATTGTTGTTGTCACTGTAATCACTATCTTACGTTACAAATTACACACCTGTGTAACTGTTTCTAGATGCGGGTAGAACTCCGGAGCGTCAGGATTCAAAATGGAATTCATAACGAATATTATAATTTTATATAATTTTTAACACTTTTATATGCGTGCGTTCGTGAGGATTTGAAACTCTTGATAGTTTGACGTACAGTGTAGGGTTGTCAGATGCTACTTTTTATTTTTACCCAATAATTAAATATTTTCCCCAAATCGTTACGATTTCCTTCGCTTATGCCTAATCACAATCTTGTGTTAAATTTTGCTAAATTATGCTATGTAACCACAAAATAGACAGCGAAAACAAAAAACGCCTGTTTCTTTTACTTAACATCTCTGATTCATTGTTTATATTTTAACTATTAAACGAATACAAAACAATCGATAAGTCTTTCTCCAATAATCCAAATTTCTAGAAAATTTCTTAGCCAATTTTGAAAACATACAATCTAGATATAAGTGGCTATTATAAGAATAACTACGAATACTTTATTTGTCGTCATTATAACCAGTTATAGATTAAAAATTTGTGTTAATATCTTATTTTAAACAAACTGTACATTTTTATGAGAAAATAAATTCTTTGTATTTAAAATTTGTAAAATGTAAAGAAAAATATATTTTTTTAATACATTAATAAAAATTATGTACATATTTAACAATATTGCAATTACTATAAATAATAATATAATTTACAAACGCAATACAAAACGTCGATACGACAGAATATTGCTATATATTAACAGCTATTATATATAAAAAAAAAACTTTTCAATATTTCGTTCAATCTTAATTAGCCCTGTGTAAAAGTTCATATTTTCTATATATAGAAAAACCTGCAGGAATTTAGCCGGCTTAGGTATGAAGGAATTTAATTTTGACCTCAATTTTGAAATACTTTTCTTGATATTCTTTGGGTGGCTGGATTCAAAAACTAAACCATATTGTAGATTAGGCTAATGTTGATATGCCCTAATATTTTGAGACGTGTAATCCGCAGGATCTACGAGTTATATATATTATATATATATATTATATATATATATATATATATATATATATATATATATATATATATATATATATATATATATATATATATATATATATATAGCGTAGAATTAACAAAAATTCTTAGAAAAATATTACTAACTACATATACATCGTGACTATTTAATCATATATTTAAATAAATTTATTTTATATATATACTCATAAATACGAGTATAATATGATAATAAATTACTAATCAAAGCGAGCGTTTTTTCTCGCACTAACCCTAACTACATACGCACACATTATCACATGTATAGTATTCACTTGTTTCTTTAATTGTGACAATTACCGATTATGTCGTTTTTGTATGAAGTTTGTAAGATGTGATAGAATCATAATGATTATTCAAAATGCTTGTAAATGAGCTTATTTAAACAAAAATCTTTTCATTCTATATTTTGAATTCGTTGGTCAATTATTGATATAAAAAAGTTTCTTAAGATATCCATATTGACAGAATTATGCAAATTTTACCAAATAGCTGAGTGTTTAGCCGGCTTTTATAGATAGCATAAATAGCTGGTCAGTTAAATTTCCCCCAAAATTTTGCGATCAGAAAAGTTTTTACCCAAAATAAGGTAAATATATATGTAACCTGGCAATACTGAATGAAGCGAATGACTTGAATGACAAGTGAATAGTAGGATGACTAATTGATATCAAATCAACATTAGTGATGTTGCAATACGTATTCAATTCTTCGGATTCTTTTGCTGTCATTAACTTAAACTTTTTTTTAAATATTAGAGTAATAAAAACTAGAATAAAAAAAAATCCAATTTTTTATTACCTCTCTCATGGATTTGATAAGAGTGGTGATAAAAAATTTATTATTTGTATACTATTTTTTACTATATGAATAGTTTATAATCAATCTTGATTCGCTCAATACTCGTTTTCTTATACAAACTTAACATTCAATCCTCTAAAAATCTATTACAGTAGGGGAGGCGAAGCGAAGATTTTTGCAGTGACTCGAGCGTGTCAGATAGTTATATAGAGAAAATCCTTGTACCCTTTAATATACTTTTACAAAGTATGAACCCTTAATATTTGTTCAGGGGAGCCCGTCAGATTAGTAAAAAAAATCGATCCTTTGAAAAACTCGAGCGCGTCAGATTACGAAATGTCAAATTAATTACATTTAGAAAAGTGCATATTTCAATAATCTGACGATTTAGGTGTGGCGTTTAGAAATTAGCGAGCTCTGAAGTTGAAAAAAAAACATCAACTCGAAATGCTCGAGCGCGCTTTGGATTGTTTTTTAAATTGAAGGTAACACTGTTGGAAACATAGAAATGTAATAATCTGATGGTTTTCATGGGGTGCTTTCGGTAGAATCGTGGAGAAAAGGCGAAGCGTACAGCGACTGAGAGCTGTAGGTTCCCTACTCCATCTACTCATCTCACTTTCTTTCTCGCTCTTTCTCTACTGAATGCGTATACTTTATATCTAGAGTTCCTTTCAATCGGTCAGAATAAGGATAATCCTTCATATAATCGTCAAATTATTATTCGGCGAGACTATAATATCAACATGAACTCCCTGCATAAAAATCTGACGCGTTGGAGCATTGCAAAATCACGTTTTTTTTTTACAGGTATAAAAAATAATAATTCCTATATACCACATCCAAATCGTCAGAAATTTTAATACAACACTTTTGAGGGTTCAATAGACATATACTATGATTTTCTGACAGGCTCGAGTAACTTTTTTTTTTATTTTTCAATCGTTTATTATATAGGAAGCCTCCTCGACTTAATCGTCAGATTAATATATAGTAGTTGTCAGAAATATAAAGTGCGTTTATACTATTAATGGCTGACACGCTCGAGTTGTACAAGCACTTTTTTTTTTACAATTTTAACAATAATTACCCGCCCTCCTCCCCACTAAAATAAAAAACTTGTAATAAACTTTTTTTCGTTTTAAAACATAATCTTTCGAATTTAAAAGTTTCCATGACGCTCGAGCAACTGCAAATTTAGCATCCTCGCCTACCCTACTATAAGAAAATTTTCATAAAGATTCATTCATTTCATAAAGAAGAAAATCAAATCGATCCAACCGTTCCCAAATAATATATTTTGCTATGAATATGATTATATTATAATTTTGAATATTGATCTTTTTATGATTTTGCTATTTGGCTAACTTAATAATTTCTAATTATGATGTAGATAAGTAAGTATATTCGCAACTAGCATTTACTCGTGATTTCGTCCACGTGGAATTAGATTTTTTGCAAACCTCTATTTTAAATATTTCGCCTCTCAAAGATGAAAATTTGGACAATAAATATTTATAATTTCTGGCTTCAAAAATGCCACTTTATGAATATTAAAACCTCTACTTTTCATTTTATAACCAAAAACTCAAACAATAATATACAAACTTTCATCATACATTGAAATTTTGTAATAAAGAAATGATTCCTTTAAAACTAAAAGTTAAAAAATGGAACTCGTATTTATTTATTTCTAATGGACAGATTAGTTTGGCCTGTTTGCAGTTTTACTAGCATTTATTTTAATTATCGTGTTATAGTCATCTTTCCAATGGAATTTTTTGCGGTTAAAATTAACGTATGTTACTTATGAATGATTTAACATTCCAATGGTTTAAGAATTATTAAAATCGGTATTAGTAGTTTCAAAGTGTCTCAATTACAAACAAATAAATCTTTTCTTTTAATATTTTTAATATAAATATAGTTGCGACAGGCATTTCTTTTTGTTCGTGTACGGGATTTTTTTTTATACAACTTAGAATGGCAAACAAGCTGACGGTCCACCTGATGGAAAGTGATAACCGTCGCCTATAGACATGAGCAGTACTGTGGTCATAACAGAGTATACTGTTTCGCCCATGATACCCCCCATGCGTTGTCATTTCTCAGGACTAAGGTGTTATTCCTCTGTACCCTGTAAATTCACGCCATATCCCACCCTTCAAACCGAAACACAGATATGCAAACACAACTGCTTCACGGTTGAAATACGAATGGGACAGAGGCACCCAAGCAATCGACTTTTGTACAAAGTCTCCCTCTGATATACACGATATATACAATAAACTTAAAGTACTAGGGAGAAAGGATTTCTTAGTAATGGGGTATAACAGCTCCATTGCTAGTAATATAACCCCATTGTTATTAGATAGATCTCCACGCGGTTACTTTGAAAACCATAGAGTTTAAATCTTAAATTTGTCACAAAGAGATAATTGTTTCTATCCTCAACTATTATGTCTCATTGATGCCTGGCCATTATGTACCTATCGATAGTGTGGGTGCGCCCACCAATCTATTTTTACCATAAAAACCTCAAAGTATTGGGGTAAAAGGGATTGTGTGTATGCGTGTGAAGGAAAGCAATTGGGTTTAACAGTTTATTATTAGCGATATATCAGGCCAACCTCCATGCGGTTCCTGCTGTAAAGTATCGTGTTTAATTGTCGAACTTTCAATTATGATATTGTTCACCTGTGCCCCTTAGATACATACAAAATTTACATAAACATATAAACACATACACACACACACAACATACTCAACAACACAACATATTCATGAAAAATAAAAAATAAACTCTACGATTTGGAAATAAAGTTTAAATTCTTTTTTTATTAAATGGACAGTAAACTTTCTTTTTTGACACTTGCTTAATCAAAACAGGCTAAGGTAAGATGTCAAAACTGACAAGTAGGTACTGACTGATACATACTAATGTCCTGTTTTTCAGCTCCACGTCACTTTGAACAAAAAATATTTGTATGTAATCTACACACCAGTTAAGTTTATATGGAATTTATCCACGATTAATTAGTTGAGCTTTATGATATATATTAATGTCAATATTTTAATTAGTGGCGTATTTGTATAACACTACAAATATTAATTTGTTGTAGTATGGATGTTCTAGATGGTTGCCTAAATTTATTTTCCAGTTTCATCTATATAGGTCTGGTGACGACTCTTTAATAACGAACGTAGCGATTAGTTATTTTGTGAGTTATTTGTTTTTGTTCCTGTATTTTTAGTTTATTTGGAAAAAAACTGCAATTCTCTGTAGGGGTGCAGGGTTGAGGATTACGGGTGTGTTTTGTTGTCGTTGCATCATGTCGTCTGTAATGGCAGTAAACCTTGTGCGATTGCGCGTTTCAACCATCTCATGCAGCCTGTATTTCCAGTGAGATAGCAAAGGACGGAGAATACTGCTCATCGAACTGCCTATATACAGGGTAGGTAATCATGTCGATATTTTGTGGGATAGGCCAGGGTTTGTCTGGAGACTCCTGTCTGTTTATCCATTTATGAGTATATACTCGTTATTATTAACAGTAATCACATGAATAAGCTTGTGCTAAAACGTTGTTATTCTTGTTTGACATGACTTTAGAAGATCCTTTTTACGTCGTCAAAGAGTAAGTAGTTCCTTTATGTAGCAGCCTGGATGCTTTGTTTAGTGTCCAATAACCACTTATCTATTGTATGTACTGTAGGTTATCTATAGAATATTTTTATACTTATATTAATTGGTGTTGCTTAGAAATAGATAAAATTGAATTGAACATGGGAAATTTTAATATTCTCTTGAGATGACTAAATAGTCAATGCTATATTGTTAGTATACATGTGTGTGTAATGTTGGTATGTATTTTTGTCTCTATATGTCACATATACAGTGGTTTGTGTATAATTAAGAAAGACTAGTGCTCTATAAGATATTTAAAAATAATTTATGTTAACTTTGTTATAAATAATTACAGATAACTTTTCACTATTTAGTTATATAGTGTAAATTAATTGTGGTGGGTGAATTCATTGGGAGAATAGAAACAGTTTCAGTAAACTTTTTCGAAACAGAATTACCAGAGATGTAAGCAAAAAAAAAAGTCAGAAATATAATTTATTTTAAGGACAAATATATTTTTATTGTTCTCTTAAGATATGTTTTATGGAGTCCTGTTAGGTATTATAAAAAATATATTTAAAAATAATTTTCATTACATTTACACTCTTCAAAACTTCAGTATATCTAATAGCCAATATATTGTTTAAGCAAGGGATAATATTATTATTAATTAAAAATTTATTCCAGAATTTATGTAATATTTTATACAAATACATATTGTTATTTACTAATATTATTAATAGATAGTCAATGGATTGTTGTTAATGTTGTTATAATTCAATTATTAAATGTTAGTATATTATTTTAATAAATACAATATTATATAGTACAATGTTAATAAAATATTGACACGTAAATGCTAATTACATTATTGGAATGTCAATTGTTTTAATTATAAATAATATATATTGATTGGATCATAATGGATATTGATTGGATCGATTTGAAAAATTTGAATGAATAATTTATTGATATTAATTGTATTGTAATTGATTCAATCATGTATCCATTTCATTATTTTTGTATTTATAATTTTAGGTGAGGGCAGTAATGAATAGACTGACTGACATTCATTCCTGCTTTAATTTTTGCCATGGAAACACATATTAAACACACATATTGAAGATTAAAAATATCTTTTATTTCTGATAATAGCTGTAAATAATCTTCCAGCTATTAATTCTTGAAATACTTACAAGTAAAAAGACTGAAATTTGTAAAGTAGGTCAATTTTTAAATTAATTTTTAATTAGATTTAATATAATAAGAAATATAGTAGGTATGTGGCAAATAGATACATAATATGGGGCTGAAAGAAAAGGGAATGTTAGAATAAAAATGGGTAAGTAGTCAATAGAGAACTAGGTAGTAGTAGGTAGGGTTGTCAAACTCTACCATTGTTGTTTTAATAGAGTAAAAAGAATATTCCACAAAAATATATATAATTATTTAAAAATATTATATTAAAAAAAAATAAGTGTCTAATTAATTATTTCCCATGGGTATTGTAAGAGGTGACTAAGAGAGGGTGAGGGATGGGCAGCAGCATCCCTTTTAAAACATCTCCAAACATTTGTATTAATGACTGCCAGTTTGTATTAGTCTTTGCATATTTTATATACAACATATAAATACATGTTTACACAAATAATGTATTATAGTATGTCTGTCAGTAATCTAGTTTCTTCTTCTCTATTTGGGACTAAATGCTGCTGTTTTATATGTTTGTTAAATGTCCACTGCTAAATATAGATCTCCCCCTATTGCGGGGATGTTGCCAGTCATGCTTGTCAGGCAGGTAGGCAACTGCAGTTAGGCTTCGGTGATGTTTTAAGAAGGGCGCTGCTTCCTCTTCTTGGATCTTTAAATTCCTTTAATCATCTCTTACGACATCCACAGGAAAGAAAGGGGTGGCCTATTCTATATCGGGACCACACGGTAATTATTATTATATCAGATGGTGTGAAATGTGGTAGAATTCTCCACAGCAATATTTTATTATATAAGCTGTTCTATGACCTATGGGATATTTTGATGAACTATAACTTAAGTGACAATTGTTCCAGCTATTAAGGTGATAAGAAACAAACTCAGCTTCACATTTATAATATTAGTAATGATTTAATTCTATTTTTTGTTTTCAGTGAGGTGTTCAAAGCATTGAACAAAACTCGTGGCCTGTATCTTCGGTGGCAAGAGATCTCTAAGGCGCCTACAATACCGAACAGTCCTGAAGTGGAATGGACTTCTACAGAGTTAAGAAATGCACTCCGTAGCATAGAGTGGGATTTAGAGGACTTGGAAGATACTATCAATATCCTTTTTATTATTTACATAATTATATAATTTATCAAAACACATTTATCAATAACAGGTAATGTTCAAGACAAGGGAAGAAGAGTTAGATATATTTTTTCCGTATTACTTTAAATAATATAAGTATAATATGGGGTTATCCAAAAAGGGTACATTAAAGTTTCTTCAGGGTCTCGCAACGATCATGTGACACCTCTAGTGTTGCAGATGTCCATAGGCTACCGTGACCGTTTACCATCAGACGGGCTGTATGTTAGTTTGACATCTTTGTGGTATAAAAAAATCACTTTGTACCTGCGACACTTGCTTGAATGAGTAGTTTGCGATTATTCATTAGGTTTTGTCTGAAAAAGAAATACTAATTAGGGGTGGCCTTTGTTTTTATCTAGAATGACAAATCAGCATACGGCTCACCTGATGAAAAGTGGTAACCCCGACGTCTATAGACAGAACAATACCACGGACATAACAGAATATTTTGTTATATTTACGGTAATCTTTATGCGTTGAGACCTGAAGACTATGAGGTTTTTTTTATGACTGGTAATAGAATGGAAACTCCGCCTGCGTTGTCGGTGTACGCTGGGTACCAGTGAATAGTGATAGGTAAGGTCAGTTAGTCCATCGTGATGAATTCACTAGGATCTGCGATAGTTTCTAAAGGGAATGACGTGGAGGTTGACCTAATAGGACATGTTGCTAGCAAGGGGGTTACTAGTCTCCGTTACTAACGATTTTATTTACGCCCCCTGTGCCCTGTAATTTCACTTGGATATTTCATCTTTTCAACTGTAACACAATCATAAACGCACAGCTGCTTCACACCTGTAACACGAGTGGGACGGAGATATCCACGGGGATGAGTTTATTAGAAAGAATTTGTATATGAAATTTTCAAATCCTCAAAGTTTTGCTACGTGTTATATTAGGACATTGTTTTTGATTTACCAGAGGGAGACAAAAGTTTTCTGCTTACTTAACCTTGTTTCATTTGTGTTTCTGTCATTAAGCAGTTGTATTTCTTTGACTGTGTTTCGGTATGAAAGGTGCAAAGTGACAATGAAGTTGCAAGGTACAGAGACATAATATCTTAGTCCTTAGGAATGGCAACTCATGGGTGGTATATATGGTATATAAAAGACACATTATATTCTGTTATGTTCATAGTACTGTTCATGTCTATAAACGATGGTTACCATTTTCTATTGGGTGGATTGTGTATTTGTTTGCCATTTTAAGTTGCATAAAGTTGGTGTATTGGGACAAAGTTGCTCTATGTTCTTCTCCATCTCAAATAGTACATATTACTGGTGCCAAGAGTTAACGAATTTCATATTTATAATATTATAACACATCCCGGACACTTCATACGGAAACGGCATGATTGCTGATTGTCACAACTACAGAAACAAGTAACCTCTACATATAACAATGTGTGCGTGTGTAGTTACAAGTAGCGCGAGAAAATAGAGTTTGTTTGCTGACGTATGTTTGAGAGGGGGTGAAATTAGATCGCAGCGGGCGGCAGGGAGTATGAACAATACTGTACTTTAGTACTATAACTTGTACCATAATTATAGTAAGGACTATTACAATTGCTTTCGTCCAACTGCTTGCACCGAATACTAAAATACTTCGGGCACATATGTAGCTCGAAGAAGCAATGACTTTCTGGAAAAAGTCATGGTGACAGGTCAGGTGGAAGAGAAAAGACCAAGAGGCCGCAGTCCAAAGCGTTGGCTAGATCCATCCGGCACAAGATCATGACGATGAGATATGAAGGAAGTCAATAAAAATGTAGGACTGGATCGTGATCCTAAGGAATGAGGGACCTATTAAAAGAGAGAGAAAGGATAATTGTATTGACAAACTATATTATTTTCAAGAATAAGTCTGCGGATTGAAGGAAGCTAATAAAATCGGGTAAAAATTGAGGATTTTTCCTGTCATGTTGATTTTTAATATGCTGATGCGTACAGAGCGAAATTTACTATTTTGTGCTAATGCGAGAAATGTAATTTTTTTATGTCGTCGCTTGAACCTGTACTAATATTATAAATGTCAGTTTATTTGTATGTACGAATTTTTTTGACCTGACAAAAATTGGACCTGTTAAAAGTTGACCTGTTTTATGGCTCGATGCTCTACATATTTAATCTAAGTCCATACCGTATGGTTTGTTATACCAAATTTGGCAGTATTTCTTAATGGTGTTAAGTCGTTAAGAAGCAACAAACAAACACTATTACATATATAATATTAATCTATAATAAAATTGTAAATGTGAAAGTAAGTTTCTTAATTTTACTTCTCGTTGGTTTAATTGCTCTCTATGAAATTTGGTATAAACGTACTATATATGATGAAGAAGGGTATATATAGGCTACTTTTTTATTCCGGTCAATGGTCATATTTCGGTCATGCGAAGAAAGTCGTGAGTAAATGCTATATGTTCTATTAGTAGATTGATGAAGGCAAAGAATCCGAATACATCAAAGACTTTCCTTACTGTTATAATTATGTTTGTTGACATTTAATGATTCATGCTCGTGCGTATTTAGCGAAATTGCTATTGCTAAAGCGTAAATTGTTATAAAATATTAGTTTTTACGTGCGACTTCGTCAGCATGACCGAGAAATGTTCACTAACCGGGATAAAAAGTAGCCTATTTACTTCATCCCATATAATACGTGCATACTATATGGAATGAGTATATAGGCAAATTTAATATTTATTCATTTTATACTTTATTGCACCATGTAAAAAGAAAAATAATATAGTATGAGAAGTAATACAAAAGGCGGCCTTATCGCTCAGCAATCTCTTCCAGACAACCTTTGGGTAGAGGACATTCAGAAAAAGACAAAGGGTAGATGGAGCACAAAGTGATAGTTTAATAATTTAATTAGTTAATTTAGTGCATAGTAATTGTTTAAGCTATTAAGGTGCTATAAGGTAACAAACTTATTTTCAAATTTATAATACTAGTAATAATAAAATAATAATAATTATATTATTATTTTTTGATTTTTTGTTTATATTTTAACTATTTACATAGGACTGTTATTGCATCGAAGAAAAATCTGTGAACCTTGTTACTTATAGAACAATTTAAATATTTTTTAACTGTAAGAGAAACCGAATTGACTTACGTTTTACAGTTAAAATATGATGTTAACAAAAACTAAAAAAAAAATAACTTTTAATAATAAGATATGAATATATATATTTCCTTAACATTATCTTACGTATCGTTGAGAAAAATTCATCCAAATTCAAGATTGATAACAAGGAAATTTGCGACAGAAGAAGTTTTATTGAAGCCACAAAACAGGAAGTAAAGGTGAGGGCAACTCATTGTTGTAGTTTTAAATATGAATATATATTATGTCGACGGGTGCAAACTAAATAAATCTATTTGCAAAATACCAACTTTCAGGAGAGCGCTAACTCGACAAAATTGCGACTATTTTATTAATTATGGTTATATAGTTACGTTTTCATATGTATAGTGAATATTAGCTATTTAAGTTTATTTATCTATATATATTGTATTATATATCCATGAATGACAATTACAACTAGGTCGAGTAGTTAAAAAAATCCAAATTAATATAATAGCAAAATGTTTCAATATATTTGAGCAAAATATTAATGCGAATTTTATTGTGGCGTCTGTAAAATTATAAATAAATATTTTATCACATAGCTACTTGTAAACGTCTTCACTTCCTTTACCATTAAGTGGGCTAATTTAATTGTACATAGATATTTCATCTGTTTCATTCAGACTGGCCACACAGATGTGATAGCGATGTTTCTTCTTACATACCTTTTTACTGTCATCTTCTCTATATCGATCGCTTGTCTCCCTCTGTATCAATTTCTATAATAAAGGAACAATTTCATTTATAAAGAGTATTATTAAAAAAATACTACTTATCTGAGTTGTGGACCAAAAGTTTTTTACATCTTTTGTTAGCCGATTTTCATAGAAATATATGAAAAACGTTTGTCAATGGTCTAGAGATGTCTAGATCAGATGTAACCTTTATTGAGACCATATCGAAATTAGTGTATTGAAAGATAGAAATTATATATTTTTTTAAAAATAAATATAAACTTTTTATCCTTCATATAAAACAACTGGTCGATACATGTTGTTGATAAAATACTCTAGAAATTTATATTACCTGAAGTTTCAATTTTATAATTAGAGATAGTATGCCTTTTAAAAGGTCTTGTCAATTTTTGTTCTCTTATTTCCTCACCATATTCATTCAGAGCCTTAGCTTCAGTAGTAGGATTTTTTTTAATGCATTACATACATCGCGCTTATGTAATTTGAATTGAATATTTGTTATTCATTAATTACTACCTTGGCACTGACTTTACACGCTATGAGCTATCTGTCTTTCTCCATATTATTCTCATTTGTCCATGCATAGTAATTTAAGTCTTTTGTAGGCTTCTACTAGCTGCAATCGATAACTTGATAAAAACATATTTAAAAACATATTTATTCGATCATCTAACTGAATTTGTTGTATGTACTTGCCAGATAAAGTAAATGTACATGAGAGTAGGTGTGATTTGGCGGCCGTGCAGTAGATGTATAATACGAGTATATGTTGAGTAAGCGTGACTGATCTCTAGTATAGTGAACTTTAGAAAACGATTATATTTCGCGAAAATTCGATTATTTATTTCCCTTTAATACTGCTATATTAAATTCTGCTGTAATGAATCTATCAATCAAAAAGGGATTCTTTTGGAAAAGTCTATTACTTATGTTTTGTTAACTGTCATCTTTCTTATGTGATATTGAATGTTCTGAACACAAAATAAAAATGAATGTGCTCTTATTTAGAAAAATTAATAGAAAATTGTAGAAAAATTGTGAATTGATTAGTAATTTAAAAAGGTTGATGTAAGAGTTTAGTGACTCTAAACTTTAGTATACTCATTACAATTTCGTAGTTCCGTTTTATTTACAGCTATATTCTTCTTTTCATTTAAGAGTTTCCTGTTGTCGGTGCAACTAATTCATGCATCTTCTTCTAGCCAGTTCTATCCTAGACCATATCCTTGACCTCTCTATACGATATGACACCTAGTGTTTCTTTTATCTGTCTCATGTAGTTATTTTTCGGTTTTCCTCTTCCCCTTTTGCCCTCTATTTTTCCTTGTGGCCCAGGTGGCCCAGCATTTTGCCTCCTCTTTATACATGACATTTTTTTTAAGAGCATATTAGAAAAAATATACCAAATAAGATGATAATTTATTTTTGTGTTCATGTAGGACTTATTAAACCCTATTTGTAATAATTCAAGTATGTGACTGTAATCCGGAAATCAGCCAAATTGCAGTTAACTTTTTTACTTTGCACCCGTCTAGGTACTAATAGTTATGTATATTTATTCAAAACTTAAAATTTTCTTGCTAATTCGTATGCGGAGATTTAAGAAGCATGAAACCAATTGATTAATTCACTTCTAAATGGTGTATCAAATTAAAAAAAAAAAATTTAACCCAACTTAATACAACTGTGGAAACCTCATCCAATTCAGTATAATATTTTATACATGAAGTCAGTACAAACGTCTTCTAATTCCAATTTTATTATATTAGTTAGAATAAGAAAGTAAGATATAATTACTTATTATAGAATTAAGGATAATTAAATAATAGTTAAGAACTAATAAAGAGGAAAGATTTGATTGATTGTGTGTTTGAAATGGATAAACTCAAAAATTTATTAACCGATTTTAAAAATTCTTTCAAAAAGCAATATTATTAGCGAGCATCATATATTATTTAAAAACATTAGAGATTAAATTTACAATAATGTAATCATAGATGTAGTATAATGTACTTACTGACAGACTGGTAATGCAATCACAAAAGTGGGATCGCTAGCACATACAGAAATACTTATATACCTACATAGAGTCAATCTCAATTTGTATTAAAACCTTTTTACAGGTAATGAAAGGCAAAATGAGTCTGAACAGGAATCGTGACAATGACGGGACGGCGCGGGAGCCGCTTCTAGGAGAAGAGAGTCCGATGCACTTTGGGAATTACTGGACCTCAACACCAAAGTATTCGAAGTATTCTAAATTGGCGAACCAGACTGACAGCCCGAATAGATTCGACGCGTACGACAACGATATCATGTCGATGCAAGAAAAGATGCTAAATAATCAAAACGACCAGTTGCAAGTGATAAGCAACTCTGTCGGCTCATTGAAAACTGTGTCGAAGCAGATCGGCATTGAGCTAGACGAGCAAGCCGTGTAAGTTTCTCTATTGTCTTGTGACTGTATTTTTGCCCACACAATGAAGGTGTAATAACTCGACAGCGTGACACAAAGGAGGGTAATGTGATGTAAGCCTAATGAATGTATGTATGTTCCTCTGTGGCGTTCTAGAATCCAAACGCATGTGCTGATTTTAATGATTTTTATGTTAATTGACTTGTTTTAATCTTGCGACTGTCACTGAAGATATGATTGTATGTATTAAAAATTTAATATGGCGACAACCAACAACTTATTGTAAAAATAAATGTCGTCAAATTATGTCAGGTCATGAATCGTTAAATAAGGATTTGAAAATCATATTTAGGTTTCCCTTATAATGTTTTATTTAGGATGTCTATTTAAGATCTATAACCGTTAATTATATGACAAAGTTAGTTGGCGATTTTGTTCCACAAAAAATCGACGTCGATCTTCACAAAATTACTGGTATATCATAATAAGGTGTTTTAAATTATCAAAATTGGACATAGACTTGACGAATACAATACATAATAACAAAAAAAGAAGAGATTAGTTAAATTAAGAGACGCTCCTTTTTGAAGTCAACGGGATAGAGTCAGTCTAGAGTATTTTTTTTAATAAAATGGTAACCCTGACTGCGTTAACAGTGTACATTGGCGCGGCCTCAGTAAGGGATGAATAAAAGGGGAAGTCAATTAGCCTATTGTGATGAATTCAGCACAATGGTTTCCATGAGAGACTGTGAGGAGGTTAACCTTACAGGGTATTGTTAGCAATGATGCTTATAGTCCGCATTATTAACAATTCCTTTCCCCCTGTGTAGAGTATTTTTTAATGGATGATAATAGAACGGTAACCCCGCCTGCGCTAACTGTATACGCTAGCGGGGAAGTGAGCGATGATAAATGAGAATGAAAAGGCAGGTCAATAAGCCCACCGTGCTGAATTCCTGGTGAATTCATTACGATGGTTTCTAGGGGGACCACGGGGTTGTTGACAGGGTATATTTCTAGCAATAATGCTGATAGTTCGTATTGTTAATAACCCCCCCCCCCCCCTCTTCCTTCGTCTGGAGCATTTGTTTTAATAGGTGAAAATGGTATGGTAACCCCGCTTGCGTTAAGAGATACGCTGGCGAAGGATCAGTGAAGGGTGATAGATGAGAATGAAAACAGGCCAGTTAGCTCATCATGATAAATTCATCAGGAATTAACCATGATAGTTTCCAGGGAGAACCGCGAGGAGGTCGACCTGGTTAGGTTAGGTTAGGCTAGCAATGGGATTCTCAGTCTCCATTACTAATAATCCCTTTCCCCTTCGTCTGGAGCATTTGACATTAAAGTAATACACTTTATTAGAGTAGAATGTATTAAATTGTATGACTTTGATATAATTGATTAGAAATTATGAAGGATAAGTAATGCTTAGTACCTGAAATGTAAATTCCGAGCGATGCAGTTTAAGTTCTCTCATTACTTGTGTCAGAGACTATTTTTTACTAGCTTTCACTTGCGATATCGTCTGCGTAACCGGGATATGTTCAGGAGTCAAAAGCAGCCTATAACGTTCTCAATCCAGGGGGAGAAGGGATTGTTATTAATGCGGATCCAGTCCCATTGCTAGCGATATACCCTATCAGGTCGATCTCCAAGTGCTCCCTGGAAACTATCTTGTTGAATTCCAGATGTATTCATTTATTCATTCATCACGATGGACTAGATGACCTGCCTTTTCATTCTCACCTGTCAACTTTCACTGGTGCCTTGTCAGTGTATACCGTTAGCGCAGGCGGGGCTTATTAAAAAAAACCTTATCAATTCTATAAACTATAGTACGCGTATACCAAATTTCATAGTAATTGGTCAAGCCGTAAAGATGCTAATAAGTAACAAACAAATGCTCTTACACATTTGTAATTTTAATAAAGATTACTAATATTATAAACGTTCACATTTATAATATTAGTTTATATTGCAAAAAAAAAAAAAGGTTGTCGATCTACAAAACGCAATTATACTGACATAGCGTACACAAAATTTCATAATTGCAAGCATATTTTATTGTGCTGATGTGTTTTCGTTGAATTAGACCAATATAAACAGCATTTAAGCATATAAGTTACGCTTACTCTCATTATTTTTCCGATTTAATAAGTTTTGCTTATTATTCGTTATCGGTATGTGTTTGCGAAATACCAGTGAGGTATGAAAGGTTAGAATGAGAGTAGGTCAGCTGATTCATCGTGATGAAAAGATTTAATTAGTATTATTTCCAGAGGCCACGAACAGGGGGTCGATCTGACTGGGTATATTGCTAACAATTAATGGCGGTCTCTCTCACTCCCCATCAACGTAACACTTCGAATGGACAGCTTAGTATAAGTTTTTATTAACCGATTTGAAAAAAGGAGGTTTACACTTCAGCTGTATTTTTTTTTCTTTTTGTAGTACAATGTACACTTAATATTTCAGGATGCTAGATGACTTGAACACTGAACTGGAAAATGCTGATTCGAAATTAGATTCCACTATAAAAAAGGTGGCAAAGGTGCTCCATATGAACAATGGTATGTAAATTCATTTAAAATGTGTTTATACCGTGAAGCAGTTGTATTTGCATGACTGTGTTTCGATTTGAAGGGTGGGACATGAAGAAGACAGTGAATTTACAGGGTACAGAGAAATAACACTTGAGTCCTCAGGAATGGCAATGCATGGGGCGTATCATGGACGATACTCTGTTATGTCCATGGTACTGCTCATGTTTATAGGCGACGGTTACCACTTTCCATCAGGTGGGCCGTCGGTTTGTTTGCCATTCTAAATTGCATAAAAAAATGTGACGTTGATAACAAACTCGGTTACTTCTTTAGCAATAACTAGTGACCTGGATAAAATGATACATTAGTATTTTAAATTATTACTTCATTTGAACAAATACAAAATAACAGCAATACCAAACGTCGTGCTTTTTGCTTACACAGAGGCTTCGCTTACACATTTTTCTCACTTTTTGCATTATTATATTTGGTTTGAATAATTTAAAGAGGAATTTACATGTACATATCAAATTTGATTACTGAACTATTTTCTTGCATATGGATTAATATCATTGTATAAATAATTCTTCCTGTATTTCTTTTTACTTATTAAAAAAAAAAAAAAAAAGCGGCTGTTGTGGCTTAACTATAATAGACATATAAAATATTGGTTTTTTTATGGGTAATTATGAGTACTATGATATAAACATGTAGTACATTATTTTTAACCGACTTCAAATAGAAGTAGGTTTTCTATTCGGTTGTATATTTTTCTATCTGTTACCTCATAACTCCATTATTTCTAAACCAATTCGGAAAATGATTTTTTCACCTAAAAGGATATACTTTCAGTTTGGTCCCATAGAAATATTATCAAAATCGGTTCAGTAATTTCGTTTTTATTTTAAAATAACTGGTTTTGTCATAATTATAGTCAGATTTTTTTGTGGGGCCACAGTCTTTAATTATATGATTCATTAATAATAGTTTTCGCAGCGTACGTCAACATTACGAACGGGGAATTTTTGATACCTTAGGTTAGATTATTGTAATTGGCGCAGGGGTCTATGTATTTGTTTTTTTTTTTTTCTTTAATAAAATATAGCCCATGTTACTAGCTTTTAATGTAGCTTTATAAAGGTTAAAGAATTTTTAAAATTAGTTGTAGTTTTAAGTTTATCCATTGCAAATAAACCAATAATCAAAGCTTTCCTGTTTATTATATTAATATAGATATATTAATATGTTTCTTTTCTTCCAGATCGTCGCCAATGGCTTGCCATAGCTATACTCGTGGGCCTTCTAGTGCTTATTTTAATATTGTTCGTTATAATTTGAACACGATCAACTATGTCTCTAGTTAAGTGATGTAATGTACCAAACGTCTATATTTGTATAAATTATTTCGAGGTAGCTAATACATTTCGATGTTACCTTTAGCATTATTTTGTTCTGTGTGTAATGTTTTACTTGTGAGGGACGATTGATGTAACTGATGTGTCAAGTGTACTGCATTTTATGAAGGAATACCTCTAAATTTGAAAGAAATCAATAAAAAAAAAAAAAAAAACTTAATGGGTCCTTTTATAATTTTACCCAGTCTCGGCACGATATTACGTGATTTATAATCATGTTATTTCCTTATTATGATATATATTTTACTATCATATTGGTAAGAGAGCAATATGTGTAATTATGTAGAGACGCTTTTTTGTACTCCTTAACAATATTGTCACGAAAAATTGAATGTGTCTACATCTCTCCTATATAATGTAGCATTGATAAAATCGTGCAATGTCGTGCCGTCCGACGGTAAATTGTACATAAAAGCGCCTAATGTTCAATTTTAAACATCAACAAAATGTTGATGAAATATCAACAAAATTTTGTTGCTTTCCACACCGACAAAATTTCGTCGGCATCAACATAATTTTATTAATTAAATACCAACAAAATTTTGATGACATTTAATTATGATGAAAATTGAACTCCTATTAATATAATCGTATTATTGATGTATTAAAAAATCATGGTATTTCCTACGTAAAATATAGTAAACAAAGTAATTTATCAGTTCTATAGAAATATCACTTTACTATCCATTTCTTCCGTATATACTCATTTCAATTTGTATTAATTGTAGATAATGCTGTACACTAATGCGTACCGATCATACTTCGATAGTATTTCAATATAATTAACAAATTCAAGAGATCATATTTTTGTAATCTAAACAATCTTCCACGTTAGCAATTTAATACTGTATTCGTATTTAACAATTGATTGTTATGTTATTTTTATCTTGTAATTACTTGTCTTTACCGTTTATGCATTAATCATAGCTTTAGCTTGAGCGTGTGTGCGTCAATTTTGAAACAGGGGTGTCTATCATGGAAAATAAAATTGAATTTTCTCGTATTGAAATTTCATGCGTACTACGAATTATATTCTTTCTGAAAACTAGTTCTTCGATATAGGGACATTTTTTTAATCATAAATTTTACCATAGTGTTTCCAAACGACCTGTATTATGTCATTTTGAGAGTATATCGTTCGTGTTTCGTTCGGCTCTGATATTTTCAAGAAAGATTAGTATGTCAGAACAGATAAGGTAGTATATATGTTTGAGTACTCAATATCTTCGATACTCTTTTATTAAGATGCTCCTCTTGTTCAGAATAGCTACTTTGCTATCTCTTACTATATTAAAAAGTTTAAAACCAAATAGTAAATGATATACACGTCCAATTAACTAGGCAACAGTGACGTCAAACAAAATATTTTACTAGTTACTGTTATTCCAGCATCTACAAGCTGTTTTAATTAAAAACGAGTAAGTTGGATGACGATGTGAAAGGTGAAAGGATATGCAATTTATTTTGGCGATATAATTGTATCTATGTGATTAAAAAGGCAGTACTTTTAACTGTAATATTAGCGTTGAACAATATAGTGTTTAAGATTAAGTAGTTGTTCCGCGAATTAGTCAGATTTAAAAACTATTAAAATAGTATTTTATTGTCAGTGACAACGCTTTTGATTTTTATTTTTATTATTATGTTTATTTATTATTTAATTCGATGTCGGTTGTTGTTGTTCTCAGGTTTTAATTTAAAAATAACTCTGTTTACAATACATTTTTATATTTTTCCCGCTCTGCTGAGTTTTTGCCATAATCTAGATTTGGCTACTACTCATATTTAAATTACACGGTCGATATTTATCTAGTATTAATAAAAACTAATAATAGTAGAACTTAGAATTCATTTTACTAAAATAAGTCTCAGTTTTTGTGGCCATGCAATGGGACCGATTTTGATGCGCTATTTCTCTAAGCTTATCTCTTAACCTAATGTTTTAATTTGATAGTTTCGCTAAATTAATATTCTATGGATCATTATAAACTAGATTTATAATAATTTTAACTCATCATTTCAGTCGTTAACTGTCCACTGTTGAATATAAGCCTTCCCCATAAGGGGAGTTTTGCCAATAGTTGCTACGCTTGGCAGGCGGTTGGTAACCACAGTTAGGCTTTTAGAGATGTAAAACATCTCTAAAAGCATCTAATACATTTAAAGTAAAAGGAACTTAAAATGTATTAGAAATTTAGTTTATATTTGTCCTTAGAATAAAGATTTCGTTGCGTAATATTTTAGAGAAACGGTTCTTTGGAATCGACCCTAATGAACTGTTTAATCTTGTTTGATTTTATTACCACGAATCAAGTATTAAAAGTATGTAACCATATATTTGGTAAAATGTTGCCAAACGAAGTTATAATTATTAGAAATCTACGATAGCAATCTGACGATAGGATAAAACTTTATAAGTTCTTATCAAACAGTTACCAATGTTTTTATTTTTTACTTAATATTTGCACGTCTCTATACAAACATCACGTAGTATGATGATCTAATTGATAGCTGTTAATAGCTTTATTTTATATTTTATTATAATGAATTTATTTATTTCTATTTTATTAGTTAATTTTTTAGTCCTTGTTCTGTATATACATAATGTATCAACAAGGTAGTATATTGTAAAATGTTAAGTGGGCCTTCCATTTACGATTCCCAATGTCTTAACGCTGAGTTTATACCAAAATTATAATAGCTACATACTGTGATCAGGGGGGCAAGAAACCTGACAGTTTAACAATTGCAATTTGACAGTGAAAGCGTTGACAAAATAAGCCAATTTGTAGTCACGTGACATAACCTGTCAAAAACCTATTGTCTTTAATGAAGCCCACTAATAGTGAGCTAAGTATAGCTTACTATATTGCAAACATAGAGACAAATTTCGAAGCACCTACAATAATCAGGTGTTGAGGCAGTGACTAGTACTCGTGGGTAGATATGGCATAATAACATTATCTTTGATATGAATTCCACAATAAGTTCGGTAGATACGTATCGAGGCTTGGAACTGACTTACTGAAGCGGTGTTTACTTTTATATAAATGATATCACACATGACGCTACAATCACATTAAGGAGAATTTATATAAGGTCAATTACAAACTTAAAATTTTAGTGCTGAAATCTGTCTACGTGAATGTTCAAAGGAAAATTGTGTCAGTGCTGCCACAGCAGTACTGGTTTGAAACAATTTTACTATAGTACAATTGCAATTCAGCACTATTATATGTTGGGTTTCAGAGTCGGTAAATGACCTAGTGAAAGTTATGTATTGAACACTTGTATCATCGAATCTATTTCATATATTATTTATGTACACAAATTTAGTATTGTTTCAATAGAATTAAAAGGTAAACAAGCTTTGTTGAAATTAAAGCAAAGATGTTGTTGTATGAAATCGGTGATAAATCAAAACACTTGATTTTTGTATTAATATTGGATGCCACTGTTTTTTGGTCGGGTCGTTTATGTGTTTGTTTACATTTTAATAAAGTTCTATTAACACAGACAGTTATAAGTCTATTTTAATTTTAGTCACCTTTAGAGGCTTCTAAGCGCACAGTTTTAAATTAATGTGTTGTTTTAATGTATTTATTAAATTATATAATACTATCCAACAGGTAAAAGTTTAAAAATAGTTTTTAAGCTAATTATATTAATAGGTCACATACACTGGCATAACAATATTTTTTAATGCTGTAATACACAATTACAAACGTGCTCAATGTTTGTGGCATAATTTGTAATATGTAAGTCTGTTCCGGGCCATATTTAAATGGATTTATTTCACATTCATGCCTTACTCAAATGAGACTATATTGATCAGATATTAAAATTTTATGTATGAGGCTTATTACCGGTGTTACGGTGTTTATGCAATAAAGTCGACGGGACTACGGGAACGTTTATATTACCCTTCATTTTACCTAATTTGTAATTTTCAGAGTTAGCTTATTGAGAAATTTGTAGTCTTTTGGTTTTGGCTCTGTCGTCACTTTGACTTTGAAAGACACTATTTATGGAACTACAATAGGACGAAATGTTGGAAAATTATTAAGCCCCATATATTATATTTTAAATCTTGTATTAAACTGCCCATGAAGTATATTATCTCAATGAACTAGCAACCGATAAATTTACATGATAGTCATTGGCGTATTTAATATTATTTTCAGGGTAGGGGGAGGGAGATAAGCCCTTAAAAAGCACATTATGTACTCTCAAACACGTCTTTGCACATAGTTAAAAGCTCCGATCTCGTTGCCCACCCTGCACTAGATAATTATGGGGTGGGCACGGCCCATCCACTCCCCCACCCCGCTCGCCCTAATACACCTATGTTAAATGTATATGTTTATACCAAACATATTCATTTAAATAGATGCCGCAACTACATCTACTTTGTGAATCCATATTTGCTCAAAAAGCTAAAGTAAAACTCAGGTATGTAGGTCGAAAGTGAAAAATGATCTCACTAGACACATTCTAGTCTTTGACATTGTAATACATTTATATAACATTGTTTACTTGATAATTTGGTACGTATAATTTATCTATTTTATAATAAAATGCTATATTTTATTGTGTATAGCCATAAACAAAAAGTGTCTATGCGATTCAAAGAATTAATTTTCAAGTTTAATTGTCTACATGCAATAAAACACCATTTTATCAATCATAGACTGTTTTGTCCTGTTATCTTTGAATCAGTTTAGCACGTGAGGGGATCTCGGTTTAGATAAGTTAAGTCGATTGCTTGGGTACCTCTGTCCCATTCGTGTTTTACCGTGAAGCAGTTGTGTTTGCATGGCTGTGTTTTGGTTTGAAGGGTGGGATATGGCGTGAATTTACTGGGTACGGAGGAATAACACTTGAGTCCTCAGGAATGGCAACGCATGGGGGGTATCATGGGCGAAACAGTGTACTCTGTTATGTTCATAGTACTGCTCATGTCTATAGGCGAGTATTATCACTTTCCATCGGGTGGACCGTCAGCTTGTTTGCCATTCTAAGTTGTATAAAAAAAAATGAATGATATTATAAATATCGTTGTGAGGCAAATAAAATATGTCCTCTGTTTTCATACATACATGTAATTTGCGGCGTCTATTTAAATTCATGTACATGGTGTGCAACCTTTGACATTGAGGATTTGCTTATAGTGGAAAGTGGTTATTCTCAATCTTAGGTATACGTATAACAATGTGAAGTATTTAAATCTAACGGTATGGGTTTCTAATAATTGTAGTATTTAATCTAGCGTTTTTGGGTGATGTGGAGATTTTCCAACAAATCTATTAATAGTTTACAGTATTGCTCGTATTGTGCATACTCTTAGGAGATAGTTACTATTTTCCACTTCTGTACGTAGATCCTCTGTGGCATTGGTGTGCGTGTTTGATAAGTAGGTAATTAGTTCCCGTAATATTATACACCAAGGACCGTTAGCATAGACTTTGTAGCGATGTATCGATATTTTTGTATAATTAATCATGATTAATGGTAGTAGGGCTGTGACAATGCTTGTACTGTATGACAAGCCACACGTTTTATAATTTTAAACTGTAGACAAATTGTGGCCTAATGCGGCTGAATGTAATGTTGTTATTTTTAATTAAAATTTATAGAATAATTTTTTTTTTATTATTTCAACCCTATTATTATTAAGTGTTTGCCTAATATAATTTAGACGACCTTCGTGGTGCAGTGGTAGGCACGTTGCTTTGCGTAATAAAGTTCCGGATTCGTCTCTCGGTCGGGACAATTTAGACAAATGAACTTTTCTAAGTTCTTCCTTACCTAATTTCTCATTACAAGATATCTTGGCTTGATACTTTTTATTTTAATATTGATTAAGATATGTTCATAGTTATTTTTTGTTTTAAAGGAATTCAGTTTGTAAGGTAATAGGGTCGACTTTTCCTTAATTTCTAAAATTATTAATTTACCAGTTTAACAATAATTATCGAATGGACCATCGAGAATTTAATTTAAAGCAACTCTGCAGTAATGGTAATAAAAATTAAGTTACTTTATTTTAGAACAACGATTTGTCATAAGTAATATAAAATTGAAACTTTAATTTTAGAGTTAAAATGAACTCTAGGAATTAACTGTATTACCTAGTCTGGTAGTGAGTTACGGAAGGATATAACTTTTGACAGTTAATATAAGTATTAGACACTAACAAATATTATACTGTGGTCCCGGCATAGAATAGGCCACCCATTCCAATCCCGTGGATGTCGGAAGAGCCGACTAAGTGAGGGCAAGAGATTGGCAGCAGCATCCCTTTTAAAACATCTCTAAAGCCTAACTGTGGCTGTCAATCTGCCTGCCAAGCATGGCAACTACTAGTAATAAAAGCCCCCCAAGGGGGGAGGGCTTATGCCATAGCTGACGGGTGCCTCGCCAGCGTATACCGTTAGCAAAGGCGGGGTTACCATTCTATTATCATCCATTAAAAAATTATCCATATTCATATCATCATATCATAATTATTATATTCCAATCAATGCGAGTTTCGATTGAGAACAAACTATTAGAAAAATAAATATTTGAATGCTTATAAAATATATCAACAAATGTCAAATAAAACAAAATCATTGGTTCTTTTCTCCGCTTACTTCACTTACTTTTTTTTATTCCACGAAAGTGGCAAACAATATAATAATACTAAAGGGAGACTTTGTACAAAAGTCGATTGCTTGGATACCTCTGTCCCATTCGTGTTTCTATCGAGAAGTAGTTGTGTTTGCGTGGCTGTGTTTCGGTTTGAAGGGTGGGATATGGCGTGAAGTTACAGGGTACAGAGGAATAACACCTGAATCCTCAGGAATGGCAACGCATGGGGGGTATCATCGGCGAAACAGTACACTTTGTTATGTCCGCGGTACTGCTCATGTCTGTAGGCGACGGTTACCACTTTCCATCAGTGGGCCGTCAGCTTGTTTGCCATTCTAAGTTGCATAAAAAAACAAGCATACGGCCCGTCTGATGGTAAAAGGTTACTGTAATCTAGGGACTATATACTATTATTATCTATAGAATAAGTATATGAATTAAGTGTGATAATTTTCACTTTGCATGGATGCATGTTTGCCATTTAGGCTTAAAGAGATTTGATATTGCATCTACGATTTAGTTCTACTAATAGAGTAGATACACTGAAAAAGCTGTATGAATATCCCTGTACCTAAATATAAAAATTTTGTGGCATTTATTTTTCTATCGAGCTATTAGCCCAAGGCAGATATTGATCTGCCGAAGTTAGCGACGGGTTCTTAATTAAGTTTAGAAAATTGGTTGTTTTTGATAAAACTTGCAATAAACAGGAGTTTATCCTTTTTTTAAACGACAACATAGGGTTGCCTACGAGATAAAATATTGGCATAAGTAAGAATTGTTACTTAGTTAGATTGCGTTTACTGAGGGCAGGCAACCCGGATGTATTGTATTACATTGTATTTAATTTTAGATATAGTTTATATTTTATTTTTATTTTTGATCAGTGCATTGAGTCTCGCATGCGAAAAATGGGTATTTGCGATCCGCACGAATGCTAAAAATATGAAAAAATAAATGACTTAAGGGACCGCCTGGAAATCAGCACTATATAACTATAGGCACATCCCGCTGGAGGTGTGCATATACAGCAACAGCTCAGGCGGCTCCTATTACCAGCAAAATGAATTGAAGTTTTTTATTATTGTTTATTTTTACCTGTAATTATTGTTGTTGGTAATAAAGAATCTATCTATGTTTTTCTTCATTTTCTATTTAAACTAAGTCTCATTAAAGTCTTACATTTGCAGTAGTTTATATCTAATTTGGAATAGTGAATATTTAAGACAGTCGATGTGGACTTACCTGCTTACACAAGACATGAAGTTGCTTAGGTAACGACTGGAGAATAAATGTACGATGTTACTGTAACCAGTACAGTTGGTCCATTGTGCGTCCGGAGCCATCAGCATACCAACTGCTTTGCCGCGACATATCAGCGGTGCGCCATACATTCCCTGGTACATATTAAATTATAAGCAGAGCAAATACACAGATTCACTTCTTCTTTTAATTAATAAAAAGTATATATATTTATATTCTTATGCTAAGTTATACTAAGGGAATATGTTGTCAATAATACTAATAAGGTCCAACAGCCTCATGTTTGGGGAAAAGGGATTGTTATGAGATTTAACAGTTTCATTGCTAGCAATATACACTATCAAGTCGATCTCCACGCGGTTCCCGCTGGAAACCCTTATAGTGGTTAATTCTTGTCCGGTTTAAAATTACGGAATTCTGAAGCAACAAACGTAAAACAATTCAACTGAATTTAGAATCTCCTTCTTTTTTTAAACTCGGTTAAAAACGGTACTAAAAGTCAGTGATAGGGCAAGCCTGAAATTGAATGTGGGTAAGATATTAGGCTCTTTGGTCATGACTTTGCTGATGCAATAAAACGTTTAAAAAAAAGCGTAAATTTCTTAAAAAAGTTATCAAATCTGCGAGCGTGAGGACCTTCAAACCACAAGTCCGTATGCGATGGCTTACGTCGTGAACACCCTACGCCGCCTCTGTTAAAAATAGAATGTATTAAACTAAATCATGCACTTTAGTGAAGTTTGTAACCAAATGTGCCCAAAAGATTTTACAAATTTTGTAAAATTGTAACGTCTAGATATCGATTTATTTAGGTAGTTCCTGTCCTAAAATTACTGTTTATTTTTTTATTTTAATTCGTGTCACTATAGTGTTTAACTTTGGTATGGGAGTATAAATTTCATTGCGCTATATTTCAGAAACTATTAACATGATTGATTTTTAATTTTGGAGTAAATTTAGATATTTAGATATATTTTAATTAATTCTTCTACAATTCACGTAGGCCGACTACACATATTATAAAAGATTTTTTTTTATGCTAGAGGCTACAAAAGTGAAATACGAAATTTTAAAATAAGTATTTACTCATCCAAGTGGGGTATCATATGGATAGAATTAGGGTATCATATGAAAGGAATTAATATGAAATTTCAAAAATCATTCTTTATTTACTTTTTTTTGCGTCGTTTATTTCGATTTATACCAGAAAATTATAAAAGAGTTACCTAATATAAAAAAAAAAATCAATAATTGCAGTTTACTAAAGTATGTACGATTTTATTATTGGAGGAAAAGTAGAACAATGTTTCTAAAAATAAGAAATTTTGAGTTGTATAGAATAATAACTATTAGGTGTCTACTTCATACAAAACATATACACATAAAGTGAATATAAATACGTGTTCTACAGAAGTACGTGACTATAGTTCGTTATAGATAAATAAACATATTTTATCTACTTTTAAAGAAAACCAATTTACAAATTAAATTTATGTTAATATTGCACTTGACCTGGTTTTTAATATTAAATAATAGTTACTATAGCAAGTGCATACATACATATATGTCATGTCTGTCTCCCATTGGGAAAGACAGAAAAAATGGACCGCCAAATACTTCGATGCTTTAACTCTTTCGTTTCTTCCACTTTCAATATTTTTTTCTTTTTAATACACATTTGCCAATTACAAGTACTTTTAACATGCACTTTCTTTTAGCACCTAAATGATTGATATATGTCCGTCTAGGGAAGATCCTACCGACGTCTCCATCCATTCGTGTTCAATAAATCTCTACCAAACCCATCCTCTAAATTGCAAAATCAACACAACTTTTCGATCTTTAGGCAAGTGACTTCGCTAAAACGTGCAACGTTTCAAAATCGTATCATTATTAAGGAATACTTACAAAAAGTTACTGTTTGAATTGTTCTATTAGCAAAAGCAGGTTAATTGTGTGTAAACTTCAATAAAGTTTGCAAAATATCCACCACCGAAGTTTAGTTGTTTCAACACTGATCCGCTGCGAGTAAGAGTAACTATAGTTTAGCGAAACTACAACTTCAAACTTGATATTTTGTTAGTTTATAGGTGTACGTAGTTTGCAGAGTGGCAGAATAAGTTATAAAATACATTAATCAATAATTTAACATTCTGAATTTTTTTATAAACCCAGTATTTTCACAAGAAGAGTGTGCGTTGCAACATGGATTTTTAATAGTTTTATTATAACCGGACAGAAATATGGGGCAAGGTTGTCTTGCAGATTTAAAAGTTTAGAACAACAGTTATAAATCGTATGAAAATAAAAGGTATTATATAACGTGGAAACAATTCCACTTCAAACTGCAAGCGTATAAACTACTCCCCTACTGTGTGGCAGTTTGACATACTACTTTATCATTTAATGGTAGTGGAATCGATTGTCGTACAATACAAATAGCATTTTTATTAATAAGTGTGTTTGTATTGGTCTGGACGGTTTAGATCTAAACTAATATTAAGTAGAAAGAGGAAAATTTTTAGTTTTTGTTTATAATGGATAAATTAAAAAAAATCTTAATCGATTTTAAAAATCTTTCGTCACATGAACTGTATTTTTTTTTGCTTTATTCGCGCGAAATCGGGGCGGGTCACTAGTGTTGATGTATTGTATATGTATTATATTTGTGAAAAAAGTATTATTTTTATCACTTATTAAGTTCCCGTAGAGCAAGTTTTGTTTAATTTGGAATTAGAAATATATT